TACAGATCAGATTATAAATTTTGTCGTTTGAGCGTTTAAAAGGTTCTACAAACTGAAACAAGGGTCTCAACTCTGGAAGTAATCTACAAAAACTGTTGAAATTTGACAGGCTTTTTCGTTTTACTAATTTAAATAATGCATATAAGTTTCATACAGATCACATGAGCACTTTTGTCATTCAAACGTTCAAAATCGCCATAACTCGAGAAATTATTGACGGAAATTGCGGAAATTCAATAGACCTGTTTCACAAATTTAAATGATGCATATAAATTTCATACATATCGGATGATAACTATCATCAATCGAGCATTAACAAGGTTTAACAAAGTGAAACAAGGGCAATAACTCTATCGGATGATAACTATCATCAATCGAGCATTAACAAGGTTTAACAAAGTGAAACAAGGGCAATAACTCTAGAAGTAATTATTGTAAATTGTTGAAATTCAATAGGTTTATTCTTTTCACTAATTTAAATCATGCATATAAATTTCACAAAGATCCGGTGATAACTTTTTGCGTCAGAGCATTCACAAGGATAAATAAAGTGAAACAAAGGCCATAACTCTAGACGTAACAAACGGAAATTGCTGAAATTCGATAGTCTTCTCCGTTCCACTAATCTAAATAATGCATAAAAATTTCACAAAGATCGAATGATAACTTTTGTCGTTGGAGCATTCACAAGGTTCAATAAAGTGAAACAAGGGCCATAACTCTTGACGTAATAAACGGGAATTACTGATATTCAATAGGCTTCTTCGTTTCAGCAATCTAAATAATGCATATAAATTTCAGAAAGATCGGATGATAACTTTTGACATGAGAGCGTTCACAAGGATCAATAAAGTGAAACAAGGGCCATAACACTAGACGTAATAAACGGAAATTGCCGAAATTCAATAGGCTTCTTCGTTTCAGTAATCTAAATATTGAATTTAAATTTCAGAAAGATCGGATGATAACTTTTGGCATTAGAGCGTTCACAAGGTTCAATAAAGTGAAACAAGGGCCATAACTCTAGACGTAATAAACGGAAATTGCTGAAATTCAATAGGCTTCTTCGTTGCACTAATTTAAATAATGCATGTAAATTTCAGAAAGATCGGATGATAACTTTTGGAGTTAGAGCGTTCACAAGGTTCAATAAAGTTAAACAAGGGCCATAACTCTAGACGTAATAAACAGAAATTGTTGAAATTCAATAGGATTCTTCGTTTCACTAACTTAAATATTGCATATAAATTTCACAAAGATCGTATGTTAACTTTTGGCATTAGAGCGTTCACAAGGTTCAACAAAGTGAAACAAGGGCCATAACTCTAGACGTAATAAACGGAAATTATTGAAATTAAATAGGCTTCTTCATCTCACTAATGTAAACAACATATATCAATTTTAAAACAATTGGATGATAACTTTTGGCGTTAGAGCGTTCACAAGAAATTGTGGACGATGGACGGACGGACCGACGGACGCGGGCGACGGCAATATACGCCCACATTTCAATTTAAGTACAAACAAGTTTAAATAATAATATGTATCCTCATCATATAAAAGATTCAACATAACATATTAGTATGATATGTGTTCAAAATAATATTGTCTAAGTATGAACAACATACAACACAATATATTACTATGAAGTATTGTCTTGATATGTTTGTAGTATAATATTTCTAAATACTGGCTAGTTTTGACATGATATTAGTATGGAATATTTTATCAATATGTGCATTGAGTACTTTTGTCTAAGTATAAACAACTTTTACACTAAATATCATTATGGGTATGAACAAGTCTAATTCAAGATATAATTTGAAATATTGTGTCAATATGTGTACTACTTTAGTTTTAATTCTAAAACATTTGTACAGAATACTGTTTTCTGAGTATGAATAAGTTTCAGCATAAAATTTATTATGTGTGTAGAGTATGAACAAGTCTAATTCAAGATATAATTTGAAATATTGTGTCAATATGTGTACTATTTTAGTTTTAATTCTAAAAAATTTGTACAGAATACTGTTTTCTGAGTATGAATATGTTTCAGCATAAAATTTATTATGTGTGTAGAGTATTACTGTCTTAGTAGCAATTTATAAAATGTTGTCTTAATGTGTGCATTGAATACTTTTGTCTAAGTATTAACAAGTTTTAAGCATAATTCTGTTATGAGATGTTTACAGAATACTACATGTATTATCTATGGATAAACAAGTTTCAATATAATATATCATTATACAATGTTGTCTTGATTTGTTTATAAGATACTATTTTCTAAGAACAATTTGCGAAATGATATATTATTATGGAATATTGTGTATATTTTAGTAAATTCTTTCGTCTTAATCTAAACAAAATTGCAATACAATATATCATTATAATTGTTGTTTTAAAATGTTAATATAATAGGCTTTATATTATAATACATGTACTGTCTTAATCTCTTTATAGAATACCATTATTTAATAATTATTTAAATAATTGCAACATAGCATATTATTATTAACCATTGTGATATTGTCTCATTAAGATCATAGAGTAATACTATTACCTAAAAAGAGACAAGTTTCACTGTAATATATTTTTATGGAAAATTGTATTGAATTAGTGAATGCTGTTTCATAGAAACTGTGGCCATTGATGCGTCAAAATTGTATTAGTATTTTTACATAACACTAGTTAACACTATTGTCTTAGTATAAAGAACCTGACAAGTTTCATAACATATTATTATGGAATATTGTATCAATATATTGCCTTTGAATAATTTTGTCTAAGTATGTGTAAAGTATGATCCAGTTTCAATATAACTTAATATTACTATGAAAGGTGTACAGAATACTAATATCATAATATGAACCAGTTTCAATCTAACATTTTATTGTGAAACATTGTATAAACTTAAATATGACCAAGTTTCAACATTAGGCCTTATTTTGAAGATGTTGACCTAATGTGTGTACAGAGTGATAATATTTAAGTATGATCCAGTTTCAACTTAACATATTACTATGAAATATTGCATATAAGTCTCACATAAGTTATTATTATACAGTGTTGTCTTACTGTGTGTACATAATACTATTATGAACCAGTTTCATCATATTATTTAAAGTATTCTATAAGCTTAAAGGGACAGTCCCAGATAGTTCAAGTCTTTAAAACTAAAAGTTCGTTTATGCATGGAATTCAAACTCCAATCTCTAGAAAAATGGTATAAAAACCCGTCGAAACTCCAATGGAAGGCCGTGGCCGTCAATTCCCGTTGACGCCAGATGAGCCATGAACGATTGCAGGCCTTTGAAAGTATTTTTTTTCAAGATATTTTTATAAAACAGATCTAATAGTAAACACCATATGAATGAAAAGGAAAATAAATTGTTATTTTTTTTTATCTACTACGGTTAATTATCTCCAAAATAGGGAAATTACAGGTTAATTTCATGGGTTATTGTTTCCTTTACCTAGTTTTTGTCAAGTCGATTCCGGTCATTTTTATTTTTTGTATCAAATGTTGGGAGGTTGCTTGTTCACGTGAGCATAAATTTTTTAAACCCACCCCATGAAAGAAGTAGCTATAGGGCGTCAAACTTTGGGTGACGAAAAATGGGGAATATAGACAGGCTTTGATATCCAGTCCGTATACAGATCTCGTTCGCCAGAATCGTCTGAAGTTAATATTGTGGTAACAGCACTGAGTCATCGATAAACTGTGTGAGTTTGGTCTTTCTGCTACGTATAGTAAAGGTGTAAGGACTTGCCAAAGTTGGTATTTGAGAAAAGACAGATTTTGGCAATTTCACCATATGAAAAATGTTTTTTCAATTTTCTCATACAGGAATTGAAAGATTTATCTAATATTGCACATTTATGTGTTTTGGGACTATCCCAACTTATAAACCAAATTTGGTCAAAATCTGTGATTGAAGCCTTAGCACCTTTTGCATGGTTTTCTCGCGGACACGCTCTTAAAAATTGGAAAGCTTGTCGGGTTTTATTAGACTCACATCATATTCACAGATGAAAGGCCTATAGAATCATATTACTGTTTTTACTTTTTGAAAACGTATAAAAATGAATAATATAGCCTGTAATAGTTGTACAGGTCTAAAGTAGGGGTTTATAGGTAATTTTCATAGAAAAATTAAACAGTTGTATCCTCCAAAAATCATCTGGGACGTAATGAAGTAGCTTGCATTATTCTACTACTATCTTAGACTAACTCACCGACAGTTATATCAGTATCCATTGCTGGAAGTAGGGTACTATAGTCCAGTTATCTCGTGCACAGATTAGTACAATTAACTGGAATAGTGTTGACGTAAAACGGTGCCTATACGAAACACTTACCCAAAAATGGTAATTGTCCCGCCCTAATAGATGACGCATTATAATATCTATATAGGAGAGATATGGTTTGATGTACCCTCTGATATTACAGATCGGCCCAAGAGGGGAACATCGTAGCCTCCTCGGCTGAGAGACTGGGATAGAGACAAAATGTAGTATTTAAACCGTTAGGTCTGAGTTGTAAAGGATGCTAAACTCAGACCGTATATAGATATTTTAATAACGCCTAAAGTTTCTATAATAGATGTTGTAGTTTTCTGTATTTGTTATATAAACTTAGTAACAACATAAACGGGTTCCAGAGTCAGTTAATTGATGATTGAAATAATTGATCCCATTACGTGAAGTCGAAGAAAGTCATAGACGAATGTGTCACACATCTACCTTTAATTGTCACAAAGACACCTCCGCACAAGCGAATTACAGAAACAAGTGTCCAATGTAATAGTCCCGAAATGAATGTAGGTTAAACCCCATCTCTCTCTCACCACCCCATGAACATCATTGCCAAGTGTATGGAATCAATAACATTTGTTTCATATTACATTAAAGCTGTAATCTTACACCCCCCCCCCCCAACTTCTCTCTTTCCCCCATTTCCACCCCATCCACCCGTCCGCACTAAAGTAATCAGTTAGAAAAACAATCAACCTATAACTTTATTTTTATCAGTATATATACAGTAACAAAACATTAGCATCAATATGAACAACACAAAAAAACAAAAACATTTACAAATTACGGATAATTAAAAACCAGAGGCTGCCAGGCAAGATACGCCCACATTTTGCAAGAGATGGATAGAGAACAATCAGTGGCCATAATCCAGAAAGTTATATTATGAAATACGCTATTATCGAAGGGAACTGAGATCGTTGAGATAAACCTATATATCCTGTCAAAATCGGATAAAAATTATTATTGTGAAATCTAGAGGGTCCACAAACAAATTGTGGGCGACGGCAATATACGTCCACATGAAAAAGTGGGCGTATAACAATTGAGGACATTTCCCAAGTAGGAACAAGTGCACATAAAAACAAATGGGCAAATGGTTTAACCACTGAAACTTTAAAAGGGTGTTGCTTATTTTGTTCCTACTACATCCTCGGGACTTTATAAATAGTTATGTTGCGAGGGGGTGTGATCCGATATAAATAGTTCTGTTGGGAGAAGTAAAATAAAATAACCGGATAGAAATAGTTCTGTTGCTATAGAGCAGTGATTCTCAACCACTGCTATATTTTGCGACAGAGCATGGCCAGATTTAAATAGTTCTGTTGTGATAGGACGTGGCCAGATATAAATAGTTCTGTCGCGAGAGAGTGTCATATAATAGTTCTGTTCCGGGAGGATGTGACCTTTAGTTTGCGATATCACCCTATAAAACAACAACAAACAACAAAGGGTGTGACTAGATGTATCAGTATGAGTGAATGTACATTTATTCGAACCACGTTTCGCCTGAAATCAGGTCAATAGAACTATCACACAAAGTTTTTAAAATTTCAATCTCTTGTAGGTTATACCAAGGGCTAAATATTTGCAATTTATCTTGCACCGGGTAAAATTTTGAACGAAGAAAGAAATATCCGAAAATTATTTTATCCCAGAGGACTAAGGGGGAGCTCAAGCTGATGAACCTATAATAGTAGTCGTAACTAATCAAATTTGAGCAACAATTATCGCAGAGGGTGTGTATAATTGGATATTGGAATATTTAATGGCACGTCCGGTAATTGCATCCATCTTTGTTTTAATCGTTCTAACAAATTATCTTTGTAATTATCGCGTATAATCATATCGATTATTCTAGAATTTGGTTCTATTGGATTTTCCCAACTTCTGTAGTGATGTAGTCTAGCGTCGTCTTCGTTTACTTTATAGGCTTTATAACCATTTCGCCACGTCCAGACCGTATGAATTCCAACTACTTCCACCCCAGACGGTTTCACGATATATTTAGATCTTTGATACATGGGCCATACTTTCCGTTCTCTTTTAACAGTTAACAATGTCTCCGATTTATATTTTTCAGCCTGAGCTCGACCTTCGAAATCACCTTTCAATTTTGGCCATTCTTTTCGGAAGAAAATATTTCTAAAAACAAAGGCACCATATTTGTGTGAATCAGTATCTATTTTGCGTATCAAGCTGGGCAAGTCTGTGGTGTTTCTTGGAATAATAAATTCATCCAAGTCAGTATAAACAACATATTTACTGGTGTACAGATTTCTATATAGGCAGTCATTTAAACTCGCTAATTGGGCAAAATAGTGCACTTCCTCTTTCTTGTTCTGTGGCCACCTATCGACTAAGATCGGAAGATGCCACTGGATAACCTTAACAACACCCTCGTTTATGTAGGTATCTAAAACTTTATCCACATTACTACCTGTCGAGTAATTATAGAAGAAAAACTGCTCCACGCCTAATAAACGATTTAATTCGACCATTTCCACCAGTTCGTATGCTCGACTATATCTAAAGTTAAGCGGCGTTAAACACAGCGAGAACTTCCATTTTTGCTCCAAATTATGTTGAACTGACAGAAAGTTTGTTGGTTTTTCACATAATGACGTTACTAAGGAAACAGCATAAGGGATGAGTTCTTTCTGTTTCCATTGACAGATGTAAAATGTAGCCGAATACCTGTAAATATAATAGACAAAGCATTAATTATTAATTGATGGACACATTAATTATTAATTGATGGAATTCACAATTATTAATTTATGGACATTCCATATGTGGGAGGGGGGGGGGTTGAATGGTTAGCACGTGCGCGCTGTATCATAAAGTCTGTCATTGAGTCAACTGGCGTGGTTTCGATTCCCCGGTTGTACGTGACGAGGAGTAGGGTCGCCTGTCCAACCGCGTGGGTTTTCTCCGGGTCCTCCGGTTTCCTCCCACTGCTAAAGAACCCTACGCGCAAGCGAATTATGGAAATAAAATTGAACCATATGTTAGTCCCGAAATGGCCTAGTTTGTGTCGAGTGGACGTTAAACCCCATTTCTCTCTCGCCCCGCCCTATATGTCTGCCCTTGCATTAAACATTATTTCCGTCTTCGATCTTAAAGGAATACTATCTTGGATAGCTTATACTGCTCAATATTTGAAATGTTAAATGAATTAGATAGGATCAGCAATTACTAACAAAAACGCTTTTTACACTGCTTCACCACCATTATAGATTCTAACTTTCTAAATGGTCCATAAATCTTGGGGGCCCTGTGTAATTCAGTACTGCCCATAAGAATTGGAGCTTTGGCAATGACATGGTAAATTAGAATATAAATTAATGAAATAGTGTCTAATAGTGTTTAAAGAAAACGATGTCATTTATTCTATCCACATACGGTTGAAATTATGTGATGTGTAATAATGCTTATATGCGTTCATGTTTAGGTCATTAGGTCATTTGAATAGAATATTTAATATGCTTATAAATGGTTCAAGCCCATCAAAATGTAAACCTTTATTATGTTGAGCACTTGTATTATATTCTATTATATTCTGTATTGAAACTTTTGAAAATATTTGACTTCTTAATGTTCTGTTGGTCTCCTAAAATTAAATTCTATTTTTGGTTTAAACATTATCTATTCATAAAATATCAAATATAGCATTGCAAATTTTAAAGATATGATATACAAAAACAAATAAAAGCTTTTTGTAAATTTGCTTCAATTCATAGGCAAACGAGCCAGGGGTGAGGGTGGGGGGTGTCCCCGCTAGCTTTCGGGCAATCTGACTTTTCGGGCAGACGGGTCAAGTGAAAATAAAAATTATTATTTCATCTAGTTGGCAAAATAAAGTGCCCGAAATCTAATAAAACATTAATTTTACTTTTCTTTTTATTAAAAACCACGAGCCAAGGGGGGGGGGGGGGGTGCCCCCTAGCTTTCGGGCAATCTGACTTTTCGGGCAGACGGGTAAAGTAAAAATAAAAATTATTATTTCATCTAGTTGGCAAATATAGTGCCCGAAATCTAACATTTACTTTTTATTGAAAACCACGACCCAGGAAATCTAATAAAACACTAATTTTACTTTTCTTTTTATTGAAAACCACGAATTTGTACTGTGCGACATTTTTCGGGCATCGATTATTATCTGTGAATGCAGCTGCAACAGTCTGATTGGATGGTTGGAATTCATGTCGGCATAGAGTGGGATTTCGGTTGCAAAGTTGCAACCCGATTGGAAACTTGGAAGTTGCTTAATTCACGGGCTAGAGAATAGAAGAAAAACGCATTTGCGGCGGTTAAATTTTCAGAATTTTCTCGGGGAGCGCGAGTCCCTTATTAAAGGACAATATTGGTGCCAGTCATTATCACATATGTGATAGAGCTGGTTAAACACATTCCAAATATAATTTTAACACAGAGATCATTGCTACGATAGCTGAGTAATACAGGTTTCCTGAGTCGGAAGTGACAATAAATTCATTATTATACATGTGGATCATGAGGTGACTTTTAAATGTATTAATAACCAGAAGCCTTTTACGAAGGGTGTTTCACGTTTCACCGGTGTCCTCTTACCAGGATAAATCTAAAAATATCAGATTAATTTATACATAAAATGGTTTTCCAGAATCGGAAGTGACGAACGCCAAAGGAAAACACTAGTCATCTCTCTATATAACTGACTGATGTGACGAGTGATAACGGATATGCGGCCGAATTTCTGCTCACTAATAATTCCTTCGAAGACCAAAAGTTGATATATGAGACTGTAAGAGGATACCTGACAATTCAATAAAGTAATTGAATGTCATTAGATAAGAGAACACGAGAAAAATAGAAATAGTCCGTACATTCCCTTGTTTATATTCATTCTATATCTTATAAAACCATGGTAATGCACGGACTTTTTCTGTTTTTCTTTCGTGTTCACTTATCTAGTGGCATTCAATTCTTTTTATGAATTGTCAGATATCCTATCACAATCTCATACAAAAACTTTTGGTCTTCGAATGAATTATTAGTGAGCAGAAATTCGCCCGTATATCCGTTATCACTCGTCACATCAGTCAGTTATATAGAGAGATGACTCGTGTTTTCCTTTGGCGTTCGTCACTTCCGATTCTGGAAAACCATTTTATGTATAAATTAATCTGATATTTTTAGATTTATCCTGGTAAGAGGACACCGGTGAAACGTGAAACACCCTTCGTAAAAGGCTTCTGGTTATTAATACATTTAAAAGTCACCTCATGATCCACATGTATAATAATGAATTTATTTATCGTTGATGTTATGCATACGTTAAAATTTCACACACCGTCTTCTTTATATTATATATTATTATTGGCTTACTTATTCAACAAGGATGTTACTCAAATATATATTTTATTTTTACACACGTGACGGCGTTAAGGAGGAATAAAGGTTTGACTATTCATTTTATTCAAGCAAACCAGTGAGGCGTTAAAATAATTACATAGAAATAGAATGTTAAAAAATAAAAGGAAATATGGCCGACAATTCTTTCCGGAGAGAATTAGATATTTTGATAGTTAAATTCCATTTACTGTGGCTTCTTTTGGCATATGCCTAATTGGATATCATAGTCTGTCATTTGTTTCATTACCTCCGCCAAAATGTGTTAAAGTAAAGTGAACGCTGAGTCTGATTGTACATGTAAGCATCTCTTACAAATGGAATTGAAATACAATATGGTATTTTTTTTTAATTAAAAACAAAAAATCAATGGTGACAACCTAAAATGGATAAGTGAACCCAACGGACAAGTAAAATTATTTCTACTTGTCACCCGAGACAAGTAACATTTTACTAACATTTCAACCTCTGCTGAGTCCAGCGGTCTATAAATTGTTTACATAAAGGTAACAATAACCTTGGTGATGATGTCTAAGAAAATATATACCAGATAGTTCATGATTATCGTTGCGATTGACTGGAATACGTCTTTAATAATTAACAATAAGTCTTTAACATTAACACTAGCATCAATATATACAAAAATATGACTAAGCCGAAAGTCGACAAGACGGTACACTTAAGCCAAAATGCAAGTCGAAAATAAGAAATTAGGAAAAAACGAGGGGCCCTATTATCGCAGTGTGTTATATCATCTAGTACTTAGATAAAGATATTATTTATTTTCTGGAGCTTTCAAGCCAGCAAGAGTGTTATTGTCCCTTTAAAATATAGAGCTTGTTGAAAAGTGGTAAAAATAAGCTTTTGCGGTACATTTTTTTGCAAATTTAATAGAGAAATAATTTTTTTTGACTTGTATACGTTTTCATCATATCCATAGTCATCATTTGTACCATGTGGTACTGTATATAAGTGTATATTTGTACTTATTGTATATTTGGTTTTGTCGTATTGCCCCTTTAACATATTTGTTGTATTGTCTCTTTAATGTTTCATTCTCCAACAGGTCACCGAAAATGGCTACAAAATGTTCAATTTCAGAGCATGTTTCTACTATTCATTTTTGGACACATCCACTGATTTCTACAATACAGAAGTGGAAGCTTTAATTTTAACGATTTAGAATAAGAGAGGCCCTAGGCAATTCCTCATAACAGGGCCCGCGACATGGACCTTCTGGACCTGGAATAAACACCTCGGTGAGGGGATGGGTCGATCATACGGTTCGTGGTTCTAATCTAACTTTTAGGTGAATGTTTCATTTTTGGTTGGATTATTTTATTTAAAGGAGCTAAGTCGCTAATATTTGGGACCTATAAATTGACACAAATGGGTCGCAACGCATACAATAATGTAATATGAATGTATATAAAATGATTTACATTCAATCGTTTCTGTTTTTTCTGTAATTTCTAATCAGTTAGTTTCGGCGAAATACGCCAGTATTCTCAATCGAATTTCAATCTCTAGCGTCTGGTTATTCCAGTCTACGCCGAAAGTATTTATTGGGCATGCTCTCCAGATAAGAATATAGCGTCACCGTTTGACATGAGTTGTGGAATATGCCTAGCCTCGTTTTTCGAGTACCTTATTACAAATAGCGCTGAAACGCATTATGGTACACGATTCGTGTACCAATTGTAATATGTTTATTTTGTCTTAAATATTGGATATCAGGCCATTTTTCCCAGTAAGATCACAACATCAATGTTGATTTAAACCGACAAATAAATCGTGTTTTCAATATCGAAGATTTTGGATGATATTGAGTTAGAGACTTAGCTACTTTAAAATAATGTCTATTTGAGAGTATGGATATGTTTTGTTGAGAAAATTTCATTGAGCACGTCGATAGGGCTGGTAGTAAACACCATACAAATAAAAAGAAATAAAAATTGTTATTTTTTTTTTATCTACTACGGTTAATTATCTCCAAAATAGGGAAATTTCATGGGTTATTTACCTAGTTTTTGTCACGTCGATTCCTGTCATTTTTATTTTTTGTATCAAGTGTTGGGAGGTTGCTTGTTCACGTGAGCACCCCATGAAAGAAGTAGCTATAGGGCGTCAAACTTTGGGTGACGAAAAATGGGGAATTTAGATAGGCTTTTATATCCAGTCCGTATACACATCTCGTTCGCCAGAATCGTCTGAAATCATTTTTGTGGTAACAGCACTAGGTCATCAACAAACTGTGCGAGTTTGGTCTTTTTGCTACGAATAGTAAAGGTGCTAGGACTTGTCAAAGTTGGTATTTGAGAAAAGACGGATTTGGGCAATTTCACCATATGAAAAATGTTTTTTCAATTTTCTCAGTCAGGAATTGAAAGATTTATCTGAAAGTGCACGGGACTATCTTCGTTTTAAACACAACCATTCTCAAATGAACTTCTTTAAAGACTCTATGCGTGATTAATTATGAAACTCAGAATTTTCAAAGATATGACGAATTGAAAATTCCATCGTTCTCTGCTGCTCCCTATTATGTAACAAGGAGCCTGAAGGCGGTCGCCTTCTTTAATTGTCGTGAACCAAATTGATGGGCCTGTTTTAAATCCGATGGATTGCTTATCTAGCGTTGGTGTTTTGATTTCGATTAAATGTTAAATAATCAATCTGAATACACATTTGCACGGATTAAGCTGTAATAAATTTGATATTTTGCGAAAAATGCAAATCACACATTACTATATCAGTCTATAGTGCAAAAACATGAACACTTACCGCTTTGAATGATCTTCAGGGATTTTCTTAATATAAACTGTTTCTAGCTCTAATTCAGTTTTCCCGTTAAACCACATCTGACAAAATATTCCTTGACTCGATTTCCTCTCCTTTAGACCAATAATCCGAACTTTAGGCTCGGTGATATTTTCATAAAAAGCCGAGAAAACAAAATTCTTTATATCTCCGTTTACTTTTTGCCAGGTTTCTTTATCGAACACTTGTTGAGGACGCCACAGTTCCATGCATGGTCCAGATTTTCTCTCCGTAAAAGTTACGGCTGTTGGGCGTTGTTCAATAGTCGGTGAATTTTTTGGAACATCCACAAAATTTTGGTATTTATTATTTCGTTCAGCTGTGATGACAATATTCCCTGCAGCTGTGATGAAAGTATGTCTATCAGCTGTGATATAAGTATATATCATAAACGACACAACATAAAACACAATTAAAATGTAGATTAGTTTCTTTAAGTAGAAACGCATTGTGATCGTAATGAGAGTTTGTAGATTTTATATACACACATAACACGAACCAACGTATTACAAATCTAAAATCAGATGGACAAATGTTCAGGTTTAGCAGGAAGTATGTTTCACTACACGTTTGTTGATCTCAAAAATCGACTTTCGGACACAATTTATTACAAATGTGAGCCACTCACAATGCTACATCCACACATGAATAATATTTCCATTTGATTTGTGTACCATTGACATCAGCGCTGAAAGAAATATGAGATTTGTGCATGTATAGTATTAATCAATACCTTGCATGAAATACTAGGCCTACCCCACTTTAAAAAATAGCAATAAGGATATGTAAGTTTACACGTCAGTTGGAAAAAAAGTAATATATCACATGATTAAAGGCACAATCCCGCCTCGAGATTTATAAAATAAAACACACCCCAGAATCCAAAATTCAGCAAATATTTTATAAAAATATCAATTTTACAATTTCTCACAAATCTTCAGATTTGGAGATTAGGTTAGATTCTGGACATTGATCCCAATGCATAAAACATTGGTACGTATGCACACGTAAGTTCGGTGGAGCTGTGCGTGGAATTCTTTACTTCGCTTTGTACAACAGAGTCTACGAGAATATTCACATAATGTTATCATATAAATCGGACTCAATGAATGGGCTGGATCGGCTGGATCAATTTCTCTGAAATTTAAAATGTGCGCATATAAATAAAATACCTTAGATATCCCTGAAGTTAATATACACAACCAGCTACTTCCAAAAAAACAAAACCAGTATATTTAACAAGGATTAACTTCAAGGCAACATATTAGGATTTGGTTTTATCCCCAACCTTTTGCATCTCTCATGTAAACATACTCGTTAAAGTAAACATATATTAGCTATATAAAGTAAACACTATAATATGAACAGCCTTGCTTTCTAGAAGTTACATTATATCCGGGCAATACTATAAATAGTTCAATATAATTAACGGCCCAAATTTAGTTCCCCGTTAGCAACGGAAATAATAAACTATAGTCAGTATTTGGTTAAACTTAAAGACATAACCCCCTTAACCTGTTCCTTTGTACATGTATTATATAATTTATTCTTATGTAAAAACAATATTTACGCTAATGATAATCCCCTATCAGTATTAATGTAGGCTTTAACTTAAGGTCAACTGTGTTTTATAGTAATTAGCATGTATTACTGTAAAATAGAATAGCCTTAATCATTAGCCCAGTCGGGGCAGAACAGTAACGTTAAACCCCATTTCATTTCATTTAAACTAGAATAGCAGTTAAAGATGAAAATATGGCGGTATATTAGATTCAAAATTCTAACGTGCTATCGTCTAATTTCTAACTTCTATTCGTGTAATGTCTAACTTCTATTCATGAATAGAAGTTACAAATTACACGAACAGAAGTTAGAAATTAGACGACAGCTGGATAGCAAATTAGAATTTTGAATCTAATATACTGAAACCAAGAATAAGTTTAAGAGCTGAATTTTGCTGGTGTTGAAGGAAGTCTGAAAAATGTTTATCAGAGCTGTTCCATATAGGTGAACAGTAATCAAAATAGGGTTGAATATTTGATTTGTAAAACATAGACCGAAATTTAATAGGTAGAAGTTGTTTTAATTTGCGAAGTTGAAATATTTTTTGGGTAATGATTTTTGAAACATATTTAACATGTTCATTCCACTGAAGGTGGTTATCAATTTTTACGCCTAGTAGTTTGAAGTTTGAGACATTTTCTATAATAGAATTATTGATAATGATTGAAAGGTTAGGCTGAATATATTTTCTTTACATTTTGATTTTAAAATATCCGTAATAAATTTGAATATCAAAACACGACTGCACACCTGTACATCCTGTCTATTTTTACATAATAATTATAAGATACTTTTTTGTCACGTACGGCACTCTGTGGTACGGTAACATTAAACTAGGGCTTATGTCGACTTTGCAACTGAAAGCAACTGGCGTTTCAGCAACTGGGGACAAGTGAATGCAAATGAAAAACCATGACTTTTGTGTGTGTGTGTGTGTGGGGGGGGGGGGGGGGGTTCTTCTAAGTTATTCGCTCTCAGTTGTCCTCAGTTGCTGATGTGATCGACATAAGCACACTTACAACTGACTGCAACTAGTTGCTTTGGGCTGCAAAGTCGATTTAAGCCCCGCTCTAATTTATTTACATGTACATATTTATGTGTAGATACTTCATAAGGCTATAAACTAGTCATTCTCCACACAAATCTCGCTATCCAGTAAATGTGAACAGCAAGGGAAGACAATTGTAAACTAGTGTCAAACTGATGAAAACAAGCGTAAATCCTGTTGAATTGATTGTTATAAAATTGGCTGCGATTTGACTAACAACTTTGTGAGTAACTGTAAAGTACGACAGAGCTAAGTGTAAATATTGCAAATGGCAACTTTTCGCGGTATTGCCGTGGTTAATTCTTGCATGTGGAAAGGACGTTTTACTTGCTACCAGTCAGACTTAAAAATCGCCTGTCGGCGACAAAAGTAGACAGCCGAAGATCATTCGGCAAACCTCAGCAGATTCTAGTACTCTACATCTAACCCTAGATGTAGGGTCCAGGAAATCTTCCGAGGTTTGCCGAGTGAGCCGAACATTTCGAGCCATACAGTATTAGTAAAGCAGTTCCTGCATAATGCATATTTATTTTAAAATCGAAAGTTGTTTAAAATTAAATGTAACCTCTTAATTAGTTTTAATAGTTAAAAAAGGGTTACAAATTTAATATCCCCGTTAGCATAACATCAAACACAGTTTGGCAGAGAAGGGGATATGTAGGCTACCAGCTTTAAATTAAAATCGAAAGTTATTTCAAATTCAATTTAACCTCTTTAACAATTAAGAAAAGTAATGAAAGGGGTGAAAATTGAATATCCCCGTGAGGATAATATCAAACACAGTTTGGAAGATAAGGGGATATACGCCCACCAGCAACTTCGACGTCTGCGCTATGATAAGATACTTCGTGACTTCGTCTCATTATATACTCTTCAAAACAAAGTACGGGATATTCAGAAACAATACAAAACTGTGGAAATGCACTGCTGTTTTTATTAGAGGTAACCAGTTTATTTTAATAACAGGCTAATTGCCTACACATGAACATAAACAGTTCATATGGGCGGCTTATCTGACGGCCCCATTTCACTCGCCAAGAGATACACTGTCAAAAGTGAAAATGGCCGTTTTTGATTTTTGTCTTAATAATTAGTAATTGCTCCACCAATTGCTTCAGCAATTCGTCGTGGTATGCTCATAATCAACTGTCCAATCACGATTTGGGGCAATCTTACCCACTCCTCTTGCAGTGCCACGGCTAATTCTTGCAGTGTTGTCGGTTGACGTTGACGTTGACGTCGACGAACACGTCTCCCGATCAAATTAAACGTAACACACTAAAGCAAAGATACGCTAAACAGTAAATCTTATGCATGAACCGATACGGAAAGCAAACATGGGTAGGATAAACCAGCACGCGGCAATTTTCATCAACCCTTCCTTGAAGTGTCAAATTTGACAATGAAGCCCTCCCACGTGTATGGTGCTATTGCGTGTCGGACGTGCAGTTCAGTGGTTCTGTTGGGGCGATAAGTTCTTCATCTGTGAACATACTCTCAAAGCATGTCAAGTGTTCATGACTATTTATCATATCACAACCTGCATAGGTATTTACATTTCAATATCCCCTACTTTTTTTTTGAAGAGTATATTTGGGCATGATTTTGTTCTTTCTTTTATAAATTATAAAACGTACCAGTAACTGATGAGGGGCATATGAACCCTGGTCGATTGGAAGTGCTAATTTAGGTCAATTCATGCAATATATCGAGTAGCTATATCGCAAATATTGTTACCGGAGCTTCCGTGGAGTCAATTTTGTGCGTTAAGTTATCGTGGTAATTTTTGTATTGGGTAACATTCACTAGTTAGTATCCACTAGTGCAGGTGACTTTTAAGTTTAAGACGCATGGGAATGTGCCATGACCTGGCTGCGCGAAAGGGCCTGCGTAGTACAACAGTGAAATATCAAAAAACAGGGACAATATTAGATCTACAAAAGTAGTTTTTTGAAATGCAAAATCTTTAACCCCATACTAATATAATTATTCATGAAAATTTGATGAACTTTGTACTGTAGAGTGGATACAGGTACGGTAATGTAGCTAACGTACCATAATTATTAGATTTATCCCTGGAAATACTTTATTTTCTAAGTAAAAGTATCAACATCGATTAACACAGGACTTCCTTACCCCGAGCCCAATAGGCCCTACTGTTGTTACTGAAATTTGAGGAAACTCGAAGAAGATTTTAAAACTGTAGAGTGAGTACTAGTAAGTTGGACGGTCGTATATGCCAAGGCAAGAAATACACGTGGACGTATAAAATGGTCGCTTTCGATGATCCCTCGTAGTCGTAATCTGAAGCCTGTAAATATGGACGACGTCACAAAATTCTACGGAGCACAGTAAGGGACACAAATTCTGATAATGCCTTCAAAACTTAGCTGAAATCCATTATTAGATAGAAAATATCTAGGTCTGCCATTTAGGACTATTAAGCCTTGTCTTTCTGTTATTTATTTATTTATTATATTTATACCCATTCATTATACTTGTGTTGAATGTTGTGTCACTATCAGACCAGTTTGAGGTAAATGTGTATTCTGAGATGATTATCATACTGTTTGTCCTGATGTGCAACCTAGATTAAAATTATCATTTGTCTTGTTTGTAAATAATATATATTATTTGTCATATTGTTATATATTTATGTACATGATTATATTGTATGCTGTCCACAATGGATGTTTCGATACAATAAAATCTTATCTTATCTTATCTTATCTTATTGAAATCCACCATGCAGCCTAAATTTGCCCTATCAGAGTGCCAAGGTTCACATACTGTCGCGTCAAGCGTTTTTTTAAAAACAGGTCTGAATAACCACCATCCAATTTCAAAAGGTGCGAATCGATTTTACAATGTTGGCTACTGGGGACCTCTCAGATTCCTTGACAGAAAATGTCGCGAATACAAAGTTTCGCGCTTTCCAGCTAAAATCTCTACCCCTTGCAATGTCAAGGTTTCCGTAGAGGTTGCCATGTTTGATTTGAGTGTGATTGTGTCACGGCCTCTGATTTGACAACGCTATTTCTGACTAGTCTAGCAAAAGTAAAACTCGGGATCGTTCCTTCAGGAACATGTATAGAAGTAGGATTATATAGTCACCACAAAACACAATAGCTGTTTATTAAAGAACGCTTCATATCTACAGATAACATTTTTCTCGTCTTGTAGGAGTGCATGATGCATGATAATACCGTAAAATATTCTTTTTGGGTGCTATGACACCGCATCACAGGACAGAAATACAATATTGTCTTATTATATTTATCCAGATGCGTTTAAATATAAATTTACTTGGTTCCAAAATAACAGGAGCAGAGGGAGGGGGGCAGGGGCAAATTAAAACAATTTCAACCACAACTGATAGATAGTTATAATTCCTGGTCCATTGAGTTCTTAAACTAAGTTCGTTTATTCACATGACAAGCCCGCATAGTCAACTATATCGACCACCGGAGGTCTTAGATATTGGGTGGAATAAAGATTGCCTGCCATATCTGCGTTATATAGTAATATGACCAGTCACCAGAGTGCACTTGACACTGACAGGACTAACAAAATCGAGACTTCCATTATCATGGCAATGGTATAATTGACGATCTAGAACAGTGATTCTCAACCAGTGTGCCGCGAAATTTTGAACGGCAGACTAAGAAAATGCCAAAAGCCACTTGATCCCAATTGAGTATTCACTGACGTTAATAGCTGTGTTTTTTTCTTTATTCAGTTTGAGTCATTCTTTGTTTCTATGACTAGTCTGTGTCTACGGTTGTATATCATATATGACATGCCAGGTTTTAATTTTGGAAAATTCAAACATTTTTCATATGTATTTAGGGCGGGGGCGCTTTTTTTTAATGTGTTCTAAGGTGTGCGTTGCCAAAAAAAGGTTGAGAACCACTGATTTAGAATATAAAGTGTGAGTGGAGTTTCTATTTAAAAATTATGGCTATTTATTGTCAAAACTCCAAACATTAATAATACCGCTCTGATATTAAAGTAATTTCCAATATACATGTATATACATTTTTCATTATCTATATTTAACTATTATTATTATTATTGCATAATGCATCTTTTAATTGTAATATGTGATTAAGTGAAATCCAAATTTTAAAAACATTGCTTCATCACGTTCTATTGTTACATGGAAAACTACATATATATGTGACTTGAATACGTTCATATCTTAAACATGCATTATGCAAGTTCTGCCTATCGCAGGTCTTTCTTTAGGCCTGAAATCTTATCTAAATTATTAATTAGACATTAATTAACTTATCCAGACCATAATCAACTCTCGCTGTCAAGGCTAGCCTATGATATCGACTGGATTAGAATCCTATATGCTGCAAACGCTCATTTATAATTAAATCAAAACATTGGATAATCGAGACTATTCTTTTTAACGTACTAACTTTAGTAATGATGAACGAGGCTAGGCGGAAATTTACAAAGCTGATATCTGGGTTCATAGTGGACCAATTTGACTGAAATTTTCAACAAATTACCTTTACATTATCTAGTTTTTAACTATTATAGCGAGAACTGTCAGCTCTTTATCAATTCTCCCATAATGTATCTTTAAGCTGCTCTATTTTTATACATATGAATATACTGTATTTATTCGGTTTTGTCAAATTCATCTTTTCGTACCAGAGGGTGCGACTGGTGAACTCTTAAATATATATAATCAGCAATTGTAAAATATACTAAACCTGCCCCCACGCCACAGTGTAAAATTTGTTAGAAATAATACGTTCAAAATAAATAATAGGTCGTTTAGATGACCTAACTTTGCCCAAAAATAAATACGTCTTGAATGAATTCTATGACGAAAAGTAAAATTACACCTTTAAGTTTTCAGGGTGCCGCTGAGTAAGACGTTGGCTCGCTAACATGGAGGTCCAGCGTTCGATCCCGGTGTTGGCCGTAAAATGTTTGAGAGGTGCAGGACGGAGGGCCTTGCAAAGGAGACCGTATAATCATTCGGATGGGACGAAACCCTGAGGTCCCGTGTACGCCAATGAACCCTTGACAATTGGAATTCGAAATTAGAATCGGCTATCAAGTACCGTGGACAAGAAGAAAACATTTCAGAGTGAATGTTTTTAAGCGCTAGAATATTTTCCTATCCTTTTATGATTAAAGCGAATCGGCTATCAAGTACAGTGGACAAGAAGAAAACATTTCAGAGTGAATGTTTTTAAGCGCTAGAATATTTTCCTATCCTTTTATGATTAAAGCGAAAGTTGCATATATGCCAAGAAAGTCAAAACATAATTATCTTTATATACCTATCGATACTGGGTTGTCAAATCACGATGACAATCCAGTATCAAAAGGTATATCAATACTTATGTTTTGACTTTCTTGGAATATATGCAACTTTCGCTTTAATCATAAAAGTCCCCCCCCCCGGTGCACATCATAGTACTTGTAGAATACCAATCAGAAGATTAATACTAATAGAACGGCTGGTTTATTTGTCATTAATGATTATGCTTGATAAATGTATAATGTAAATGTTAAAACTTACCTTCTCAATAATTTGTATTGGCCATATATTTATTTTTACCCGGTGGTGCTATAGCAACATACGCGGACACGTATAATCGCCACTAACGACATTCTCCTCCTCTTCTCTTCTTGTGGGCAGTTCGTTTGGCACCGAAATCAGCCGTTCATGACTGGAATCACCCGCTCATGACCGCAACTTGACTACGGTCTTGTTCTGGGCGTCTTTCATCTTGTTACGATCATAATTTATCTTCTATCTATCTAGCTGTCAATAACCAATAGGTATCCTATAAATATGAAATAAAAACGCAATCCAAAATTATAATTAATTTCCTTATTTCACGTCATTTCATTCCCGATTTCCTCATCCCTTCCGCACAATTATGCGATTTGATAACAAGCCGTTGCCACGCCCGTAACTAAGGGGGGAGGAGGGCTCCCTGGGATCACTTCCCGACCCCCCTCGTTGCTCTGAGCTAGTTACGGCCCCGGTGGTTGCCTTGCCCACATTTTGTTGCAAAAGATGGGCGCGGAGAACAAGCTAAAAGAAAAGCGATTTTTCGTACTATCAGGGGCCATAAAGCCTGTCACTGAGTCAACTGGCGTGGTTTCGAATCCCCGGTTGTACGTAACAAGGAGTAGGATCGCCTGTCCAACTTCGTGGGTTTTCTCCGGGTCCTCCGGTTTCCTCCCACTGCTAAAGACCCCTACCCGCAAGCGAATTATTGAAATAAAATTAAACCATATGTTAGTCCCGAAATGACCTAGTTTGTGTCGAGTGGACGTTAAACCCCAGCTCTCTCTCTCTCTCTCTCCAGAAATTTAGAGTCCGATATGCGCAAGTATTGAAAGGAAGCCAAGCGTGGGTTTCATCATGGCAGTCCAATTCAAATGAATTTGTTTATGTTTTTGAATCGCAAAATTCTTCTTGAAAATAGTGTTCAATTATTATAAATTTGTGTCAGGTGTGTCGAGAAATGGTGCAAAACAGACGGCAAGGATTCCAAAATAGTCTTAAAACCGAGGTGAACATAGTGTAAAACGTTATTTTCATATTATATGTCTACAAGGACAGACAGTAACGATGAGAGACAAGCCTCTTTCAAAGTATAGTGATGACGGGTCTACTGCCTGTGCCATGCTAAACAAAAAAAGGGGGGGGGGGGGTTCCGTTCGTACAAACTACTTTAGTTCTCAAAATCTTACCCATAATATGTCAGAAATCCACTGTACAATTGAAAAGGTAAACCCTCACAAACATTGACATCGGGGAAATACCAAAATGGAAACCAATTACGTCACTCATTGGGGTAGATCATTTCGTACAAAGGGGTGACAGCATGTCATATCTATCGAAACGGTTCGCGGCACTTTTACGATAATTCAAATTTATATGGAAAAGCATGTATACGTCATGCAGCGTGCTGTGATGGGAAGTTATGCTCGGACTGTAGCGTTCTTTTACGTGCATATCAATGAGACCTCAGTTTTAATACCATCCGAAAGACGTAATTCCTTGCCAGGTCTTCCGTCTTACACTGACAAAGCAGTTGGGGGAGGGGGGCGGGGCTGAAAAATCCAGAGGTCAACAGGGCCTACCAGGGTCGAACTGGAACCCTCCTGGTTAGTGAGCCAGCGTCATACCCACTAAGCTACATGTGTATACAAAGACTGGAAACAGAATAAGAGCTACTACTTACACCATTTTCATGTAATTTGATCGATGAAAATTGAAAATCTGGTTTCAATAATCTCTTCACCTTTTTAGTCAATATTTGTAATTAGTTTTGGTTTAGAAATTGGATCCACGCGGGACCCCGGTTTTTTGCCCAATCCGAATAGACGCTATTGCTAGGCAGACAGGCCATGCGCTCTGCACCACTGACTATAGGGGTCGAACACACATATTAATGGAAATGAAATGAAATGGGGTTTAACGTCCTACTGTTCTTCTCTTACTTGGCCATGAAGACGGACATCGTCATGCAGTGTGCTATGAGGTAAATCTTCCTTCTGGTTAGCCAGATAACTTACTCACTGGGCCACCGTGGCTCCCATTAATTTAATATGAATGTATTTTTATTGTAATTTCCAATCAGTTATGTTCGGAGAAATACGTGAGGCGTCAAAATTAAAAGGCAGTAGTTTTCGTCTAATAAGTCCAGTCTACAAGTTTATCTTTTTATCTCTGTTGTTTGTGGATCAGCCATGTTTCCTTACTGTCGGATATATTTTTACTTTGTTTATCTCACGTCTTGACATATTTTCACGATAAGATAACAACATCAATAATGATAATCTTTACGTAGAATTTAGCGACGGGGAAACACATCAATGCTGATGTATGAGATGACTAGAAAAAATAATAATTCTGTCTACCCCAGGGACGTATTAATAATAGAGGCGTTTTATCTGCACGTGGCATTGACATGCTAAATTATATACAATGTAGTTCATCGGGATTTTTCCGCGTGGTTTCCCCTTGTCAGTGGTGCAGGGCGGAGGGTTGGGCAAGGACAGCTGTCTAGTCGTTCGGATGGGACGAAACATCGAGGTCCCGTGTACACGTTGGCGGGCGCGTAAAAGATCTCTTGGCAGTTGGAATTCGATATAAGAGTAGGCCGTAGCGCCGTTGTCCGGTCAAAATGTCCCTCACATAGCACACTGTATGGCGCATGCCCGTCTTCATTAGCCCAGTCGGAGCAGAACAGTAGGACGTTAAGCCCCATTCCATTTCATTTCAGTGCTAGGGGATTTATCCCTTTCACTGACAGGCGTAGAAAGTAGCCATTATACATTACATATAAAGAAGGGAAATTCAATGCTTTTGTCATGCAATTCGGCATCTAAAATATTTTAAATACCAACATTAAAACAATAAAAAATGTATTCCAAAGATACAATATCACGCTAATAATAATAAATCTGGCTTTTGTCCTACACCATTATGTTCACTTTGACACCTGATAAGTATTCAACCATTGTAATTATATTGCTAAGACAAATTATGGCTGGCTGATAAGATTATTACTATACAAGCCGATCTCACACATTATATACTTTAACTACAGTCTGAGACGCATAACCCAGTTACATATAAAGCAATAGAGAGCTGTGTTGTGCCATGTTACAGTAACAAATCGATGACAGTTTGATAACAAAATACATTTTGTTGCGATTGAATTGAAAACCTATATCCTTACCTCAGTGAATGCGTGTCTGTCGATCTTGGTTTGAAGGTTTCAACGAAATACAAAGATAAACATCATTGGCTTTTAATCACCATCTTCTACATCCACAATTCTGTATCAACATTCACCACTGTTTCACTATCAGTCACTAATCAATACTTTGCTTGTCTCTGGTGCCATTCATTGATTGGTTGGTAACTTCTCGCTCATCACGCTGGAGTTCCAACTGATGGTAAACAGGAGGGTTGAAGTTGTTTTTTTAGTGTCGCATTGGTCATACTTTTTAACTCACTTTTTCATATTAAAGCGAGAGCCTCAACCAAAATGTGAACACTGTCATGTTCCTTTGACGGTTAAGCACATTTTTATTTAGCTACGAGAACGTAACTAAAAACGTTGAAATATACGTTGAGTGATGAGGTTTGTTATCTTAAGGATGTATACAAGATCGCATTTTTACCATTGCCAGTCATTACATCACATGTTTGCCCAACCTGGTTTATATAATAAAGTGTTAAACTTTTTAAGAGACAGGATTTTATCATGAATTTTAATTGTATATATATATTTATTTTATTTTTAATTTTACTTACTGTGCTGTTGTTTTTAATTATGCATATAATTATTTTTCTGTGATATAATTTAGCCTCTCTCGAAATAATCACCAAAGGAATTATCAGTAAGCTGAAAATCGACCGTGTATCGGTTATCGATCTCTTCTTCCGTCAGTTATATATAAGGAAAACTCGTGTTTTCCGTTTGTGTTTGCGTCCCTCCCCTTTTCTTCAGATCTTCGTTACGCATCTACCGTAGCTAACTCTGTTAAAACTATTTTTGGAATGTGTTTTTAAACCAGTTATATCACATATTTAATATTGGCCGACACTAACATTGCCCTTTGAAGACACTTCAGTTAATTGTAACGCATTTATATCAAGTAAAAGTGGTCTACCAAAGTGGTCTATAAAGCTCGGTTCATACTACATCCGTATCCATAAACGTATCCGTATCCGCGTTTTGCCGTTCAAATAGAAACGCGAAAACGTCCGGCTTTCAAGGCTGAATTGTCTGTCAGAGATAACATATTGTCATTTGCAATCATGGAGTCTGACAGTGACACAGAGGAAGTCTTTCTTTTGTATTTGTGGACCCAAAGACGAAAGAGAAAAAAGAGTGTAGGGGTCCATGAACTGTTACAAAGAAGAAAGAAATATGGAGAATACCACAACCTGGTGCAAGAATTGTATTTTCATCTGGACAAATTCAGACAATATTTCCTCTGTCTTGTCCATGTTGTGTTCTTCATAAGACAACACAAATCCACAGCACACAAGGCCAGGCTTTTCTTGGAATGGATTGAGTTTCTGTTTGGGGAGATGATGTAATAAGGGGAAAGTACTCGCTGATTGGCTAAAGCTCGGCTCACTAGCCGAAATGCCGGACGCACTTTACAAAAATACGCTCTGGGAGCAATCAATCCGGCTTAACGGACGCAGTTGTTTTTGTGCGCAATACGTGCCGGATTCTATTTGAACCCTTTCTCTAAAAGTAACTAAAGTATACCAGTACGTATTCACGCACGTATTTACGGATACGGATGTAGTATGAACGGACGTTAATCAGTGCCGGATAAAAACGCATGGTCCCTGGTGCACTAAAGTAAATGGGGGCACCTTCCCAGCCCTCCTAAAAATAAGTTAAATTTCTATTGAACTTGGGGGATCACGTGGCTAAGTGGGTAAGACACTGGCTCACTAGCCTGGAGGACGGGTGTTTGATCCCTGCATTGGCCGAGAAAGTTCATCCCGATTTTCCGGCGTGGTTTCCCCTTGTCAGTGATGCAGGACAGAGGGCCTGACAAGGACAGCTGTCTAGTCGTTCGGATGGGACAAAAAACCGAGGTCCCGTGTACAAATTGGCGTGCACGTTAAAGATCCCTTGGCAAAATTTCCCTCATAGCACACTGTATGGCGTATGCCCGTCTTCATTAGCCCAGTTTAGGAGCAAAACAGTAGGACGTTAAACCCCATTTCATTTCATTTCTATTGAACTTGAAGTACATAAACAAACTTTTTGTTGATTTGAAGACAGAACACAATGAAATAGAAAAGTACAATCTCAAATCACCGAGGGCAACTGAACTACAGGAAGGAAATGATAATAATAGCAACTGTAGTGTTATTATTGTCTTCTATCAGACCATCTTGTGAACCTATACCCATTGAAATCACCAGAAATGGACAAAACTGGCTATAGGGAAGTCAACAAGTATCTGCATCTGAAAGGACTAACTCTATTCAGATACATGCTGACATGGTCTCCACTTTAGGAGATGAAGCCCCTCCCTTTTTCACATTATGAAGAGAGCTGCGGAATTTCATATTCCTAAAGCAATGGTCCGAGAAATCCCTCTCTGGCCATTGCTGGATTGGCTTCTGATACTTGAGCTTTTGAGGAAATGTGTCTGTTCTTCCCGTTGAATCAAATCTATCCCAAGTACAGCAACATGGCAGCCCTTTGTTTAATCTGGGTCTTCCCTAGAAAGTATGTTCGTCTCCAAACAGTATTGTTTACATTGTTTTCGATTTGATAGCCTCGTTTGTCACGCAATTAGTTTTTCGGCAATATTCTGCTATGCACTGGTTAATTGGGCATAATAAAATCTTGAGTCATGACGTAACGTTATGTAAACATTTGGTTCAATTTGGAGCTCTGTTTTAAGCGTAATGCTTTTGTAACGCAGTTAGTTATTGGTTGTTAATCGGACCATTGACCAGTCATAATTTGGAACTGAAATTTGCTTTCGTTAAAGCAGTGTTTAGTGGGATTAGGTATAATCAAACGAAACACTGCGAGGCTTATGCGGATTTTAAGCGTGGCAGAGAAGGCCATCAACCGCATCTAGATACAAGGAAACATTACCCGGGTGCATGACATGGTGATGGCTGATCGACGATTGACTACATGGCATATTGCCTGTGTTGTGGGCATCTCTCATTAGAGGGAAGAGTACATTATCGCCAACGATCGTACTAGTTTCTGCAAGATGGGTGCCAATGCTCTTGACTGTGTGTAAGATTCCTGACGTCCCGTGACAATCTGCAACGTTTTGAAGCAGATCCAGATAATTTTTTGGTCAGATTTGTAACCATGGATGAGACTTGTTTCCAAAAATGATGAAGGAACTAGCCGGTCACTGATTGTGATTGGTGCAATAATGCTTTTAATCTGATTAAAACACAGATCCTATTTCGTTTTGTTTTTTATAGTTCAAAATTTTGTTTTAGTTGTCTTCACAACACTAGGATCTGGAAGAGTAGTTGTCTGACATCATAGGATCAAAAGCCTCTCGTATGACCCCTGACGCGACCTTCCAGTACAACTGGTCTGATCTTCGGAATGTAGTTTAAGCCATCAAAAGTATAAAAAAAAAACGAAACGAAAGATAGATATGTATTTTAATAGATTGATTGTTGCTAACTATCGTTTATGTTCAGATCTTTAGAACACAGACCCTAAAATTTCCTGCACTGCCCCCCACCCCCAAAACGTGCCCTAAATTTGGTCTATCTATACCCTTCTTTGGAGGGCCCAGCACACCTCTAAATTCAGTGTTGACTACGAAATGCGGCTCCATAGCCCAACTCATAATAATACCACATTAATTACTACCGTGTTTCATTGTTTGGACGTTCAATTGGTGCCAAATATGCCATTTTCAGTTAAATATTTAACCCTTTTGTGTCAAAATATGTATTTAAAACCCACAAATAATAAAGCACAATTCGTGCACATGACAAGAAAATGGGTCAAATTAATTGCGTAACAATAGTTTTACTAACAATTTAATGTGTGTGATGTTAATGGAATGATATAAAACAATAAAGACATATCATAATAAATAATAACCTATAGATGTCAGACAACTTATTGATCTCTTTAATCGCCATATCTCCATACTGATCATGTATAATATCTTTAAAAGGCATTTGGTGAAAGTATTATATAATACAGACAACTGGAACTAAAGCAATATTAAGTTATATAATACTTACATCAGTAACAGATATTAAAAAAAAGATAACATTTGATCACTTTAAAACAATGTAAAATTGTTTGTGGTTCTATGGTGTTATGTATAAATAATAAAATATAGTGAAATATAGTAACATTCATATTCATTTCTTAATAATGCTTTTCATAGCTGATACCCTTGTTTGATTAAACATTATATATAAGGTACACCAGACTAAAGGAAAATATAGACTTTGAGCTAGACTATACACAAGTCTTCATAAAAGGTATATTAGTCCAAAAATTATTTGGACTGATCAATCCTAACTAAAGTTTTGATCACCTAAAGTCCCCATTGTCTTCTACCAGTATATAGTTTATGCTGGCATGCACTTTTCTCCAAGACTTTCAGCTGATGCTTGTTGAACAATATGTCATTTTTATCCATGATTATCAAGCCCAGAATGTTTTTATAGTCAATATTACCACCTTTACAACAATTTAACTGTTTTTTTCTTTCTTCATTTAGTTTAAAGGAGCTAAACTTTTTTGATAATTGTAAAAATAAATAAAATGTTGACTTTAGCTGATCTGATTTGAATATTTTGATAGGTGATGGGACAAGCTCTTTAGCCAAAACCTAATTTAAGTTTATTTCTTCAGGATCTTGATTAAACATACATTATGCAAGAGCTAAATCTGTCTATTGCATGTCTTTCATTAGGCCTGAAATGTTATCTAAATTATTAATTAGACATTAATTAACTTATCCAAAGCATAATCAACTCTAGATGGCATCGCTAGCCTGCGATCTTAAGTGGATTGTGATCCGATTTACTGCATAACTTTCCTTCTCGATTAAACGATTAAATGGATAATCGAGACTATGCTGTTTAACGTACATGTACTGACTTTAGTAATGATGACCGAGGCTAGGCAGAAATTTCATTTGCTTAGTTCTCAGTTCATAGTGGATCAATTTGATTGAAATTTTCAGCAAATTGCCTTTACGTTATCTAGTTTTTAATTATTATAGTGAGAACTGCCAACTCGTTATCAAATCTCCCATAATGTATCTTTAATAAAGAGCCACTTGTGTTCCGTGAACAGTTTTTTGTTTAAAATTTCGATACCTTAAAAATGTGGAATTAAAAGCCTTTGTGAAGAGCAAACCAGTACTGGTAATTCCATTCTGATTAAAATACAGATCTATATTTCGTTTCGTTTTTTTATACTTTTGATGGCCTCTACTACATGAAGATCTGACTGGTTGTAGCAATAAGTCGCTACCCTATGACGTCAGACATTTGATAAACCAATCAGCATTGATGTTACTAGTGGATTACCCACAGTTCCGTGTAAAACACGCCTAAAGCTCGCCGTAACAGAGCGTTTCATTGGCTAATCTCTCACAACATTCAGAACAGGTCAATGATATCAACTGTTCCAGATCTTAGTGCAGTAAAGACAAGTAAAACGAAATTTTGAACTATAAAAACGAAACAAAATAGGATCTGTGTTTTAATCAGCTTGTTATAGTTCAACAAATGACTGTGGTCTAGTCATTATTATAGTAATGTTGGGTGAAAAATAAGTCAATATGGTAAAAAATGACACTGTCTTAAAGATGCATTATGTAAGATTTGGATAAACAGCTAGTTCAAAAATAGATAATGAATATATTGAAAATTTCATTCAAATTACTTTATTCGGAGTGAAGTTATGAGTGTTGGAAGATGTAGCATAGATAGTTTATTTTCGTAACAATGTACTTGTCAATCGAGACTAAGTCTCAATTATCCATTTTATCATTATATTTTTAAATCTCGCAGGCATTCTAATCTATTTAAATCTCTGCCATCCGATGGTCTAAAGAGTTGAGTATGGTCATGATAATAGACGTCTAAATAATAGTTTATATAGCATTTGAAGTCAAAATAAAAATCTGCCATAATGCATCTTTAATGATTTACTTGAACAACAAATATGATATATAAAATGATAATGATATTTCCCAATATCTAAAAAATATATAATGCTGCCATTTATTATACTATGTAGTAAATAAAATGTTAGCTAGATAATGTTTTGGGATGACCATTGTCAGTTAGTAGACTCTCACTGGGATCGGATAGAATTTGAGGACCTTCACCAACCTATAAAAAAAAAAGAAAAAAAGTTCATGGTCAGTTTGATATTACACTACATTATAAAATTCAATATTTTTAAAATGAAGGATTCTAAAAAAGAAGCTGATATCGATGGGACATAAATATGATCTTTTTGTCACATTTCCAAATCTTCTGTAAATACAGAATAACGTCTGACAAGTTTTTATTGAACAGTTTATAGTTTACAAACCTACATATTTATTAAATATTTATATTGAACAGTATATTTTAATAGTGTACCAACCTTTGTATTTATTAAATATTTGATAGAATTTGGTAAAACTGGAAGTGATAAGGCATCAATGTCCTTCTGTAATAAAAATAAAATGAAAATACCTTTCAAATCATGAAATACAGCTAATTAGTATCTCATTCTTCAAAATGTGTTTTTATCTGTCCAATTGTCTAATGTAGTATTAATAGCATAATGTAAAACAAGGAATATGATTCGAAACATAGGTTCAAACTCGGCCATCTATGTCGGAATGTTTCGATACCCATCGATCAATTTACTAGCATATTTTTCGAATTTCGAAGCATTCTAATTGAAATTAAATCTTTTTTCCTTTAGGTTCGTATAAAGTAGAACAGAATGAAATTCAAATGAATGAGTATTAATGTGGGCTAGTGAAGACCGGCATTTGCCAAGCAGTGTGTTGTGATTGAAATTTTGTAATCTTCAATTCCTACTTGCAACTGCCAAGGGGTCTTTAACATGCACGTCAATGTGTATCTCGGATTTTCTCTACCATGCCCTCTGACCTGCATCACTGATAAATTCTGGCTTAAAATGACAGAGGAACTTTCTCGGCCAATACAGGGTCGATAAGCCAGAGCTTTCTTTACCGAAATAGAAAGAAAAAAAAAATCTAATCTAAGCAAGGAAAGCCCTTCTGACTGTATTCACCACATTTGTAAATCCGTCGCAAAACGAACAACCCACAGAACCAGGTAGGTGGGTTGAACGACACCGAGGATAGAAAAAAGATAAATTAAATGTCAGTTATTACATGTTTCAGTATTTCCGGTACAAAACATGTATTGTCTTCGTTAAAGTTTTTATTTATTTTTATTTTTTTTATTTTAATCAGAAGATGCAGCCTAAACTGTGCATGGTGCAAATATTCTGTCAACGTAGATATTGTTGGCCTCCACGGAACTGTTTATTAAATATAAATTGGGTCATTTTTGACATATAGGAAATGTTTTACGGAAGGGACAAAATAAATCTCAGATCGCCTATATATCCTGATTATTTCTCAAAGATCTTCATCGGGTTTTCATTTTTTGATTATTTGGACGAATCCCATAAGGGTTCTGACTGACGTTTTTTTCAAAATTCGGAAGTTCGCGCGATTAGTTTTAGCATTAGTTTTTTCTCCTCTCTTTAAAATTGAAAATTGCTCTCCATTACAAAGTTATGGGGGGGTTTATTTAATATCATTTATGAAACCAGGAATGCCCCCCTAACATGCAGTTATTGATCTTCAGACCATTTCCCATACACTCTCTTAATTTCTTAATCACTCTTCTCATCGAAACTGGGAGAGCTTTTTTGGACTCTCCTCTAAAATACAAACAACAACGACTGCTAACATCTTACTTCAAAAAGTTCTATCTTGAAGTACAACTTCCGCTATTATGAAGAGTTCAAAATGACAGGTTTTTCCACTTTAATAGGTATTGGATTTTGGATGTTACTATAATCAATAGTTCATGGTGTAACTTAATTGTTGATGTGACAAGGCGTGACCTGACATACATACCAAAACATGTCAGTACTGCTTTTACGCAGTTCTATTTTAATATTGAATCAGGAACAGAATTATGTCAACAATTTATTACTCCATCAGCAGGGATGGGCAGAGGTGTGGCTTTTTCTTTGACTTCTATTGTTATTCGTTTGCAGATGTCCCACCCACATTCTAAATTACAGTTACCTTATAAAGTTACAATGAAAATGAAATGAAATGGGGTTTAACGTCCTACTCTTCTGCACCTAACCTGGGCTAATTGAAGACAGGCATACGCCATACAGTGTGCTATGAGGGAAATTTTGCCCGGGCAGCGGCACTACGGCCTACTCTTATACCGAATTCCAACTGCCAAGGGATCTTTTATGTGCACGCCAATGTGTACACGGGACCTCGGTTTTTCGTCCCATCCGAACGACTAAGCAGCTGTCTATAAAGTTACAAGGCCCTACATCTAGATATATATTTTTGTAAAGAAAGGAATACATACCTGTGAAGGTTTAACAATTGAAACAGGAAGACCTTGTACTTTTAAATTTAATCCATTATCTTGTGCCGGGAAAAAATGGTTCACAAGAGAAACAACTTGCCCTAAATCTTGTTCTAATAAATATAAACAAGCATTCGGACCAGCATCAAATGTATAAGCAACCTGAAATATGAAAACATTTTTAATTTAGACTAATTAGATCAGAGGTTCCCAACCTTTCTCGTCATGTTTACCCCTAGCAACTTTTGGAAAGTAATTTATTCTAACAGAACACAGTTTTTATGGGATACAATCACTAGTTTATTCTAATCTCTCAACCTGTTTTGTTCAGTAATTTGAATTGCACTCACATCCGACAAAGTGGAAGTTTTATAATACTGCTTTTTACATTATTATCTTAAGTTCAAATAATAATAATAGCATATAAAAATGTTATTTCATTTTTTTTTCTTCTCTACTTCAGATTCTTTTATTAATTTTAGTTGAAAAAAAAAAAGTACGGTACAAATATAGAATACACAAATTTACCCCATGGGTTTTTGATATTTATCCATTGTTAGGAACCTTTGGATTATATAATTGGAACAAAAATTCCAGTATGTACGAGTTCCGGATCTGACCGATGCAATTCAAGTTCATTTACACTTTCTGTGCTCGAGCCCTGGGATATAGGTTGTCATAAAATGCCCTCAGAACTCCTTATGCTAGATATAACTGCGATAATGGCATCATCAAGTCAGTAACCTGGAGGGTAATCAGGCAGGGGCCATTAGAGGCTTTTTTAATCAGTACGAAAAAGTGATACACACCTTGGTTTCTTCAGAATGGTTGTTAAAACTGTGTACAAATCTAACTATTTGTCTTGATACATCTGTCATATAGGATATAGGAGGATATGTATCTAAACAGATAGCATGAAACTGGTTACTATCCTGTAATACATAATTAATTATCTCACGACAAGCTCTGATTCAATTAACTCCAATACATGTCCACTTGCAGGGTTTCATTGAAACTGTATTAAGTGTTCACCCTCTCAATATACCATTGACCACATTAATAGCTAATGATACTTTACAGGTCATCATTGTGCCAGATATATCTAGATTTTTAGAAATCTCATTCTGCCATAATAAGCACGACCATTTCTTAATAGGTTTTCTAGCACTGGGTTGTTACTTTGTGACATTTTAGCGTTTGAAGATTGTGAAAACAATACAGGACTGAGTAGAAGATCTCACCTCAGATTTAACCCCATCCAATTTACAAGGTTCACATTTATTTTAACCCCATCTAATTGTCAAGGTCACTTTGATTTTAACCCCATCCAATTTACAAGGCTCACTTTGAATTTAACTCCATCCAATTAACAAGACCCACTTGGATTTTAACTCCATCCAATTAACAAGGTCCACTTTGATTTTAACCCCATCCAATTGACAAGGCCCACTCTGATTTTAACCCCATCCAATTGACAAGGCCACTTTGATTTTAACCCCATCCAATTTACAAGGCACACTGTGATTTTAACCCCATCCAACTGACAAGGTCTACTTTGATTTTAACCCCATCCAATTGACAAGGCCCACTTTTATTTTTATCCCATCCAATAGATGAGACTCGCAACATTGCTTTGATTTTAACCCCATCCAACTGAAAAGATCCACTTTGATTTTAACACCATCCAATTGACAAGACCCACTTTGATTTAAACCCCAAGCAACAAGGCCCACTTTGATTTTAACCCCTATCTAATTGACAAGGTCCACTTTGTTTTTAACCCCCATCAATTGACAACGCTTGGTTTTCTTGTCTCCCTCCCCCACTGATGATTGAGAACTAAGCTTGAAAAATCCTTAAGATTCTCCACCATTCTTTAATACAGGACTGCACTGAAATTTAAACATAAGCAACTGTGAATGATCACAGCCCAAATTTTCGAGGTGTGAATAAATAATTATGATAATGTACCTTCATGGTAATTTCAGCAAATGTATGGAAGTCTTTTTCTTTAATAGCTTTTGTTATATTAGTCATTCTTTCAGGAACTACTTCAATACGTTTTTCAAGAAGACGACTGTTTTGTACGCTGGTCTGCATACCTTCTGTACTGCCAGTATGTTTTTTTTGATCACTTACCTACAATTATAAAATAAAACATACATTAAATTTCAATAATCTTTGGGTTTTTTTCCTAATATTTGTCAAAAAGCTACGAAATATCCCTGGCTAAGTTTTGTTTTTGATGAACTAATTAATTCTTTTAATTATTATACCTATGGAAATTCATAAAACAAAATACACATCAAGCTTATATAACCAGGTTACTTTAAGCTTCCATATTTTACTCATTTTTTTCCAAAAAGTAACAAAATATTACCGATTATTAAAGATACATTATGTAAGATTTAGATAAAGATCTAGCCGTTCTTGCAATAATAGTTCAAAAATAGATAATGCAAAATGAATATATTGAAAAATTCATTCAAATTACTTTATTCTGAGCCAAGATGTCACTGTTTGCAGTTTTGACAAGATGTGTGCACTGATTGTTTATTATAGTAACCACGGTACTGGTATATTCAAGGCTTAAAATTGGCCTTTCTTCTCCATTTTTAAATTAAATCATTAAATGGTGGAACCGTTCTAGTTAAAATCTTGAGCATCTGATAGCATCGAGAGTTAATTATGGTCTAGGCAAGTTAATAAATATCTGATTAATAATTTATATAACATTTAAGGCCTAAAGAAAGACCTGCAATAGGCAAATTAAGCTCTTGAATAATTCCTCTTTAAGTTCTACTTTGAATAAATTATCAATAATTAATTCGTTTAAGCACTTATTATACCTCAAATAAAATAAAAATAAAATATCATGTTATATGAAATCAATTTGACAAAAAATAAAATTACCACAAGAATTAGAATACACATTTCTGGCCAGTGTTGTGCTGATGTTATTTGTTTAGCAAAAGAATCTGAGCCATCAGTTTTTGTACCCATTTGCCATTCAACAAAACCACCATAAATACTTCTACAAGCACTCCCTGATCCTTGCCTATTAAAAATAAATACCAAAACACGAAATAAGTTGAAAATGACAATAGTAGTAGATTCGGATCCTTGGAGGCCAATAGGCGGTCATACTTAGCGGGGTCCTCTGCCTATACTAGTCACTTAATGTGATCCAAGAATTAGGTTCGATTTTTTTTTTTGTAGGGGGGGGGGGGGGATTTTTTTGGTAATTTTTAATGACCAACTTAATTCAAATATCTAAAGTCAGTTTTAAGTATATGGTTTAGAAGCATAATGAAACAAAGGGGCATAATCGCCAAAATTGGTTAAGAGATTAGAATTAGATTAGGAAATAAAAGAACCAACAATATACATTGTAAGATCATGGGAACTTCTCCAATAAATATATGCAAAAAGGTAACTTAGATTTACTTTCTCTGCATATTTAATCATATGATCCATGCATATAAAATTCTGATATTTCTCAAATACTATGCATGAAATATATTATTATTTACCTGGCAATGTCTGATATTTCTCCATCTACATCAAATAGTTTGGATAACGAATATACTGAAATATAAAGCACAGTTTGTGAACTATACTATAGAAGAATGTGAAACAAAATTTACATACATGTATATAATATATTTACAGATAAATAGTGCAAATCATCAGTTATTTTACAGTGCAATTAATTCAAATCGAGAGCCTAATTACATAACCAGTGATTGCAATAAATGCTATAAATCAACAGAAAAAGATATGTTTGATGCTAAAAACATTATATTTTGAAAGCTGTGAATGAAAAACCCTATTCAATTTCAAATCTAAAAATATACTAGTGTAAAGCCATCACCTTAGCTATTGGCCAAGTGGGTGTAGTAGTCTAGAGATATAGATCACATTCTGAACACACTATAGGATTTTATTCATTGTCAGCTTACTAATCACTTTCAGACTATAATCTTATTTTTCAAAAGAAATATACATTTAGCTAAAAATAAGTTTTTAGGTTCCATTAGAAGACCTTATTAACCTCCAGGGAACATATCTTTAAATTTAAATGTAGAAATACAAATAATATAAATATACCTAGACACGCATAACCTGCTGCTGAAGATGCTAATCCAGCGGCTGTTGGAAAATTATTTTCAGAACATATGTGAATTTTTTGACTGAATATTTTTGATTTGTCTCCATCTCCTTTTCGTTTTCTGGCTCTTCTTCTGACTGCAGAAAAACAACACTTATTATTGGCATTACATATTAACCTATAATATCTATATTAACATTCATACTTAGCTTATGGGTCTTTAGTACCGGGAGGAAACTGGACGATCCAGAGGAAACTCACAAGGTTAGGTTGGCGATTCAACTCCACGTGTGGAATTAAAACCACACCACTTGACTAGTTGGAAGACATTATGATCTAAAGCATGCAAGTTAGACCATTTGGTCACAATCTGCACCACACACAAATATTTACGGACAAGACACAATACTCAGAAATTGCAAATAAACATACCGGGGGCTCGCCGTAAGCGCCCACTACACTGTACATGAAAACAGACTAACAATATGTGGGAATATTTCCGGAATGTTGTATAATACTATTACAAGTCATGATCTGCTATATGCTACATGAAATATAAATGTAAGGCACATTGAAGGAAAAATACATATACAAGTAAACAGTGGCCAATATTCAGTTGTAGAATCAATTACAAAATTGAAAGTGCCTAACCTTGTGGGTTTCTGACCTAGCTGAGTTGGCATTAGATTACATTCCTTGCCTTCAAATTAATTTCTAATCCTAAATTCTACATCTAGTATTAAGTAATTTTAGAAGATATCTTTATATTCTTTTATAATATTTCCAAGATTTCTGAAGGAAATGTTTTAAGGCATGGTACAATATTAGGTTTATTTATTGAGCCAAACATCAAGAAGCTGTAGCCGACTATAATCTGCGGATTAAGTTCCGGGGCCCTGTTTCACGAAATTTTAACTAAAGATAAAATCCACATTTTAGTAGATACTTCAATTTTGATTGGCTAATCTAATATTATCCAATCAAATTACTAAAATTTGGATTTCATCTTAGTTAAAATTTTGTGAAACAGGCCCCTGGTGACATCTATTATCAAATTTATAATTTTATATAATAAAAACTTACTTTCTCTAAAAACATTTTGTATTCTTTGAGTATTCACAGATTGCTCTCTGAAACAAAAGAGAATATCAATTTCAATCAGTTATATGAACAACATATTGTTTTCTATAATATGGTTTATTTGCAAATACATACACAACAGAGATCAGAGCAATTTACAATTTACAAATACTGTTTCTATATATCCACTAACTTGTTATTTAGCCACATTTTATCTTCAGTAAAACTTGGGTCAGCAGCTACTGTAGTCTTTGCACGGAGCTAAAAACCAAAATTCAATAATAATAATATTGATTTAATTTAATAACACGCAAAAAAAGGAATAAACATTTGATATATTTATAGCAAATAGTACTTACGCCATTTTATAAAAAAAAATAATGCCAATATTCATTTGAATAATGATTTAAATTGTATAAAAAATGTGCTCCTTATCACCAGTGATAGACCTGTGGCATTGATCATGAACATGATTATGAACAGATTTCTAATGGTAATTTATATCTCAATCTAATTATATATAAGAATTTAGCCTTTATGAAGAAATAGGCTAACTAACCTCATTCTGTCCTAATGTGGCACTTAATGATGAATTGACAGGAAGAATTAAATTTTCATCTCTTTTACCCCCTAAAAAGAAAGAACAAAAACAACTGCAAGGAACTGGACATCACAAGATATTATAACTTATATTACTTCATCATTGTTACGATTTTGCTAGTTTAAATACTTCATGACCATGAGGTAAACTGGTGATCGTCACCATTCAGTAAAAGTATATTTTTTTTAAAAATAAAGCGCGTAGCGCGCGTGGATCGTCAAACTGAGGTCCCATGTACAACTTAGCTGCATGTAAAAGAACCCTTGACAGTTGGAATTCAATTGATGCCCAGGAAAAATTTCCTTAATAGCATGTACACTGAGTGATGTACCCATATGCTCGTCTTCATTAGCCTGGTTGGAGCAGAAAAGTAGGACATTAACCCCCATTTCATTCATAAAAATACTAATCAGATTTTCAGTAATTAGGTGCCTGGTAAGCTAAAACTGTTTGCATTGTTTTATGCATAGCCTATGGGTATAACCTATACTATTTTCTATTTAAAGTTTAAAGGAGCCAAGTCTTTAACTCAATATCATTCACAGTATTTGACATTGCAAACACGACTTATTGAGTTATTGGTCAATTTAAAACAACATTGATGTTGTTATCTTGTGAAAAGTTGGGCTTCTGCAAATGTTTAAGACAAATCAGGCGCCAGAATGCTTTCAAGCTCCATTTTGTATGAAGCGACTCGAAGAACGAAGCTAAACATATCCCATGTAGGAGCTAGAATACTACCGTGTAGACTGGACTAACCAGTTGCCAAAGACTGCCATTTGCATTATCACCGAACATAACTGATTAGGAATTACAGTAAAAACAGAAATGATTGAATGTAAATCAGTTTATAGCCTACCATATTACATTATTATAATTCGTTGCAACCCATTTGTGTTCATTTCTAGGTGCCAATTAAGAATAGCCATTTAGCTCCTCTAAATGAGTGGAAGGGTACGTGGATCGTAAGGCAAAGTACACTGACAAATATGCAATATGTCCCTAGAAGAATATTTCTTATGTAAATCTATTTACTAATAAAAAAATAATTAAATGTTTTCTTTACTACCAAAAACTAAAGTAAAAGTAGAACCAAATAAATGCCCAAAACAAATTACACCACTTACAGTATTTTATGACTGCAATGTTCACAGGAGCTGTACATGTTACCGTTTTCATTTTTAGTCTGGCGAATAGACTAATCTTTGACTTCTATGCAGATGAAAAGATTTTAATGAAATCAGTAATGACACTAAATGGTTTGAGCAAATATATTTTTCAACACATGGCGTGATATTTACAAAATCGTTCATTGGCTAGCAGACAACATCTGACAATGAGAGTTGTCTTTCCAATAGTCCCGTTCTTCCCAAAGAATATCTTGTACAGTAGAAAAGGGACTAATATAATCGCGAACACTTATCCAATCAAATTTGAGCTTATTTTCACTGCAGTACACGAAAATGTCAGCCCCCTTGTGTGACATGTTTATGAAAAATGTTTGCAAATTTTGTAACGTGCGATCTCATATCCAAAGACAATATATAGGCAGATGTAGGGTAAGTATGGTTATGAAGTTTTGCTCGACGGAGATTTGTTTACCTGTTTGTTAAAGAATAAAACATTTTATTAATGTAGCGTCGTACGTTTTTTTCTCAAAGTAATTTATCTACTTTCATTTTTAATTTTACTTATATATTAGTGTTACATGTATATAGCTCTACTTAATGTTATCATTTTGATAATTTTTTTATTACTACATAGTATGGTAGTTGAAAGCGTCCAGTTAGAGCGTTGTGTTTGCGGATGTAAATTGTAATGCAAAAGTCGACTAAGCGATCATGACAAAAATTGTGACTGGCTCAAAAGCGCTAGCAAATAAATAATAACAAACATGAGTGGCGAATAACCTTTGTTTTTATTCATACTGATACTGAATTTAAGCCGAGAAGATAAATTTGTCATTAATTATGTGAACATGATATTGCTTTCGACATCAATCATGACAGAGAGAGTAGTGCACACCAATGCCTTTTACTTTTAATGACCCAATTCATTAATATTAATATGAGTCCGTAGGACCTACAAATTTAATTTATGAAAAACTTTATTTGGCGTGATCAAAATATAAACTGAAAGAAGTCATAATTTGTGAATTGAGTGTATATTCTTAAAGAATATCCTAAGAGTTTTGAATTTCTAAAGAGGCTAAAGCTTCTTTGCAATCACCATAAAAAAATAATGTCATGTTATTATACCGTATTTTATACTATATTTTACAGAAGTTATTTTTTCTGTCCAAATTTTATGACATGGCTTGCATTCCATGTTGAAATATGTTGTTTATTTGTTTGTACAGTAGACACAAGATTATTAATGTACAATATTTGATTTTTTTAACTGACAACACACACGTTTTTCCTGTAAATTGGAATTCAAGGCCTGCAATGTTGAAATTTCATGTGGCTATAACTGTTGTAGACATACCGTTAAATTTTCTCATGGTGAACCAGTATGGCAACTAGTCTGACAAAGACAGCTAAAGTTAATTGTCACATAAATGACAACTGAACACATAGTCCATCAATCTATACAATGTGTGGAGTTTATATGTATTTCAGTTTAAACATGACGGTCATCATAGTGTTATCAGAGTAGATGAACAAGCTATGGATAAAATGGAGAAGGGAGGAATAACATTTAAAAAACATCCGGGATTAATTGGTTTAAGGACAGTAAAAATTCCTCCAGAATTAGAAAAATCAATTGATGTCACTATTGAAAGTAAGTAATTAAACATTTCAGTTGTCATTCCTGAAAGCATTGTTGATCAATTGACTGAAGAAATGAAATGAGCTTAAACAAATGTTTTACTTTTCTAAACCAAATGAGTCATTGAAGACATATATTTAAGCCATGTAGTATACTATATTAGCCCAGTCGATGAAGAATGGTGGAACATTAAACCCCATTCCATTTCTCTAACCTAGAGGTTTTAGGTTCAAATGAGGTGCTTACTTTAGGACCTCAACTATTGAAAACAAATTAATTGTGTTTCAAATAAACACATACCAAATGTTGTTATTCATATATAGGATAAATTCCCTGCTTATATTATTTACACATGTACACGGGACACTGGTTTCCATCCCATCTAAAGCAATAGACATTGACCTTGCCAGGCCCTCCGTCCTTCATCAGAAAATCCTGAGGAACTTTTTTAGTCAACACCAGGAATGAACAAGAGACCTCCTGGTTAGTAAACCAGGGTCTTACTTGGTCTTACTTTACCACCATGGCTCTCCTCCAGATTAGTGATCTCAGTGACCAACTGTGACCCCAGTAGACAGAAGCCATGTAAAACCTATTTGAAAATTGTTAAAATGAATTCTGTACTTCTGTTAATGAGTATGTCTTAATCTGCCAATTGGGCCATTTTCTATCGAAGAGAACTGTTTTGTATATTTTAAATATGTAATTTTGTTCTTATTTGATATAGTTTAATTAAATTTATTTATTGACACAGACTATCCTCTCACAAATCTTCGTGAAAAGGCCAAGACTTTATTTAGATATCTCCAGTCTAGAAGAGAACCCGTAGAACAAAGTGTATTCAATGAAAAACTACTGGAAATAGAAGAAGAGATAAAGAAAAAAGGTTTGATATCCTTAATAATTTTTTTAAATCTAATTTCTGAAAATGTCAAATTCTTGGTTCTAGTAGTCAGTTGCAAATAAGCAATTATTTATTTTGTACAAATCTATGATATATCACTTTATTGAAAACTATTTGAACAGAAATTACATCTGATGGATTCTTTGTGATGCAGGTTTTTCGTTTTATTATATACTTGAATTTAAATTAATTGAGCATTTCAAATTTTGATGTTATAATTAATGTCTAAATGCATGCTTTTTGCCCAAAGCAAAGAGGTTTTCTGATTTTAGTTACGCATTCTACTATTGACTATCTGTAGATTTAAGATTTTAAAAATGAAGACTGAATGAGAAACAAAGAAGAATCTGATTTAACCCATGCTGGGAAATGATCTACCTCAGATATTTTGGTTTTTTTTAATTAAATGCTAAATTTCTGTACATTTTTGTGGGGATTATGTCATGGAATATTTGATATCGTTTTATCTTTGCATAATGTAGCCAATGTTAATGTAGAAGAACTTGATGAAGAAGGTAAAGAGAAATATGAAAATGAAATGAGAAAGAAAATAACAAAACGTGTAAAACAGCTAATATATCACTGGCAACCCATGAAGTAAGTTTTATATAAATCATGATTTGTAAAAAAAAAAAATTATTACCCGTAAGAGATTTAGTATTCCCTATCCTCAATAAGGCTATACAAAAACATTATATTGCGTGAATGAGGGTTTTTATTTTTGTTTTTTTATTTTGCCAAAGGATCACTACTGCTGTAATGGGCTAAATGACTTCTCATAAACATCCTGTGTCTGATTACCCAGTATCATTAATGGTTGTTAGTAAAATTTATTAGGCTTGCATGCTTGATAAATAAGCCTATGCCACATTCATTCAATTTTTTTTATAGAGCTACTTCCTGTAATCAGGTTAAAACATTTATGTGCAGTAATTGATGTGACTTTTTTTAGGTTTTATCTTTAGAAATAAAAGCAGGTCATGCATCATTTTTATGTGACGCAGGATGATTTGAGAACCAGAATATTTTTTTATATGGCCTAATTAACTACTTTGTTGGCTTTTGGTTTTTTTTTTCAGAATTGTGAATACTTTTAAGATTTAACAATCTAATTTTATTTACTAACCTGTTTTTCAGGTATGATGCACCTAAAGCAATTCAGTATCTAGTAGCACGAACTGCAGCAGATTATAGTTCTATTTTGCACTGTTTAAAAGAGGTAAATAAATATAATTCTTTAAAATAAACATACTGTGCATTGTAGTTAAACATTGACTCCAGACATTTCCGCAGGTTTTTAACTTACTAACACGGAAAATACTGGGATAAAGTTGGTAAAATAGCTCATTGTTCATTTAGTTTACATACCAGATTGAATTTTTTGTTATGGTATGCGGTTTTGATTAAGGAAGTTCCTCTGTATTTTCCAGCGTGGTTTCCCCCATGTCAGAGGTGCAGGAAGAAGAGTCTTGACAAAAAAAATGTCTAGTTTAAGAACCCTTGACAGTTGGAATTCAAAATAATAGTAGGCCATAGTCCGTTGTCTGAGCAAAATTTCTCTCATAGCACACTGTATGGCATATGCCCATCTTCACTAAATCTGTCAGAGCAGAACAGTAGGACTTTAAATCCCAGTTCATTTTGTTATTGTATTATTGTAAGAGTTAAACCTCTTAATTAGTTCAAAATAAAGTGTAGAATTTTGTTGATCTGACATGTTACTTTTAAAAAAATTTTGTTTTGAAATATTACGTGGTAGTCAGTTGGTTTATTAATTTTCATTTCGTTTGTACCTTCTTAAACTGTAAACGGTGGAACATAAAATCAGATATACTTCTAATTTAAATGTAGACAGATACCCACTTCACAAAGAAAACCAAAATAAACTTAATTAAATTGATACTTTTATTTTTGAGACAAATCAAATAAAACAGAAAAATTAATAGAATGATTAAAAGAGATATGTAAAAATGTCTGATTTAAGTGTGTGGTGGGGATACCAAGATGGGGAAAAAAGGCATACTAGTAATCATCCTAAAGCTATCACAGCAGACATTTTGGTTGCAAAGAAAACAGAAAAGAGTTTTACCTCCTGATACAATCTCATAGATTTAGATAAAATATAAAAGTGACAGTTTAATTAGATTTTAAGTGTTAATTTGTTTGCCGGTGTGGATATGGGTCTATACATAATATTTTAGGTGCAGGGATAGAGTTAATGTGCGATCTGGTTAAAATATAGATCTATATTTCATTTCATTTTTTTTATACTCTCGATAGCCTACACTACATGAAGATCTGACTGGTGGAAGGTCGTGTCAGAAGTCATACAAGCGGATTTTAACCCTATGACGTCAGACATTTGATTAACCAATCAGTGTTAATGTTTCTAGTGAGTTAGCCACAGTTCTGTGCCCCTTACGTTAAAAACTCACTGTAACAGACCGTTTCATTGGCTAATCCCTGACATCATCCAGAACGCGGGCTATATAACTCTTCCAGATCGTAGTGTAGTAAAGACAAGTAAAACAAAATTTTGAACTATAAAAAATGAAATGAAATAGGATCTGTGTTTTAATCAGATTGAGTTAATGTACAATGACGGATTAAACTAAAAACAAAGCTAAAATTAATAAACAAACCTACGTTTAGTATTAGCATGAATGTAATTTTATAATTTTCGTAACGTTGAGTACATCATTTAATTCAATTATGTTTTATTTAGATAAAGAATAAAGATCCAGAATTTGAACCAAGGGCAATTTATGATTTTGGATCTGGTGTTGGTACCACTGTATGGTAAGCAGAATTTTTATACACCTACATTTAATGGTCCATCCTACTTAATTTGTGAACAACCAATAGCTAACTGCGTAACAATATCATTACGCTTTTAAACAGAGCTCCAAATTGGACCAAATAATGGTATTGTCCTTTTGTCATATTATCTATTATGTAGTATTAGCTAGCTAATTGTCTTATATTTATGAATTAAATATCTGACATTTTTCATTCAAATTCAGTGTTGGTTATAATAAAGTTTACTATCAATCAATGAAGCACTGTCAAGGGCTTTGTAAATATATTAAAATAAAAGGCCTTATGACTTATTTTATTATAGGGCAGCCAATAAAATATGGAATACTGGTGTATTTGAATATTATTGTGTCGATAAATCAAGTGAAATGAACACATTAGCTAGATTACTTCTACAAGGTAAGTTGTAAATTTGTACATGTATTATATAAGATAAGAAATGAGGGGGTGGTCAAGTGGTCTAACACATGCACTTTAGATCCCAAGCTTGTACATGGAAGCAGACCACCATCACCATCTCAGTACCCACAAATTGTAATTCGTCTATTTATAGCAATTCTCTCTCTGTCTTTTTCTCCCCTTTTGCATGCCCATTTTTGTTGATTTTTTGGTCTAGAATGGATGAAGAGGGTTTGAATTAACATTTTCTGCCAGGTTTTGGTAAATATTCATGATTTTGAGGCAGAAGGATAACAGGGTTATCAGGTCGGCTACAGTGATATGTACGGCAACTAGTTACATGTTTTTAGTATGCTTCTTCAAGTTTGGGTATCTCAAAATTTTGCTGGTCAACCTCATACAAATTTTATTGCAAAGACATGATCATTTGTTCCTCTGTCTGTAGTGAAAAGCTTTCAGCCCAACGAAAATTTGGGGAAAAGTTGGAGGTGGGCAAAGAGGCCAGAATTAACATTGAAGTCAATGGGGAAATTAATGGTGGTCTGCCTCCACATGACAAGGAGTAGAGTTGTCTGCTCCACCTGATGATTTTTCTCTGGCTCTTCTGGGTTCCTCCCACTGCTAAAGACCCCTATCTGCGAGTGAAATTATTGAGATAAAGTTGTACCATGTTAATCTGGAAATGACCTAGTTTGTGTTGAGTGTAATTTAAGCTCAATTTCTCTCTCTCAGTCTCATAATATATGGATTGGTTCTTGGTAATTAATAAATCTTTCATATAGCAATGTCATAACAGTATCTCCTATACAATATTTACTGCCTGATGTAATTTTTCCTGAATTGCTCTTTTCAAATCCACTGTTCAATTTTTTCAGATGGACAAGAACAAAAGAATATGCGAATCTCTGGTGTATATTTTAGAAATTTTGCACCTTCAGACCATCTGGTATGTAGTATTTCTAATTGCTGTAAGATTAAAACGACTAGACTTCATCGATTTTTTGATAAGTAAAATTGTCTATTTGATTAAACATACATTATGTAAGAGCTAAATCTGCCTATTGCAGGTCTTTCTTTGGGCCTGAAATGTTATATAGACTATTAATTATACATTTATTAACATGAAAAGATCTTAATCAACTCTCCATGTCATCTTATGTGTCGGATGTTCACTGCATATGAATCCGATTTGCTGCTCAACTTTCATTCATGATTTAATCATGAAATGGATAATCAAGACTATGTTTTTATCGTACCGACTTTAGTAATAATGATCGAGGCTAGGCCGAAAATTCAATCACTAAAATCTTGAGTGGATCAATTTGACTGAAATTTTCAGCAAATTCCCTTTACATTATCTAGTTTTTAACTGTTATAGTGAGAACGGCCAGCTCTTTATCTAATCTCCCATAATGTATCTTTAAGTTTGGTGTATTGATTTGTTTAATGAATCAGATATCTGTCTATATTTAAAGTCTACAGATAGAGGCAATGATGAGATATAACTGATTTTGTGTTCAGCTGTCAACAGTTAAAACCCTTATATCGAATTCAAACTGTCAGGGGTTCTTTTTTCTGTCCTATCTGAACAACTAGGCACTATCCTTGCCAGGCACTCCGTTCTGTACCACTGACAAGGGGAAGAAACCGTGCTGGAAAACCCTGGAGAACTTTCTAGACTAACACCAGGATCTAACAACAGACCTCCTGGTTAGCGAGCCACCACCTGAATCACTGAAGCACCAAGGCTCCCGACAGTTTAGGCAAAAAATGGAAATAGAATAAGTTAATGGTTCGACGTCCATTTTCTCTTTGTTATTAACACATCAGATCAACCTTAATCAACACATTATATTTCCTTTTAGCTCCTGTCAATAATGTCTTATTATTTTCTCATTTGTATGTAATAATACTCTTTATTTTATTTTTAGAACAAATTTAATATTGTTGTTTGTTCCAATACATTAATGGACTTATCTTCATCTGATGAAAGACATGATCTTATTGAGAAATTATGGAATATGACTGAAGATTATTTGGTAAATTATTCAGAATTTAATTTGATGTGTATATACTATTTAATTTGATCTCTAATATATTATTAGATGTATCAGGACTGATTAAGCCATTTGGATCCCTCACAATAGCAGCACTAAGAAAAGCTGGCAGCATGTGATTCTGCAAATGTTTGCCGAATAATGTGCCAATCATGTCGAAGCATTGTCAGGTTTTGTTGTCCTAGGCCTTGACTAATCTATAGCGGACCCTGTCTGCTTGAGGCGATCGGCCGCTCTTAGGGTAGTAGGCGGTCGCTATTAGGGCGGTAGGGTGATGTGATCCAAACGTCTGGCCAAACCTTCAGAATTGCAAGATTATAGTGTATATTTCATAAGAGATTTACAGTCATCCATTGATAAAATTACTGCATGTTCTGTTTCTCGCAGTATATATATACTTTGAAATTTTATTATGTTTCAAGGGGTCTGTGGCCTCAGTAATAAATATCGGTATATAGTTGATATAATTTATTTGACAGGTGTTGATAGAAAAGGGAGGTTATTCAGGGTTTCGACTGATCAATGAAGCTCGTAACTTGTTACTTAGTAAATCAGCTGATAAAGATGATCCTTCACTTGGACATGTGTTTTCACCGGTAAATTAACATTTTATATTATATTTATATTTTATATTATATTCTACAGTGGTAGAATGTACAATTCACGTATATGGTACCTGGGAGTATTAATAAAATTAGAATAGACTTTGAGTCTCATTTGAATGGTTTGTTCCCCTTAGCCCTATCCCCTTAGAAGGCCATATCATACGCTAATTAATATGTATTGTCTATTTATTTTGGGATTAAGGCAGGGGCCATCAGTCTCAATGCTGGCTTGTTCATTGTCACACATTATATTTTACCCTAAACCTGATGGACAAATACCAAAATTTTACAATTTAACAGCAAAAGAGTGGTGAATTGGCAACATTTCTCTAGATTTCATTTTTATACGCCCACATTTTCATGTGGACGTATATTGTCTTCCCCCCTGTCCGTCCGGACGTCCACAATTTGTTTGTGGACACCCTACAGGTCACAATTTTTATCCGATTTTGACGAAACTTGAAATATAGGTCTGTCTCCCAAAGATCTCGGTTCCTTTCGATATTGGCATGTATCGGACCATAACATCATGGATTATGGCCCCTGATTGTAGGAAAAATCACGTTTTTAGCTTGTGGACACTCTAGAGGTCAAAAAATTTTTTCCGATTTAAAAACAGTTTAGATATATCACCATTCCACCATAATGAAGGTTGAATTGGAATTTCGGGAAAATCAAAATGAAACTGCCCGACAAAATGGCCGCTCTTTGTACGCAAATTGTGTGTAATACGAAGGTTGTGGACCCTCTAGAGGTCACAATTTTTATCCAATTTTGATTCCAAAAATCTCAGTCCCTTTTGATATTTTTGCATTTCAGACCATAACTTTCTGGATTATGGCCCCTGATTGTACAAAAAATCGTTTCTGTTTTGAGCTTGTTCTCTATCCATCTCTTGCAAAATGTGGGTGTGTCCTGCCTGGCAGCTGTTGGTTTATATAAGTGTACACTTGTAGTTTGACAGATCCATGGAAATTCCTTTGTTTGCCTATTGTTTAATTTAGTACATACACAACAAGAAATAGAGGAAAGATAATCTATCTCAAGATAAGCTAGTGCTTGATTTGTTTCAATTTCAACGGAAACAAAAGGATTAATGTAAATTTCTTCCTTGTTTTTAGTGTTCACACGATAAATCCTGTCCAAAATTAAAAGATAGAAATAGTCCATGTTTCTTTGAAACTAAATACACCCCTTTAAAACAGTTTGAGGTGAGTTTATCAGTCGTTTTCCATGTGTATATATTTTCATTGTAATAAAAAAATTTGTGGAGAGAAACACTGAAATTCATTCAATGTACTCCTGATTACAAATTAATGCTTGAAGGAAATTACCATATTTCATATCTAAAAACATGTGGTTGATTACATTTCATTATATGATTAGCAGATTGACATGTTAGATACAGAAATAGACAGCAATGGCAGTCAGGTTCTTTTTATACACATCAAGACAAACATTCCTTGATATTGATAACATGGGTATAGAGTATAGACATTTAATTTCCTGTCCGAAATGCAGAATTGAAAAAAAATAGGTTATTTTATTGACCATTTTGGAGTTCAAGATGGCTGGATTGTTTAATTAACTTTATATATTCACAGCCAAGTGGTACAGCCCAAAAAGAATGGTTTAGTTATCTTATTTTTAAAACTGGTCCAAGAAAACAAGGTACGAGTGCTATATCATATCATCAAAATATTCCTTTAGATTTGATTTAAAAAAACCCAAAACACTGAGGAGCCATGATGGCTCAGCGAGTAAGTCACTACCTAAGTTATCAGTCATGACTGGTTCGATCCTCAGAAATTTCCAGCCTTGTGTCTTATTGTCAGTGGTGCAGCCTCGCAAGAAATATAGTCTAGTTGTTCGAATGGGACAAAACCCAATTTGATTTTTGTAATAAGCAATGACATCGTATTTGATTGATTTATGTACATATTAAGTTATCATAAATAAATTAATTGAATTAAAGAATCTCTGCTAAACTGTAGCACAACAGACTTGGTAGAAGTAAAGATTGTTTAATCGGTATAATGTTTCAGGTTGAGATACCCCTTATCAAATATAACAATTAATATTAATTTATCACTTGTAGGTATTGTTTGGCCTAGAATTATACAACAAGTAAAGAAACCATCACGTCACACTCACTGTCACTTGTGTTGTCCTGATGGGACGTTACGACATGTCATCATCTCAGATGCTAAACATGGAAAGTATGTTGTTGTCTTTAACAATTATTTAGAAAAATTGGATGTTGCATACTCAATGTGAAAGATGCCTCCCCACGTACAAACTTGCGTATATTGATTTGTTTGTCTAGTAATTGATTGTAGGGAGGGTCCATTTTTAACTTGTCATTCGTCCAGTTACCATAAATATCAAAGCTCAAGTAAATTCTTGCAACTCCTTTTTCAGACGTTTAATTGCAAAGTCAAAAGTAAATTTAAGCAGTGTTCTTAATCCATTTTGAAACGAACCGACCAGAATTGGGTCAAAAGAGTTCCCAGTAGGAAATAGTTTAATTATAGGCTCCCATTCCCTTTAATATAACCTGACTTGCACAAAATAATTCTTGTAGAATGTCGTATTCTAAATAGGATAATATGTGTGATTACCAAAAAATAATGACAAATAATTGATTTAATTCTCTCACTGTTCTCACAAATCCTTGCCGTTCGATTAACAAAATCAAGCTCTCGCTACTTCATTCAAGACGCACAGGTGTTTTTCAGGGAATCCAGTATTTTCCAAGTAAGATTGGGTGTCTCTACTTTCCAAATATACCAAATATGCCATACTTTTATAGGAAACTAAATAACAAAGGAACATAATAGACAAATTAAGACCATCAGTTCCTTGGGTTGATATAATATTCTAGATACTCCTATTAGCATTATGATTGTTTAATCCTTTGACATCCGAGACCCTGGATGTTTTGCGCCCTGTATCCTTGAATCCTGTGACAGTTGTTGCAAAGAGTTCTGGAGGTAAACAAGTCATGGCCAATTGTATTATGGGGCACTACAATGTTGGTTTATCTCCAATTTTCCATCTAGCGGAACAGACAGAGGCTGAAAAACAAGCTGCTTGTATTATGAACATGTCAGCCTAAATATAGCTTCCTAAAGTTCAAAGTCATCTTCTTATGCTGTTATCAAAGTATACAACAGGCGCTGTCATGGATGTTATATAAGTAACATTATTTAGACTTTAGAGTATGGTTCTAATCATATTCTTGAAGCAATGGCCCGAGAAATCCCTCTCTGGCCACTGCTGGATTAGCTTCTGATAATTGCGCTTTTGAGGGAGTGTGTCTATTTTTCCCATTCAATCAAATCTATTCCCAAGCAAAACAACATGACAGCCCTTCTTTTAATCAGGGGCCTTCCCTAAAACTTTGGACAGTGATTTAAGGTATTAAAAATGGTGAAAGTGTTGTTCGTCTCAAAACAGTATTGTTTACATTATATTCGTGCTGATAGCCTCGTTTGTCACACAATTAGTTTTTCTGCAATATTCTGCTATGCACTGGTTAATTGGGCATAATAAAATCGTGAGTCATGACGTAACGCAATGTAAAAATATTTGGTCCAATTTGGAGCTCTGTTTGGTATTGTTACGCAGTTAGCTATTGGTTGTTAATGGGGCTATTAACCAGTCATAATTTAGAACAAGAATTTGCCTTCTTTACAGCAGTGAGTAGTGGGATTAGCTCTAATCAAACGAAACACTGCGAGCAGTATGGGTTCTAATTAGAAATCATGAATTTTCATAAATGATTATTTGATCTGATTACTACTTTCTTTTTCCATTCAGAGGTTTGTACAAATGTTCCCGTTATTCACAGTGGGGAGATCAGCTACCAGCCATTATAATGCCACAATCAGATGAAAGTGACGAAAAATTGCAACAGAGCAATACAGAAACGCACATATCTAGTAAAAATATAGACAATGATAATTTAATATCGACTCACGAACATGTGGTTTTAACTTCATCAGATCAATCAAGTGGTGAACTTTCTGGACACAAAGACAGACAGGTTAAAACAAATCAAAGTGTAAGGACTAATGAAGAGCAAAGTAAAAGTAGAGGTGTATCAGATTATAATCTTACTAATTCTTGAGAGTTGTGATATATGACATTAGTTTAGAAGTATTAAGTGACTACACCTAATAGTATGTACTGCATACAAGTGACAATATAGAGAAATAGCTAGACGTGCATGTTAACAAAAAGTAGAGTGATCAGATACATGTATTCCCAGTTCAATCATCACTTAGAACAACTGGAATATAGTAAAAAAAAATATAGTAATATTAACGCTGGGAAAGTGATTTTTGTCCTGTGTGCAGATACATCATTCCTTATAGCTGGATAACTGTGTGACATGATTAATGAGAGCATGAGTTCCCATTATGGGTGGCTGATTTAAAACTGATTTTTATCAAAACACCAGTGAAGCAGATTTATAATTAAAGTTTTAAATCAAATTATATATTTATTAATCTGTACCTGATATACATTAATTATTCAATTAGTGATATACTATAACAAAACAATTATCAATTAAATATCACAGTCAAAAATCTTTTAAAATATCTGGAGTATATCTTTAAAATTATTTTTGATCATTCTTTATAACAATTTATTAAAATCTTTCATAATTGAACAATAAAATATTCTATAACAAGATTGTTAGTATAAATATTTGTTTATTTGTTATATGGTTATTGAATATATTATAGATTAAAACTAGGGCTGTGTATTGTGGTCAAAAATCATATTGTGATAGATATTGCAATACATGTATATTGCAAAATCTGGTTAATGTACAAATGTATTGATTTTTATTGACAGCCCTAATTCAAACTAAATTACAATTTACACCAGTATAAAATTAAAATAATAAAATATCTATATGTAAAGTTTGAGTCAAGATTTATGTATTTGATGTTTTGTATACTAGAAAAAGAGAACAGTCCATCATTTAAACTGTTAACAAGTCTAAAAAAAACAAAAACGCCGCAAAACAAGTAATATTTTGTACATGACACTCATAGATACTTTAATTTATTCTTGCTCCAGTAGGTGTCATATATTAAATTTGTGAGGCTATTTTTATGTTTATTAACCTTTTGGTTGACCCGATTGGCTCATAGTAGTGAAAATCAGATTCTGTTGTTTATTGAGAATAACATATAAATCATAATGCCCTTCAATGATTCAATTTACCGGCATATTACAAGATTTTATCTATATTACCAATTACGCTTCTATAGTTTCAAATGATTCTGGTCCTGTCATACGATAATTAATTTTTTTATAACCTGGTAAATTTTTCACACGTTTTTCATGAACCATATCATATAAGACTTGAACACCTGGTGGTATAGGTTCTAAGTTGGCCATTTTAGCAAGTTGATTGTTATATTCCCATTGTCTTGTCGCCATAGTGTGTGCATGACGTAGTGGCAAACCTTGCGACAGACGCAGTTCAAGATCTTTTTCCGTATCTTTATCCATTTCTTCTTTGGACGGCAGAGTAAAGGAACCATCGAGAGATGCTAAGAAAAACTGAACTTGCACATTAAATTGGGGAAACGGACAAATTGTTTTACATAATCCAATAAAACAAAGAGATGGAAATTCAGTGTGGATTAAATGTTTATATAGCGGGGTAATTCTCTCGTCTTTATCCACTGATAAATGACATTGTTCCGTTAAAAATGGGAAGGAATAATGATATCCTGTACACAGCAAGATGACATCAACATCTAGAATCTCTCCTGATGTAAGAACAACAGTTTTACCCTCAACTCTGTCTATACCTGGACATTGTTGTATATTAGTAGGTAATACCGACTGGAGTGGTGACTTATTGTGACTTAGAAATACCTGAAATACATAATGTTGAGATGTAAATGTTATTATCATGTAACTACAAGTCATATTGAACCAGGAACTTGACCCCCAAGCACTACTCATCTAGTTGTTGTTGTTCTTGGGGGCGACGCATATCAAAACTATCCTAAGCCTCTGCCAATTCAAGTACGATTGACATGAAACAGTATTTATCTAAAATATAGTTGGGGGTCATGGTGGCTAGGTGGGTAAGACGCTGGCTCGCTAGCCTGGAGGTCGGGTGTTCGATCCCTGCATTGGACGAGAACGTTCGTCCAGATTTTCTGGCGTGGTTCCCCCTTGTCAGTGATGCAGGACGGAGGGCCTGACAAGGACAGCTGTCTAGTCATTCGGATGGAACGAAAAACCGAGGTCCCGTGTACACGTTGGCATGCATGTAAAAGATCCCTTGACAGTTGGAATTCGATATAAGAGTGGGCCGTAGTGCCGCTGTCAGGGCAAAATTTCCCTTATAGCACACTGTATGGCATATGCCTGTCTTCATTAGCCCGGTTCGGAGCAGAACAGTAGGACGTTAAACCCCATTTCATTTCATTTTTAACATATAATTATACATAATATACAATACATTATAAATTATATGGATTCGGAAACAAGCTATAAAGCTTATATTAATCCGTCTCCTAAACTTGGCATGCTTGTTCCTTGGACAATTGCACATCAATTGACAATTTCCTGGTCAATAGTATACTTGTTTTTAAAATTGTCATGTTTACGAAAAGAACAACTAAGAACATTATATTCAAACAGATGGTTTTTTTAACCTATTACAGTACATGTACCTTGTACTGTTTTCACATGATTCGTGAATTTGAAACATGGTCTTATAAAAAGTATAGAATTGAAAAAATAGAAAAAACAAAATTTGTCATATAATGTTAATCTTATTGAAATATAGCTGACGTATTATGGTTTTTTGATTGGTCAGTAAATGTGTGCTAAGTGATGGATGTAATAGATTGGTTCAAATGGCTAATTATTTTACCGTTACTAATTATACCTACCATTTTAGCTGTTGAAGATATCTCTATGGCGATATCTTGACCTGATGCACCAGCACCCAAACACACAACCCTTTTATTTCTCATAGTTTCAGCATCACGATATAGATGACTGTGTATTATCTCCCCTTTAAAACCTTCGAGTCCAGGAATGTTTGGTATTATCGGTACAGAAAAATGACTGCAATTGAAAATTTAAAAATCAAAAAGATAAATCTTTAATGTGGAGGACTAGGGGGAGACAGTGGAAGAGATAAAGAGGAATCAAGTAGCCGGCTCAACTCCTTGCACAAATGTAGTTTCAAACTCATGACTGCACATGCAACCTCTCCGTTTATGGACAAAAGTGGTACTAAATACAAGATGAACACTTTTCATTGACTTACATGGAGTAACAGGATACCTTGATAACCTACTGTCATGGACTTCCATGTTGTTCAGAATTTTGAAAATGTATAAGGCTATATGAAGAGCCCCTGGGAAGAACGATCTAAGTCACTTTTTCAACGAACCCCAGTTAATGGCGCCATCTGGTAGCAAATTGTATAAGCTTTCTGTGGAACAATCAATTTTCAGGTAAAAACGATCAGAGTCACATCGAACCAAGGCCCTTCTGAAATGGCCTCCATCGTATTTATTTGACCTTAATTTGGCTGAAAAGTGGAAGTCAGTTGTTGTACTGGTACTTATGATTCATATTAAACATCATTTTGAAGTTGTAATTAAACCCACTCGTTGTTCTGTTCGCATCAAGCATTCTCGTCCAAAAGTCTGTTTCACCTTTTATGCGAAAGGACAAAAATGTGACTTAGATCGTTCTTCCCCTGTACTCTTCAAATTTATAAAGTAATAAAATGCATCATTTTCTAACTGGCTTTCTCTGTTCCATATTTTAACACGCTTGTAAAGTCAACTTACCCATTACATACAATAACAGCATCAAATTGTTCTGTTTGAGATTTATTAACATCAGATAAAGTATTGTAAGTTATCTCCCATGACACCTGACTCTCACATTTTTTAGGTAAAAGTTGAACAACATGTGTTCTAAACTGAAAACAAAACAATTATTCCACAATTAATTACTCAATTTGGTCATTTAATTCAAGTAGTGAAAGGGAGGGTGGCATGCACAAGGGTTGGGGGGGGGGGGGTACAAAGAAAACTTTTTATGTGGGTAGCAAGCCCAATTTGTTTTAACATATTCTTGTCATTTCTATCAGAAATAATTCACAGCAAAGGCAACTAAAAGGTGCATTTTGTTGTATGTTACATTAAAACATTTTGTGAATATTTATTTCTGTTTCATATATTCAGGCAATATAGTCAGGTTTGGGTTTGTGGTGTAGCTATGATTTCTCAATGATGATGGTTGAAAACACCTAATATCTATATAAAATATATATGTATATAAAAGGAAAGACAGCCTAGCAGAGCAAGCCAAAATAATTTATTTTTTGAAGTGTGATAAATACAAATATACTTTTTATGTTAATATTGAATTAAAGTTTTATGTTTAAAGTCTCTGAATCTCATTAGGAATTCGGAACTTTGAATCTCTAAAAGTAATATCAGTCCAAAAATGGTTATATTCCATTCAGTATTGATAAAGATGTGATGAATTAAAAATCTGTCAACATTCGGAATTCATTAAAGGCGCCAAGCCACCTGAGCTGAGATTTTCTCTGAAATCTTTAAATGAGCTTCTTTTTATTCGACTGAATGCACTTCAGGAGGTTAGTGAAAATCAGAAAGTACCTTTATAAATGGATATAAATCAAAATGTTCTGTGTAGTCTTCTAGATACTTTAAAACATCTTCATGTCGGACAAATGAAGGAAGGTTCTTATCAAATGGAAAATCAGGAAATGCCATTACTTCTTTTGGAAGATTTGTTCTGAAAATAAAGTTAAAAAAACACACTGTAGAATAATTATCACAATTTCAGTTTAAAGTTTGAAAAAACGTTTTGATGACACGGGGCAGACAAAAATTCTGCATAACACTGAAAACCTTCTCAAAGGTTTTAATAACTCCAAAAATAATTAATTTAAATGGGCAACTTTTATGTGGTTCATCCTTGTAGTCAAACAATCCTAAGCAGTTTACAATAAAAGCTCTAAAACTAGGACACAAAAAGTTGCTACAACGTTTCGATGACAAGGGCAATAACACTGCAGACCTCAAAATTACCACAGGGTTCATCCTTACGACTAGTCAAACATGATCAGCAATATAGAAATTTATAAATGTTAAAAAAAACTTTTTAATTTCAAAGAACCCTATTAAAGAAAGCAAATAATCTACTCTGTGAATGTTAAACCCCATTTCTCTCTATTGTCCTAGTTAATTCAATAGAGCTTATATAGTAAAATGTCAAACATGGCACTTTTCAATAATCACTTTAAATGGAGTTATGTTGTAGCTACAAAACTGATGGGTTTTAAATCAAATATGAATTGGATTTCCACATGACATACTTATATAAACACTCTCTCAATTCAAATACCCATAGAAAAGGACTCTTTCTGTAACTCTAGTAATAATTGTCAGAACTCATTCTACTAGTATTTTAAGTTCTACACATAAGACTGATCAGTAAATTACTAACCATGGGGGTTGGTGGCCTAATCGTTTAATATGTGAGTCTGTCATTGAGTCATGTGGCGTAGTTTTGGTTTCCCGCTTGTACGAAACTAATCTTAAGTGTTTTCTCAGGGTCCCCTGGTTTCCTCCCAGGGCTAAATACCCCTACACACAAGCAAATTGTTGAAATAACTTAGTTTGTGACAAGTGGACGTTAAAATCACACTAACCGTAAATTTTTATACATGCTAGAATGGATGGGTAGTCCATATTTATCTTGTCCTTTTTTATCTGTGTAAATCCATGTGCCTCCTACTCGCTCACCTTGTTCAAATCCTACCACTTGAAATATTTTAGGTTTGGCTATGAGATGTCTTACAGCACATAATCCAGCTGCTCCTGCTCCAATTACTGCTACCCTCATTTCTATTACAGAAACATATATATTATAGGCTATCATGATGTTTGTTGAGGACATTTTTCACTCATTTTGGTGGGTGTGGGATTGGTGGAGGGGGGGGAATAACCCATATAAAAATATATACTGTATCAAGATTTAACCTCCATGCTTCATATAACCATGTTTATTTTTAAGCACCCACATTTATTTACCAGGTACTAGCAGGAATTATTCATTGGGTCATAAGGATAAACCATATTGAATTTCTGATTGACAGTTATACTGGACAGAATTCTTGTTGGAATTTTTTTACAACTCGATGAGATTGTAGATTAGAGTATTGGAAGAACTATTATCAAATTTCAAATTGAGGGATGAACTTGGACCTATGTTTCTTGCAAATGTTAGAGTACCATACTCATACTGGCAGAACTGTGACAGTAGGGTATTAATTCCTGATCACAATTCCGTCGATTCGCAACGGATTCGTAGCGTTTCGGCGGGCAATCATGCATCCCTTTGGTAAGATCTATAAGATTTCCATTGATTCAATAGAACTATGATTTAGACAGAGCTGCATAAATCTTTTCTTAATCTTATCCAAGTCCTGCTTGTAAATTCTTAGCTACGAGAACGTAACTAAAAACACTGAGATATACTGATGTGCTTGTTTTTAGCTATGATTGGATGCCTTTAGTTCCAAGTGGCAAACTCAATTTCTTTATTGATGCATGTACCATCTTAAAAATAAGTTAATTTTATACTTGTATTAGTACTTATTACACATACGCAGTCCAATCTACTGAAACAACATTCATTTATCAGCAAATATTGACAATAAAGTAAATCAAGCATTGTTTTTAAAAATTTGATCTGGACGTTCATAATTACGGCGTATTACTACTTCGCAACTCTGATCAGATTAGTACTTCGATTGGCTATTGCACCCAAGGCCCCGCCTTTATGTGTGTTACAGACATAAATTTAAAATGTCGGCAAAAGCAATCTACTGTCGCTTTGATTTAAAACGAGGGGATTTGTACCCGTGTCAGGTAGGATTATATGCTTAATTGTAGTCGGGTGTGGCAGAAATATTATAAATAACAATAATCATTCGTTGCTTTGATGAAAAATATTATCAATTTTGCTTACTAATGCTGGATATTCGAATCGCTCCCACATTTATTACGTTGAAGTTAACCCATTAAGTGCGTAGGTCGTTATATAACGTCCTGGACAACTGCCATTCACTGTGTGTAGGGCTTAATATAACGCCTTGGAGGTATTTTCCCCAACCTATTCTTAGAACATAGTTCGTCACTTGGGAGAATCCCTTGGGAATTCACCCACGATCGCAGCATGTGTAGGAAGTTATATTACCATCATAGATCGTATATAATACAGTTCTATGATATTACGTCCTGGACAACTGCCACTCACTGTGTGTAGGGCGTAATATAGCGCCTTGGAGGTATTTTCCCCAACCTATTCTTAGAACATAGTACATAGTTCTTCGTCACTTCGTCAAATTAATTACACAATAGGCTAATGTTAACGTTTTAAATAATTAAAAACGTCACGCTTAAAGGAGCTAAATCGCTAACATTTGGGACCTAGAAATTGACAAAAGTGGGTCGCAACGCATATAATACTGTAATATGAATGTATATAAACTGATTTACATTCAATGGTTTTGGTTTTTACTCCAATTTCAAATCAGTTATGTTCGGCGAAATAAGTCAGCAGTCTCAAGCGAGTGCAAATTTCCAGCGTCTGGTTATTCCAGTCTACATACGCCGTTTGATTTGGTGCAATGTGTCTAGCCTCGTCCCTCGAGTCTCTCGATACAACTGGGGCTGAAGCGCATAATGGTACACTTACGATTCTTGTACCAATGGTAAAATGTTTATTTTGTCTTAAATATTGGATATCAAAAGCCCATCTTTTTCCGGTAAGATCACAACATGAATGTTGATTTAATTTGACAAATAAATCGTGTTTTCAATGTTGAAGATTTTGGATGATATTGACTGAGTTAGAGACTTAGCTACTTTAACGATAGGACCAACTCTTATCTGCCCTGGCAGATGATATAATTCAAGTAATTGCATTATTTGATACGTACTGGATACCCTTATATGTGACTCAAAAATAGTAACTGCTGAACTTAAATTAACTTATGCAAACATTTTCAAGTCTCTGATAAAATTAATTTGTTATACAACTTTACAACGATATCATTGACATTGTACATTGCTTCAGAACAACAAAAGAGTCACAAAGCATCTTGTTATATTAATTGTAAAAATATTACGACCAAATAATTAATTAACGTAATATTGCTGGACTATAATTTGATAAAAAAATATATCATTTTTAAGAATAGCAATTTTTGCCAAAGACTTACCAATGACCTAGTTTTAGGTTTGAACAAAATGCTATATTTCAAGATGTCAGCGCCCATTAAAATGCTTCGTAGTTGATGATTTGAGTTTTATGTTTACTACATCAGCTAGTGTATCATGAAGCAGTATTGAGACAAACATTTAATTAAAATGTTTAAGCTAATCAACGGGTACTCCAAAAATTGGGAGAATGCATCCGTAATTATTGTAAGTTATTTGGTATTTTTTATTTGTCAAAAAGAAAAAAAAAAAGATCATCATCCTTTAGGCTTTTGCCAACTTAATTTTCCGGCTTCTATTTACAAATACCAAATACTACCTCACAGAATAAATAGTTTTTAAAACTCACTAATCAACTTTGTTTCATGTGTAGCCTCCCCTTGCTTAAAGGAGCTAAAATCACTAATATTTGGGGCCTAGTGGCTGGAAATTCACACAAATTAGTCGCAATGCATATAATAATGTAATATGAATGTCTATATAAACTAATTTACATTCAATCTTTTCTGTTTTTACTCAAATTAGTTATATTCGGCGAAATAAGTCAGAAGTCACAATCGAATGGCAATCTCTAGCATCTGGTCATTCCAGTCTACACCAATAGTATTTATTGCGCATGCTCACCAGAAAAGAATTTGATGTCACCGTTTGACATGACTCGTGGCATGGGGTCGTATTTATTATCTACTGTTTTATTATTTTAGCCATGTGTATCTGTTGGAAATGTTGGTCAGTTAGCAGTAGATTTGATTATATCTACTTTAGATCTACAGAAAGTAGGCTATATTTATCACAGTGCTATATTACCTATAGTTGGTAATGATCCTTATCATAAACTTCCCAGTAATCAGTGCAGTTTAACGACTGGGTGTGAAGGTCAGTATTATTGTAATTTATTATAAGACAATTTAATTATAATTTAAATACCAACAATTTTATAAGTACTGAACAGAAATCTTTGAGTGGAATTTGATGATTGGGAAAAACATTAATGGGAAACAATCACTAGTTTTATTCTAAAAGCATGACTTGTCGACAAGTATCCTATCGTTATCAAGCACAATGACATTTAGTAAATTTGAGTTCAATATACATGTATATGAAATTCATAGTGAAATCATTTATCATTGTGCTTGATAATGATACATGTTACTTATGTAAGAGGATACTTATCGAAACATCATGCTTTTAGAATAAAACTACTGATTATTTCCCATAAAAACTGTGTTCTATTATTGAACAGAACACAATTTTTATGGGATATCAATCACAGATTTTATTCTAAAAGCACATTTCGACATGTCTCCTCTTTTTGTTATCAAGCACAATGACCATTTAGTAAACTAAATGCCTCTTAAAGATTACATTATAAGTATTGATTGGTTTATTATAACCCAAGTTATGGTTTACAGAAATGAATAAGAACAACAAGTACTAATTGATTTTTTTTTATATAGTAAAAGAAAAACAAAACCTGAAAAACCCAAATGATGTGTGTATTAAACTGATTCATCTAATAGGGAGCCACATTGGCTAAGTGGGTAAAACGCTGGCCTGCTAGCCTGGAGGTCGCGTGTACATCAGGATTTTCCGACGTGTTTTCCCATTATCAGTGGTGCAGGATAGGGGGCCTGACAAGGACAGTTGTCTAGTCGTTCGGATGGAATGGAAAACCAAGGTCCCGTGTGCACATTGGGATGCACGTAAAAGATCCCTTGGCAGTTGGAAATCGATATAAGAGTAGGCCATATTGCCGCTGCCCAGGCAAAATTTCCCTCATAGTACACTGTATGGCATATGCCCGTCTTCAGTAGCCCAGTCGGAGCAGAACAGTAGGGCTTTAAACCTCATTTCATTTCACCTCGATTCAACTAATAAAACGGTTTCATTTTATTTTCAGTTTTTTTAAATAAATCATCAACAGTTGTTGTAGTGCAACAAAGGGCACCCATTGTAAAGGTATGGCTTATCATTTCATTTATAACATTGATGTTTCTTTAAGATTTTCATTCTATGGTTGCATTCTGCATATAGATAACTATGTACTATAGATCTCTGCCCTGAATGGCCACCATGTTGAAAATTAGTCCAGTATACTATTCTGTAATTTGGATCTAATCCGTTTTAGATCATTCATACACTCAAAGACTAAATAAACATTTTTGATTTAATTAAATCGTTGAGTTAAAATTTAAAATATTGTTCAATTAGCTTTGTGTCTGTTCTCAACCATAGCTAATTGTAGACAGACAGCATAACCTCACTGTGCCTCAAGCAAATTTACCTGCACACTCTGTTACAACAGGATTTTTGGTAGACCATATACTCACGAGATGTAAGGCGTCAGTCGGTAAATTCTGTATGCATGTCCTAGCTTATTCAATGAGCGGTCATTGAACAACAAATGAAATTCACTGACAAACAAAGGCTGTCCAGTAAAACAGGTTTATCCAAAATCACATTTACTTATAAACCTGCTAGATTTATACTCGACAACCATGTTGGGATGGGTTGACCTATATGATTATGTCTCAAAAATTTAATATTAGACTTGTTGGATTAAACTTTTGTATGCTATGGTTGCTTTAATGCACAATATAAATTTTGAACATGGCTACTAAATGGCCAATTATAAGAGTCTGACTATAATCAAGTCTAGGTATCCTCAGTGGTATCGTTTCGTTCTACTCCACTAACCTCTGAGTCATCCACAGGTTTTTCACAAATTCAAATTATCTGTCCTTGTTCGTAGCTATGAAAAAACAGTTTACATACCAGTCTTAGTGTCATTATTACTTCCCTTCGCCCACTCTATTGGTTGATAAAAATAGCAGAAATATCAAGGGCAGATAATTTGACAGTGTCTGACTGTGTCAGAACGATACCAGTGGGGATACAGAGAATGACTATAATCAGTTGTCTTGGATTTACAAACTGTTTTAAGATTTTTTCTGTGAGAATGACTATAATCAGTTGTCTTGGATTTACAAACTGTTTTAAGATTTTTTCTGTACAGTCTTATCAATGATCGTGCATATTTACTGTATTGTTGTTTGTTAGGGTAAAAAAGAAATATTCTCTACCTGGCTGTCAGACTGGATAAAAGAGAGTAAATTTAAACAAGTTATTATTTTAACCAGCAGTTTTTCACATGAAAGAATTGATCAACAGATTTATGGGTAAGTATATCGTGAAACAGTTTTTACAGAACATGTGTTCTTACCCTGCTTACCGTGCTGATTTATTGAGTAGGTCTCAGATTCGCTTGGATTTTTCAGTGTGGTTTCCCCATGTCAGTGGTGCAGGACAGAGGTCATGCTTAGTCGTTCATATGGTACGAAAAACGTAGGTCCTATGTACACATAATAGAACCCTTAACGGTTGGAATTCAAAATAAGGGCAGGCTGTAGCACCACTGTCCAGGCAAAATTTTCTTTATAGTACACTTCATGGCATGTGCCTGTCTTCATTAATCTATCTGACCAGCTTATGAAGTATTTAAAGATACATTATGGGAGATATTTATAGAGAGTTGGCCATTCTTGCTATAACAGTTCAAATATAGATGATGAAAGAAGAATATATTTGCCTAGAAATGGTAGCGAAATGTGTCTTCACCTTCGCCGAATGTTTGATTGACAGGCGTTAACTCCACCTACATATCTCGATTATCAAGTAAAGTTTTCAATGGCATACGGAAACGCTTTACAGCGGCCTCGCTAAGTACACTCTATCATTTAGCCTCGATCTAACTGACGTATTTTCATCAGGTTACCCCTTATCTGATTTAATCAATTAGTGAAATCCTATTTAAATCCGAGCTGTAGCCGAGCCATCCGTGGGTCTACAGAGTTGATTTTGGTCTTGTTGTTTAAATAAAGATCTAATTTATAATTTCTATAACATCTGAAGCCTAAATTAAGACTTGCAATAATCAGATTTAGCTCTTGCATAATGCATGTTTAAGGTATCAGATTATTTTACTAAGATGTGTAAGTTACAAAATTTGTTTTTCAGACCTCAGTTACGTATTGTTATGTCATCATCAATGGAAGAACAAAATAGTGAAAAGTTTTTACATAAATTAAAATGGTTGCCATTAGAGAAGCGATCCTGTGCGTCTCCATATGAAATGGAGAATTCTGATTCAAAGAAAGATATGATATATTTACCAGGAAGTGGAATAGCTAAACATATATTAAACAAATGGTATAAATTATTCATCCTTTATTCATCCCACCTCAATCTTTACCCTCTAAGCTATGGTAGTGTCGGTTGCTGGTCGGACCGATTGTCTTAAAAATTGACAGAAAGTTCTCTGTGTCCATCAGTCCATTTATATGTTTTAAAACTGGCATACTGTTATCAAACACGGCGTTAATTGGTCGCTTCCATATATAGTTATAACAATCAGGAGAGCTTGATAGACAGGGTTTTGAATCTTGGTGTGGGCTGAGAAGACCTGGGATTTTTTAAGCCCAGCCAAAAGTCTGTGAGGCTGACAGGGAAAGTATACCTATCCCTTTCTTATAGGATGGTGTGCATGCAAAAGAACCCTTGACGGTTGGAAATCACAAGTAACAGAAGAAATAAGAATAAACATATTTTCAAATCAAAATTACGGAAGTATTGTGTTGGTGAGGAATATAACAATTACTTCACACAAACAGAACCCATATCAATTCATATGCAGGGCAGTTGAGAGAGTTTTTATGTGCTGGAGCAAGACAAATTTTGATAGGGGTAACTTAAGTGGTAACATAAGGTCAGGAAGTGGTAATATACAGTCAGAAAGTGGTAACTTAAGATCAGGGAAGTGTTTAGATGCAACGAAAAGCTGCAGCATCTCATATACTGGATAGTTAGAATCAAGTTGGTATTCTGACCAAAGTCTCATTTAGCTTGGCCTAGAAAATAAGGTCCTAGGATGCGTCTGTGTAATAATAATAAGTATTCAAAACAATACAGACTTAAACCCTGCAAAATACATCATTAGGTTTTTCAGTTAAAATACTTAGTCTAATTTGAGTGATTCATTTCAACTGAATGTTTTCTGTTTCAGTAAAGAGTTACCAGTTTTAATAATGTCTTTGTTTTGTGCTGAAGGTGATAATATACCAGAAGCTGTTTCATTATCAAATCATCTCAACACTTGGCTTCAATTAGTTGACCCTCAGGTATGATCATATATATTATATTTTAAATACAGCTGATCTTTCTTATGTACAAGTTAGGCAAATTAACAAATTGCAGTTTATTTCTAAAGCTTTCTAAACTCGATCATCAGTATTTATGACATAATTAAGCACATTGAATGGAAAAACCAGACGGCCAGTACAACTTTTTAACTTGAATGCTCTGTACACGGACACTATAGATTTAAAATCCTGTTCTTTTGCATTACTTTGACAATGTATCACAGAGAATCACACTTGCAGGGGACTAAGCTAATATTACAATGAGTCTTTAACATATAGTTAATATATATCTGGGGTAACTTTGATTCTTGTGTTTATGGTTATGTTGGAACACAAATTGATTTGTGGTCAAAGGGGAGATAATATGGGATTAGGGTCATTGGACTGAGTTATCTCCCTTCGCCTATTAAATTTTTTTCTTTCAGGTGGATAAATCTGGTTCACCGTTACCGTGTGCTTGGAAAATACCTGAATCGTGGAAACTTATTTATGGAAGTGGATTCGATCAGACTTTATTTCATTAACAATTTGTGATAAAGGATTTTATATAAAAAGTTGATGGCTCATTACATATAATATTTTTTATTATATTAAAATCATATAAAGACAAAGAAACTTTAGAGATTTATCCATTTCTGATCATATTTTGTTCCAATTCATTTGTAACTGAAACATTACAATAAACTCATTTCTAAAGGTATTTTATAAAGATCCTCGGACCGAAAACCTGGTTTGATATGAATTATGGGTATTGTTACCGCCATTGTCCTTCCTCTATAAAGGTGCTCGTATTACTATAGATGACTAATGGTAAGTAAAATGGTTCTTAAGGCTATCCGGGGACAGACTTGGACCTCAGGGTAAAAAATAATTGCTGGGTTAGATAGAATACTGTCGAAAAATGGACTAACCTAGTTGGTTGCCAGGACCTGTTTTGAAATCCAGTCAGGAGGCTATCAAATACAGATTGACATGTCACTTCCATTGGTTCTTATTGATTGTAATGCAATTTAAAGGATAATGAAGACAAAAAGTTTTTACTGTCTTCTGATAGGGGTATCATGCAACGAAACATGGCAGTCCTTAAAGGTTGTAATGTCACATACATTATATTCTTTAGTATTCTTTGCAAGCATTATACAAGACACTAACAAATGATCATCGACAACCCATGAAGTAATAATCAGAAATAATTAACATTTTAATGTGGGAATATGAAAAGGCTACGGATAGATTCATACATCCAGTGGTATACAGAACATCCTACTGTTCTGCTCTTGTGGTATACAGAACTGCATTATTTTTACAATTTTAATGTTCAATAAAAGACAACACAGGTTTATCAATATAATTATTTGTATTCAGCTGTTATAACAATATTAAAATAATGCTGACTTGACTGTTTCAGCAGACAATATTACAAGTCAAATATCATGCAACTATAAGTAGTAAAGTGATGTTAATATTAATGATATAATGTTAATAGCACTGAAATAAAAACATGAAACTAAAATGATGATGATGTTATATGTCAAATTACATGGATATCTAATTTTAATACATAAATATGCTTTAAATGAACAAAATCAAAATTTCCTTCCAATATGAAGATAAGACAAAGTTTTTGAAAAATTTACTCTTTTGTTGACTGAGAACTAACTGGTTCTATCTATATATTTTGTACAGGTTAAAACATCTGATGTAGTTTACACCAGTCTCAATTAAATTATTTCTAAGCCAACACCAGTTTGAAATACCGATAGTTTGCTAATAATCAGACACAAGGAACTTTCTTATCTAAACTGACATAAGCTATAATATTTATGTCCTGTGTATTGTTTCTTTGTGGACATTTTAAAGCAACATCATTGTCCTAATGACCTATCACATAGACAGAATTGGATAGTTCTCTGACAATGATATACTGTTAGTGTATATTATTGTAACACACAGATTCATGAATGTCATCCTGGAAAATTAAAAAGTCGATGTGCAATATTCAATGTATTTCACATCTATTTTGTCCAACATAGAATTCTACATTTATTTATCAGTATATTGCGTAAATTAACTATTTAAACTAGTCTTTGAATCAATGTTTTAAACACCTAATAATATCTAATATATAGTGAGAATTAATGCCATTTAAATATATTACATATTATATACAATGAAAAGAGGTCGTAACAAAGGTTGATTTAAAAGTCAAGACATTGTTTTTCAAGATTAACAAACTATAAAACACATTTCAAACACAAGTTTTGTTTTGGTTTTTTTTATTTGGTTAGATTCACAACTCTTACAATTACTGTTTGTTACTAGGCTTGATAAAGACTTGAGAAACCTAGTTGAAACATTACTCAGTAACAAACAGTAATTGTACCCCATAGAAATGTGTACTGTTTATTTCCAGTGTCATTCCTAAATGCCAGTTAAAACATTTACATTCCTATAAAGTAATGGAAGCACTGGGCATTTTTAAGTATCTGATATACAAAATATACTTATGTTAAATGTTGATATAATGAATATATAACCACATCATAATGTTTATTCCCAATTATTTTATGAACAAGCAATTAATAATACCTTGCAGTTGCAGACAATGTTTTAAAATATCTATATTATGTACATATACATTAAATAGTGAGAAAGATAGAAGAGAGAAAACTAGAGTAAAAGATTTTAAATTTTCCTGGCTTTACAATATTTACAATAATTAAATTCAAACACTGTCAGTATAGTTGATGGAATAGCTTACTAATTATGTCAGCTAAATATTGACATTTTTTACAGAAAAAGTACCATATAAACAATTTTATGCAGTATTTTCAAACTTCAGCTGGAAGAGACATGAGCAGGTCATCTAGACAGCCAGGATTTAATAAAAACTTAAAAAATAAAGTCGACTTTCTTTTAAACATTAATTGTTCTGTCCCATACGAGTTCTAAATTTTCATTTCTTTCAAAACTCAGTTTACATACACAAAAACTATGAGCACAATTAAAAATATGAAGCTATCATAGATAATTATATGGCTAAGCACCAACACCTACAATCTGATTAAAAGAACACATTGAAATTTTGTTGGGTTTTTTTTCTCAGAATTTAGATGGCCTTGCTCAACTCTAATCCGATAAATATTATTCAGGAGAACAACATGGTCAATGATGCATGTAGCTAATCTTTTTTGCTTTCTCTCTGAATTTTGTACATGTAGCTCTGAGTTTAAAGATGACAGCGGGAAATGGATTTAACATTGGCATTTTAGTACTAACATGGCATTCATTTAACTTTAGAAAAAGAGCAACAAGAAACAGGTGAATACCCATCAGATGACCATACAATTTACTCCTTGTCACATAAAAGAACAGAATCCAAACAAAGGCCACTTGAATTGACGACAGACCTTCCTCTAATCAAGTCATTTTGTTTAATATCTTAGATCAAATAAAGTTCATCAAGAAAAACTGACGTGAAGAACTACATGTTATTAGAAAGTGAAATAGAATGTGTTATTTAATCAGACTGTGACCCCTATAATTATATATTATATTAATTCTCAGTCAATAATAAAATTAAAATATTTACTCATAATGAAACCACTTTCAGATTTTAAATCGATCTGTAAACATAGGTGATTCTGGGCGTGTTAATGGTCTGTTACTTGGGTGAACTTGAACAGGTGCAAAATGTCTTACAGGATTGGCTTTATGAACGGTTTCACTACGTAATTTAGCTTTTTCTACTTCATATGCTAGTTTTTCCTCATGTTCTCTCTGTCGCTTCGAGGCTTCCATTTCAGCTTCTTTGTGTTTAATATGATTATCAAAACTTTCTCTGTTAGCTGCTCTACGTTCTGTATTTAGTTCAAACTCTGTTACATCTAAAATACAGTTTATACAATAAACTACATATAATGAAGTATATCATGACTATCGACTTATGTTCAGTTATGTTATAATATCCCAACTATAAAAGATCCATCAACCTAGGAAAAGTCATCTATCATCCTGTCAACATTCATTAAATATAGTGTGGACTTTTCAGACCTCATATACACGCAACAGCACCACTCAAAATAAATCTGAAAGCACAGTCAACTAATCCTAGAGTGAGTTTTCAAGAAGCTTATCCCAAACTTAAGCTGCCTGTCTACAGTTAGCTCCACCTGAGAACAGGCCCTAACCTAATTAACCAAAATTTTAATTCCTACATCAACGATTTTAGTCGAAAACACTGAGTATGCGTTTAGAAATATATGTCATTGACAGTAAAAGTCGATAAGTTCCGCCCCCAAAATGATCACATGAGCATTTTAAATGGACAGCATTTAGCACAGTGATGTATTCTTGAGGTATGAAGTAGATGCATCGCTGTGTGCAGTATGGAACCTTATAGTACTAAGTTTTAAAAGTAAAAATATAAACATTCATAAAATTTATGATTTGAATATTTTGAAATTTAAGCTAGGGGTTTAACCTACCACTGTTCAGCAACGACTTAGCTATTGAAAATTTTTGTCATAACCTATCCCATCAAGGTTTTATATACATAAAATGTTCTGCTCCGACTGGGCTAATGAAGACAGGCATAAACCATACAGTGTGCTATGAGGGATCTTTTGGTCAGACAGCAGCACTACGGCCTACTCTTATATCGAATTCCAACTGTCTTGGGATCTTTTATGTGCACGCCAATGTGTACACAGGACCTTGGTTTTCATCCCATCCGAACGACTAGACAGCTGTCCTGGTCATGCCCTCCGTCCTGCACCACTGCCAATGAACTTTCTCAGCCAACACTGGGAGCAAACCGCAACCCCCAGACTAGCGAGCAAATGCTTTTCTTACTTAGCCACCTAAGCTCCCATTTTGTTAAGAACTTAATTTCTTTTTAAAAGCAGACAATGTTTATCAAATTTAAATGTGGGCACATAAAACCTTGTGAAAGGCTGGAGACAATCTTGATGCTTATAAAAACAAGCCTAGGCTAAAAATAAGTACCTGTCAGAGGTTTTGTTGATTTTTTAGGTATAAATGGTTCCTGATATATAACTGTAACTGGTTTAGCCTTGAATGGAACCTGCATATCCTCTTCAAACTGTAAAAGAAAATAACATTTTACTATCATAATTAAGCATTTTTGAACAAGATCGCAAATTTCTGTGGGAGCTGGGTGGTCTAATAATGCAGGCATTTTAGACCATAAGGTCTGTCACCAAGTCAAGTAGCGTGGTTTTGATTTCCTGCTTGTACATGATAAGGAGTAGGGTCAATTCTCCAACCTCATGGGTTTTCTCCATGTCTCCCAACTGCTTATAAAGAGTCAAGTGGCATTGTTTCAATCACACACTCAACAAGGACTTGAGTTGCCTATCTAAACTAGTTGGTTTTCTCTGGGTCCTCTAATTTCCAACTACTGTTAAAGACCCAGATGTGGATGCAAATTAATGAATTAAAATTATAATGCATGTTAGTCCGAAAATGACCCAGTTTGTGTTGAGTGGATGTTAGATGTTATTTTTCTCCAATATCTGTCCATCACCTGCTTATCTGACCAAATGATCAACTACAAAACATGCATTATTATTTGTCATTTGGAACTATACTATTCAAAAAAAGTAGGGGATATTTGATTTTTAAGTGTTATGAAAGTCACCTAATGAAACTGACGAAGAAACAAATGACAAAATGAAATGAAGTTCACATTCATCGATTTATTCCAAATGATCGTTAGACTAAGTAAGGCACAGACTGACCATTATAAGGGTAAAATGATACCCGGGGTCAAACAGCAAAGTTACCACAGCATCACAACCAAGTCAGTAACGGGTAAATCCTCCTCTGTTTGCCAAACAAGCATTGATCCGACGTGGCATACTCCTAATGAGACGTCTAAGGTCATTTTGGTCCAGATTGTCCCATTCCTGTTGCAACGCAGCAGCAAGTTCTTGGACATTGGCAGGACGTTGTTGACGTTGACGTAACCTCTGTCCAAGCATGTCCCAGACATGCTCGATGGGGGAGAGGTCGGGACTCAGTGCTGGCCAAGGTAATGTGGTGATGTTCTGTTGTTGGAGGTAACCTGTAACGATCCTGGCCCTGTGACATCTTGCGTTGTCATCCTGGAAGATGAAACGGCGGCCATGACGTCGTGCGAACGGCACAACATGGACTGCCAAGATGTTGTCCCGGTAGTACTGGCCTGTAACACGCCCTGCAACAACATGTAAAGCCGTTCTTCCAGCAACAGTGATGCCTCCCCACACCATAACAGAACCACCCCCAAATCGATCATGTCTGATGACGTTAACGTTTTGGAAGCGCTCGTTTCGACGACGCCACACCCTCCTACGTCTGTCCAAAAAATCAACAGTGAACCTTGACTCATCTGAAAACATCACATTGCTCCAGTGTCGATTATCCCAGTGTTGACGATCCCTACACCAACGACGTCTTGCCTGAATGTGATGATCTCTCAAACAAGGGATCACGCGATGACGTCGGGCGCGAAGGTGACCCCTATGCAGTCGATTCCGAATCGTCTGGCCACTCACTCTCACACCAGTGTCTGTTTGAAGACGAGCGCTGATCTGATTTGCTGTGATGACACGATTTCTCAAGGCCAAGGTACGGATAAATCGATCCTGGACTTGAGTTGTCGCCCTTGGTCGACCTGAGCGTGGTCTGTCCTGTACAGATTGTGTATCACGGTATCTGGACCATAGCCTGCTTATGACAGACTGAGAAACATTCATCGTCCGCGCCACAACCGCCTGTGTTGTGTCGATCTGTAGCATGCCAAGGGCACGTAACCTTTCATTTTGGGTAAGCCGACGCACATCAAAATTTGTTTTCTGGTCACTAAAACAATTAAACTGATGTTTCCACCCTGGAATTCAATGCCACAATGACTGTAACATTCAAAGTCAGAGTCGTGCAAATCTTGGGTTGGACCCCCATGATGATCCCAAGCATCACCTGCATTCCATGCGGTAGCTATTGGTGCGTTTGGGCGTCACATGTAACTGGAAATGTTTCTTCTGTTAGGTTCTATAGTGACTTTTTTCGTAGTCATTTGCATATTTTAATATTATGCCCCCAAAATCAAATATCCCCTACTTTTTTTGAATAGTATATGTAAAGTTTTCACTGCCAAGTGATCAACTTGAAGAGCTATCATGATAGGAGGATGTGTATTAAAGTAAATTGTATCCAAGTGCATAATGACCCATACTCAATCTCATCCTATAGTGTATACTACTTAAGCATTAGATTAATTAAAGCATGAATATGTGTTGAGTATTTGATGATAAACTCTATAACAATATCCATTAGCTGTGCTAAAAAATCAAATAACTGTGCACATAAACATCCATGTATAAAATCAAATATTACAGATTAAAAACAATATATATAAATACTGACTCTAGTACTGCTGCAGCTAGATGTATCTTCTGCTCTACGGGAACTTCTAAAATCAATTTCAAATTCAAATGGTACCGGCTCAGTAATTTCTTTAGGGTTTTTAGGTGGAATACCAACAGGTTCTTCTAAATCTGGCATTGGTTGAGCATGAAACTCTCTAGCCTAAAAAATAATAGCAAAATATTAATTACTTTTAAAATCAGACCAAAATGAATGTAAATAATCAACTTTCAGTTTAAATGATCAGATATTAAGCTGTGTCAAATTTGAAGATAATACAAATGAATTGATGTCTCTTTTATCAGATGCTCAAACACTTTAATAACAGTTGAAAAACCAGGAGAGGCAATATACACATTCAAAATTCACAAAGCACTTTATGAAATATATATAGTCAGACATGCCTTCTCTTATTTTTGTGCTTGAAAACAATAAAAGAGAGAGAAATGGGGTTTAACATCCACTTGTCACAAACTAGGTCATTTCGGGACTAACATATGGTTTAATTTTATTTCAATAAGTCACTTGCACGTAGGGGTCTTTAGCAGTGGGGGGGAAACCGGAGGACCCGAAGAAAACCCAGGAAGTTGAACAGGCGACCCTACTCCTTGTCATGTACAACCGGGGATTCGAAACCATGCCAGTTGACTCAGTGACAGGCCTTATGATACAGCGCGCTCACGCTAACCATTCGGCCATCCAACCCCCCGAAAACAATAATAGAACTGTGACAATGTCCTGCAATGTGTCTAATATTACTAAATTAGTGATTGTATTCCATATAAATTGTCTTCATATTTTTAATGTGCTCATTTCTAAATGCCACTGTCTTGTACATCTACATTTCAAAATATGCCAATTTTTCTGTACCTTCATCACGGTACCTAAATTGCAAAATTTGATACTATTCTGATACTTGACATATAGAACATGTGATTGTAAAACAAAAAAAAACTGATAGCGTACACCGTTTACTTGTCCAAAATATGTACTGAAATAGGATTAGTTTTTTTACATTTTAAGTTTAATAACTTATTTATCCAAATCAATCCTGACATCAATGCTTCATATTTTAATCAGACAATGTTCCTTGTATAAGCTTATTTATCTGAAGTATTTATTTAGGTATCTTTTGGGATAAGTAAACTAGGATACCCTTTGTTTCTCATTCCAATATTTATGGTCAGTTAGATGTTAATTTAACAACAGTGCTAATAGAGCTGAGCGATATTTTGGTTTTTCGATATAAAATCATCACAGTAATAAACACTGACCAAAATACGGTCTTCAGAAAAATATCGAAAAAATGAAAAAAAAATATTGTGATATATCGCGGTTTTAATGTTTTTTCTTGATAAAATAAATTTTAATATGGCAGAAATATAAATAATGCCAACTATATCGAAAGTACTCTACTGGTTGACTGATTATCAATGTCACATGTTATGGTGGTCTGATACGAAAATCGTTATGGACACTTTTTGTGACACCACTAATATTTTATAGTCCTTTTGAGTAAGATAAAGTTTAGCCTAGTGCTCTGTATTGTAAAATTTATTTGCAAGATGACTTATGCAACAAGCACACCCAATAGACCAACATCTTCGTGGCCAGATGTATGTTTGAATGATATTGACTATAATGTGTCAAGTGAATACTCAGAGGGCATGTCCAACTTTTTGTGTATGTTTATTTACAATTAAAGGATGATAAAACTGAAATTATTGACATTTAAAAAAAACTTGTTGCGATATACTGATAGTATCGCGATATTTACTGAAAAAATCGCAATATTTACTGAAAAAATCGCAATATTTACTGAAAATATCACAATATTTACTGAAAATTTACTGAAAATATCGCAATATTTACTGAATTTATCACAATATTTGTTTTTCAGGGATATCACCCAGCTCTAAGTGCTCATAAAATAACAACATGAAATATGATTTCACCTTTCTCTCTTCATCGAATATTTTACGTCTCTTGGCCTCCTTTCTCTCCAACATTTGACGAGTGTGCTCCTCAAAGGAGAATGGCTCAGGGATGGTGCGTTTGTGAGTTAGTTTAGGATTAAACGGAACTCCATTATGTGGTACTGGACGTGAACGAAGAACACGGAAGGCCTCCTGCTTGAACAAGTGGGTGAAAAAATGGAACAAGAATCATAAACATTGTGCACAAATAAAAACATGTGAAATGTGAAGTGAACGATAACTGAATGAATCTGTTGCATGTTTTTGTCGGCTGGTCCAGTGCTGTAAAAAAATATTAGTATGAAAATGATAAGCTGTTAGTAAAACAATTGAGTGATTATAAAATCAGAGTGAATTTGTCTTTGTCTTGCTGCCTGGACGACATGATCTGACCTTCTGCTCCTCTTCCATAACTTGTTGTATTTTAGCCTCTTTTTTAATATCTCTCTCTTTATCCCTTGAATCAAAGCTGAATGGTTCAATGACTGTTATTTTGCGTACTACTTTAGGTTGAAAGGGAATGCCATAATGTGGAACAGATCGGGCTTTATTTGACGTATTATGCTGAAAATTACCATATAAATATATACATTTTATTCTACCCAATTAGAAGACAACAAAATTATTTTATTAACCTAAAACATGATTCGGCTACCTGGATCCGCCGTATTCAATTGATTTCAATTTAAGATCTTATTTTAATTTTCATTAAGGTATATATCTCAAATGAGAATAGATCCGGAACTTTAATTAACAAATGCCTGCCCATAACTTTTCCCCCTTTGTTGCTAGGTAGTAGGTTGGTGTCATGATGATAATGTCTGCTAATTAGTACTTGATAGCCTGTTGTCTTCACAAGGGTACATTATAATGTTTAACAAACAGTAGTTTCAATCTAGCAAGTAATTGTCAATCAATAGTAATATTACAAATAAAACCATTTTTACATGTAGGGTTCAAACCTTTTCATCTGATGGTTCAACAGGCAACCGGACTCGGTTCTTCAGAGCAAATGCTGGAGACTGAGGAACCGTTGTTGCTTTTTCTTTAGCTGGTTTCACACCCTATTTAGAAAAAAAAACCATCAAATTTTCAGTTTAATACTAAATTTACCAGTAAATTACTTATATAGGAAGTCAAATAATGGAAACGGCTCCAAGTCCATATGAGTTTGCAAGAAATTTAAGATGACACATATTCCTCTCTAAACAGAAGAAAACAGATTTAAAGACACATTTGGATATATCATATCTTCTTTTGGGATGGAAAAAACTTCTTTCTTTCAACCGGCCAAACAAACCAGTTAAACTATAATGGTCAAATTATGTTTGGGCAGATGTCAAGAAATTCCTGTGAAGAGTTTCTTTCCATTTTAAACTGTTGACAAGTAACAATCAATATTTGGAGATGAATGCCCAATACAGATATGTTTGTTGAAGTATATTATTAGTTCCGATAATGATTCTTTTCAAAATGTTAACTATTGTCAATACAAGGTACAATTTTATGGATACCCAATTACTGTGCTTTGCTTGATGAAGACAAGAGTTTCCTCAACGAAACATTGCATAATACTAAACTCAGTAATTGTGTATCCATAAAATTGTATCTTGTGTTAATATGTTCAATTATTAAATGCCTATCAAAGAAGTTAATTAAAACTGATACTGCTTACCACAACACCTTCTAATATTTTAGGATTAACTGGCTTAGCTTGAAATACAACTTTCTCTTCTTTTGTTCTTGATGTATCCTTGTCTTTCTGTCGGTTATCACTACTTAAATGGAAAGCTTTAGGCTCTGTTGTTGGTTTTTTAGCTACTTCCTTCAGACCTGTTGTATGTTCTAATATCTTTTGATTAACAGGATGTGCATGGAACTGATTTCTGAGAAAGAAAAAAAACATGAGAAATTCTCAGTGAAATTCCTTCCAATGCCATCTTGAAAGAGGCACTACAGATGGATAAATTTCAGGACTACATGTAATTATAAACAAATATCTTACTTTTGCATCTCTTCTATTTCTCTCTCTTCTAATTCATCTCTGCTAGGTACCTTAACTGTACGGGTACGCATGGTACTCTGAAAGTTGGGTGTATGTGGTATCGTTAATTTTGCAGTTTTGGGAGATTTTGAACGCAATCTTTTCAGACCTGGAAATAAATAATTAAATTTCAATCGCTATCCTGAGGCTATTAGATAAATTTTACACATTTCGTGGCATGTCCATCTTCTGTATGTTAACTCTCATTTGTCATGGATTTTTATACTTTAGGGCCAACAAGTAGATGGGAAGACCATGATTTTTTATATCATTCAAAAACGCTGAAGAGTTTTTCCTAGACTAGCCCTACCCGTCCTAAACCACCGACAATCGAGAAACCAGCAATATGGTTTCCAGGCTTTTTAAAAGTATGATTTTCAAGCAACAAGATCTAGGATGAAAATGAAATGAGGCTAATGAAGACAGGCATACACCATACAGTGTTCTATGAGGGAAATTTTGCCCGGGCAGCTGCGCTATGGCCTACTCTTATATCGAATTCCAACTGTTAAGGGATCTTTTACGTGCTTGCCCATGTATACATGGGACCTCAGTTTTTCATCCCATCCAGACGACTGAGACAGCTGTACTTGTCGGACCCTCTATCCTGCACCACATACAAGGGGAAAACATGTCAGAAAATCCCGATGATCTTTACCGGACAATGCAGGGATTGAACACCTAACCTCCAGGATAGTGAGCCAGCGGCTTACCCACTTAGCCACCGTAGCTCCAAAAGATCTAGGATGAAACTAAGATGTGTTTTCATATTTGAAATGCCCTTTTACCTTTACATCTGTCTTTTGGTCTGGAATGGAATCTATCTGGGGTTCCATTTTGAAAATTTATAATACGTTCTGCCATTGACTCGAATTTGTCCATTTGTTTATTATTGTTATCCTCTTTTGACTAAAGAAATAAATACAAATAAATTTATAGCTTGAGCAAATACATATAAGTTGAACATAGACAGTAGGGTCTGGTAGAGTTCCGTTGGTGTCATGTTCTGTTTTCATCCATATTTTTAGTAGTTTTGTCTGGTACCCCTCTGATCCCAGAAATTCAGGAGAAATTGATATTGCCTATACTACACACAGGCAAAATTCACTATTCGATATTATGTACAGCACACAGCTCACACACTGTATAGCTCTTTAGATAGGAATGTCACCGCACTGCGCTGCTGTAAAAAACAGATCAAGGTTTTGTGCAATAAAAGTAAAAGTGGTAGAGAAAGTTGTAAATTTTTATTCCCCTAAATAATAATGCACCCCTAGTTCGGGGAAAAAAGGTGTTATAGTTGGGTGTGTACGATATGCCATCTAAAACCGTTATTTCTGGCCTGCACGGCTATTTAAAAATTTCTGATATACATTTCTTTATGACAAAGTTTAAATAACTCCATCATAAACTTGACATTACAGAGATAAAATCTACTTTTATTATGTTTTACACTGGAAAATTGCCACTGTCACTTTCAGAACCATAGCTATTAACAATGAAAACTTACAGATGAACTAGAGGAAATTCTTTCTTTAACTGCATTGAAGAAGCCTTTTATTCTATTATCACTTTTTGGTTGTGTTTTTGTACTGTCATCACTAGGTCCTTTCACTGCACCAATACAACCAGTTGCTTTCAATTTTTTCAACGATAAATCTGATTGCTTCCGTTTCTCTGCCAAATCTTTCCTGAATTTTTCTATCTTTTCTAAAGCTTGTTCTTCTGAATTTTTAACGACTCTTGTAGCACCAACACTTGTATGTTTACGCCTGAAGAATAAAGTCAAATATTTTAAACTTTTCTTAATGTTTTTTTTTTCTTTTTATACTATAAAGGTATATGGCCGGAAATTGTACTTGCCAGAACCTGTCCGCGTGCAATTATCCCACTCCTGATAGATCTATACTAATTTGTGACTGTCGTTTGTTCAGGATTGGCGGCTACAATAGGGCGACCCTGAGGCTGAAATTTGGTGTATAATACCATTATAAGCCCCAGTTAGTTTTTCTTTCATTGTTTTATATTATTAAGCAATCAAAATCAGCTAATACTTACTTCATGAATGTAGGAGTCGTAGGAAATGTTATGCCTTGTTTCTGGGAAGCTGGTTGACTCTCAGGAGAAATTGGCTTCTTCAACTGCATGGGTTTTTCAGCCGATAATCCACGTGTTCTCAATGTTCTACTTGGTGCTCCATCACAAGAGCCTGGTCTTTTTGAACGCAATGAAGAAGATCGTTTTAACATTGTACTAGATTCTACTTTACGTAATGTTTTCTTCCCTTCAACATGATTTTGACCTAAGTGCAAGTTAGTCATAGAACTACCTTTGCTCATCTTCGGTTTACCGATCTCAGTTACTGGAGGTGACACCATAGGTAAGGCTTTCATTGGCTTATTCTTTAACCTTGGAGATTGTCGTAGTGGTGCTGATTTTAGAACACGTCTGAAATACATGTAGGTCAGATATATATATATACATCACAACATTTAGACTGACCTTCCTTTAATGAACAGATCAATACAGTATCTCTTTAATTGAATTTTTTTTTCTAATTTGACTTAGCTTCAACAGCTGAAATCAAATCTTGACCAGAGCAATATAAATTCCCCATTAATGCATCAGATAGCATGTTTGATTATATTTTCATTAAGTCTCCCAGGCAAGGTTTTCGACGCTAATTACAGAGACTATCGCTGGTAGAAAATATTGATATTGCCCATAATCATCAGAAAAGCGGTTGGAGGGTCAATAAAAGATACATATTTAAAAAATAGATAATCGTGCAATTATAGGCAGTCACTTGTGAGAAGTAAACCTTATCACAGTATTCTTGGGCTAGCTTGGTAACTGAATTAAACAGAATTTAAGTCATTCAACACACACCTTTTGTTTTTCTACCATTTATATTTGGTTTTATATAATAAATGTTAAATAATCAATTTGAGTTCATTTTAGCCTGGATAAGCTGTGGAAAATCTGATATTTTCCAAAAAATGCAAATGACATAAACAGGCTTTAATAGGCTAATATATCTTTAGTATTTAAACACAAAAACACATTCATGTACTTATGGAAAATAGCTACTTGTGTATTTTAAGGCAACATTTTCAAAGAATATTCTCTCAACGTTATCATTAGCTTGATAAGATTGAGAGAATACTCTTTGAAACATCGCCTTAATAGTAGCTGTTTTCATGTGTTTTTGTTTCTACTCTATTCTGTTACTTACAGGGGGGTTGGATGGCCGAATGGTTAGCACATGCGCGCTGAATCATAATACTATAATAGTCTGGAGGCTCAGTGCGAAGGGGTGTCCATCAAATGGGCACAAAACCAGACCCAACTTTTCTAGAGTAAAATTTTGTGTAGAATATGATGCCTTGTGGTAATCAGTCCGCCGTTGGGGCGTTTTTGAGATATTCGGGGTAAAATGATTTCATTTGCACTGAAAGTGAATGCGAAGCCATTCTTTTATCATGAAAATAAGCTGAAAATGATAGAAAGTAATCACCCTTTCAATAAAAATGTAAACTTGCTAAATTCATCTTTGTTCTTTGTGACCATGGTTTTGTGCCCATTTGATGAACACCCCCACGCACTGAGCCTCCAGTCCATTAGGTCTGTCATTGAGTCAACTGGTGTGGTTTCGATTCCCCGGTTGTACATGACAAGGGATAGGGTCACCTGTCCAACCTCCACCCTCAATCCTGTTACTGAATGTCATTTAAAGATTAGCATGTATTTGTCAATAACATTTAATTTACTCGTACAAGAAAATTGGTTGAAACATTAGAGGTTTAGATTACTTACTGTGGCATTTTAGAAGATGTTTTTTCAGCATTGTTGGTCTTCTTTTTGTTCCATTCAGATGGTAATAATACATTAGGGAGTCTTTTACTTTCTCCTTTACATGGTTCAATAATTTCATCTTCAAATACAAAGCGTTAATTAAACATTTTAATTTTAATGTTAAAACATTGCTAAATATTTTCTTTTTGTATCTATAGAATTCTTAGAGTTAGAAAACCATTTAGATTAATCAGATGCTTTCAAATGAAATGAAATTAAATGGGGTTTAAAGTCCTACTGTTCTGCTCCAACTGGGCTAAAGAAGACGGGCATACACCATACAGTGTGCTAATGACGGAAAGTTTGTCCGGGCAGCGGCACTAAGACCTACTCTTATATTAAATACCAACTGCCAAGGGATCTCTTAACCACATGCTAATGTGTGAGGTGCAGGACAGTGTCTAGTTGTTAGGATGGATAAAAAACTGAGCTTGTGTGTACACTTTGGCATGTATGTAAAAGAATGAATGAATGAAAGAGGTTTTAACGTTCTACGTTTCTGCACACATCTACCAGGATAATGAAGACAAGACAGTATGTAAAAGAACCCTTGACAGTCGAACTAGGATGAAGAGTAGGTCTGAGACCCTGCTGCCTGTACAGTATGCCCATCTTCATTAGACCAGTAGGTCCAGAAATGTAGAACATTAAACCCTATAAAGTAATAGTTTTTATCTTTAAAATATATTACCACTATCTTCAGACTGATTTGGTTTTGTATTTTCTTTTTTATCTTCATTTTCATTCAATTCTAATTCACCCAAATTTTTTCCATCTTCACTTACATGATCTGGAAAATAAGAAGACATCAGCAAGATCTCCAGACACCTTTCACATTTTTAATACAGAAATTTAAAAGATAAGCTGATCTATTCATTAAGTTATTATACTGTAAGCTTAAAGATACATTATGGGAGATTAGATAAGGAGTTGACTGTTCTCACTATATAATAGATAACATAAATAGAATATGTTGAAAATTTCAGTTAAATTGCTCCACTCTGAAACGAGATACTAGCTTTTGAATTTCAAGTCCAGCCTCAAATATCATTACTAAAGTCGGTACGATAAAAAACAGTTTCGATTATCCATTTTTGGATTTAATCATCAATGAGCGTTGAGCAGCAGATCGGATTTAAATCCAGTGAAAATCTGACATATAAGTTGACATCTAGAGTTGATGTTGGCTTTGATAAGTTACAATCTGATTAAAATATAGATTTATAATTCGTTTCGATTTTTTATACTTTTAATGGACTACACTACATGAAGATATGATTGATTGTAGTTAAAGGGAGGACCGTTTTTATTTACAGTATTGAAGAGTTGAACTAGCCTATGATGATTAAAGCTTGACTGTTGAGTCTGAGCTTGATCTATAACTCAGGCCCAATTTAACTTGTACATTATGCAAGAGCTAAATCTGTCAACTGCAGGTCTTTTTTTATGCCTGAAATATTATCTAAATTATTAATTAGACATTAATTAACTTATCCAGACCAGACCATAATCAACTCTCGTTGTCATCGCTAGTCTGCAATATTTACTGGATTATAATCCTATCTGCTGCTCAACGCTCATTCATGATATAAAAAAATGGATAATTGCGATATTTACTAGTTCATAATTCGATCTGCTGCTCAACGCTCATTCATGATTAAATCAAAAAATGGATAATTGAGACTATGTTGTTTTATCGTACCGACTTAAAGCGAGAATTTCAAATTTTCTAAGAAAGTCAAAACATAATTATTTCTATGTCTTTTGCTCAATAGGTTATCAAATCACTATTATACGATCATGGGCATTATTTCCCACCCTTACAAATCTATGACACAGGAAATAACACAATTACCTCCCCTGTTTTGCTATTGACAACATGGGCCAGCCATTTTCCAACGTTGGAATTTGAAGTTAAATATGATATTTTTGCCAATTTTTCAGCTGGCAATAGCGAATTATAGGATTAATAGGATTATTCTTTAACAAGGTAGGACTGTTTATGGATACCATCTATTTTAAGGCTTTATTTTAATACATTTTAAAAATATAACTTGAAAATTTGCAATTTCTGCTTTAATTAATGATCTGATCGAGGCTAGGCCCAAAATGCAATCGCTAAATTCTTGGTTCAGAGCTGATCAATTGGACTGAAATTTTCATCAAATACCCTTTTCATTATCTATCTAATTTTAACTATCATAGTGAGAACTGCCAGCTCTTTATCTAATCTCCGATAATGTATCTTTGAATTATAATCGAAAGAAGGATTAGCCTAGGTCTTGGCCTTGGGGCTTAGAACAGACCATAAGCTACTAGTAACTAGGCCTAATTAGTAATTTTTTAATTAATGTAGATCAACACCGGTTGAATTGGAATGTGGTCATAACAACAGCGTCACGGACCTAAACCGTAATGGCAAAAATGGTTATGGTCAAAACGGCCCAAAAATTTAGTCATAGTGGCCAATAAAAAAAATCCTATCTATGTAAATTGTAATCCTAATATTCCTATTCATATTATTGTAGCCATCTTCAAAGAGATTATCAAAGTATTTTAATTGGATAGGATTAGGAGGATGATTAGTGGAAACCATGTTCAAATGATTGTTATTTCTGTCGAATGATTAATAGTCGGTTGTTATTTTAATCAAAGGTAATTAATATTTGGAAAATTAATGTATATATTTATTATTATGCTATAGATCTAGGCCTAGGTCTATTTATGTATTTTATTAATGACTAGATGTATGAGTATGTCATGTGTTAGTTTATTATAGGCCTCGTTAGTAAATGTCTTTTTTCTTGGTCTTGACTAAAAAATTTTAACGTTATGACCAAGGGCAAAAGTTTTTGCTGTTATGGTTTAGGGCAATGTCCATAACCAGTTGAATCTACTAAAGACGTGCTCACACTGATGGGGTAAATAAATTAAAATTAGGTAAAAAGATAGGCCTTGATAATACCACCAAGTTTCAAAATTTGAAGTAAAGAATTATGATATTATTTATATTTTTCTTCTGATCCTCACCAAACCACTTATCCGCGTCGTCGTCAATTGGTTGTGGTGCTTCAAAATCGACATACTGAGGTGCATTGAAACTCCAGTCGATACCTTCCATCATAAAAGTTACCACAAAACTTGAATTCTAGTTCAGTTATTGTCTTTAAAAACGCACAATGCATACCATGTACACCTATACAAAAATTTGAGCTGCCCGCAATTTTACTTTCAGCCAATCAAAATGCGAGAAGTTAGGCACGTGATATTTCGCCGAACTATTCTAAGAATTCTCTTAGTTTTTTCTTTCATACATCTACATATAAATGTTATTACTATTTATGAATAATTTTAGAAGTTTATATTTGCTAGCATTGTTGACGTATAACGCGCAGGATAAAAAATTAGATTTTCAAAGATAATTTTTATGCGAAGAAAAGTTTACTTCCGGAAGAAAGGTGAAGGTCAATAAAAATCAGGTGGCGTAATTTTGTTCTGTTGTTTATTAATATAATTTTAATTTGTAATGTAATTTATTAATCACAATTTTATTATCGTGCCAATTTTTTTCTCAGGAAAATGTTATATCATATAGATCTATATAAATAGAGGGACTTTTATAGTTTTATTTCGCTATATATCAAGTTTCAAACAATTAACGTCAGTGATAAATAAAAATATGATTCAATCACGACTGATTTTTTTCTTGTTCAACTAATACTGCATCCTTCGTGTAAATGTCAGAGTTTGCCATAGACCTTTAAAATAGGTATCATGGTGGTTGACCAGTCGGGCGATGGGTGGAAAGATAAGGCATGAGAACTACTGAGTCAACTAGAAGTGGAATGATAAAATTTAAAAGCTACCCCTTATTCCCTTAGTTAGTCAGTGTTATATAATTCTCATTTCTAATATTCAATCGTAAATCACTCTCAGACTCTGGCAACTGTCACTTCTAAACATCTGGATATAATTGAGTATCAAACATAACCTGACCGTGCAAATCTCATATACACTTATACAGTTTTAATCGAAGTAGGGGCAAAAACTGCTAACCAAAATACATGATTGAGACAGCTAGAAAAAAGCATTGTAACTCTCTGACTCGCCCACAAAAATAAATATAAATAATTTTGAATGATATTATGTTGAAATTAACCCTACACTATTCTAATTACAGAAACCAAAACACTAGATCCTACTTAAAGTAAAGTATTAAATTTGCACAAATTGAAAGTTAAAACATTTAATATCTCAGCCATGACTCAGCAAATTTGTCTTAAAGTAAAATTCTGCTTACTATCAAATTTAAATGTGAAAAATTTCTCTTGATTTAAATTAACCAATTACAAAAGTTTGTCGCTAAACTACATGTAATAGACTGAGTATGGTAATATAGGCCTAGTTATTATAAAATGAAATTACCTCATTAGTCTATATTTGAAAAAAAATGAATTTGCATGGTAAAATTGAATGGCTCCAGTTGTAGCTAAAAACATACAATTCAGATCTAATTTTTAATCCATATTCTTTGCTGAAACGACAGTAATTTTTGGAAATAGTGTAGAGATACTAGAAATATTACTTACATGTAGTAACGCAACAGTTATTCCAGTTAGGCCTACTTCCATATTTATTCCTGATTTTGATTTATTTGTGGATTTGTTTATTTCCGTTATATATATATATGCTATTATTTTAACTTTCAGCCAATGAAAACGCTGTATTCTTAAAATATTTTAGTTAAGTTTTTGTTAATATCCTACCTGGTATTTAATTTTAAGTAGAAACTGTGTTGTTACTAACTATAAGAAGTGAACTGGTGTTGGGTAAAACTCATTTTGAGACGGCTTAAGCTAACTTAAAAGAGATCAATAACATGGTCAAGTGCATGGAATGTTGATGACTGACTCTTTTTGTTCCTCATTTTTTTAAAAGGTAGACGATAAAAATAAACATGGAGAGCATAACTGTGAAAGATGGACAGAAAGTTCTTGTATTATGGGGTGGTCAACAGCCATCAACAAACGTCACAGATGTTATAAATAATTTGACAAAAAAGGTTGGCGAAACTGGTAAAATACAACTAGAACACATTGACAGATTAGCATTAGGTAAATACTGAGAATACATTGTCCTAATGACACTGTAGTATTCTAATTCTAATATTATTTTAACACTTGTTTATAATGAATATGCCTAATCATCTAATCGTAAGTAGCCAGAATGAGGTTAAGCAAGGAAGCCTGTTTTCAAAATTTCTGATAAATACTATTAGAGTTATTGCTCTTCTTTGCTTTCAAACTTCTTCTGTAGCCGCTAAAATTATCTAATTAACATGAAATTTCGAAGTATTAATATCAGTGCCAGGAGGAAGTCTATCAAACTGTAACGATGTTCAATAATTACTTGATGGATTGTTGCCCTTGATCCATTTTTAGATTTGTGTAAATACTTTAGATCCATAGAAAAGAATCACAAAGCAACAATCTTTAAGAAATGGCTCAGACTATTTTTTCTGGGTGGGCCTTTGTTGTCTTAATTGGCTACCTATCTTTATGATCTTCAGCCTCTTAAGTCTTAAGATTTAGTTTTAATTACATATTTGTATATAATTTATTATATATTTCAGCTCCTCATTCAGATTCAAGTTTTGATATAGTGGTGTCTGGTATGCTTGAACCAGGAGTTATCTATCACAACATTGATAACTTAGCTGTAATGTGTCGAGTTTTATGTCCAGGTGGTAAAATATATCTAAGAGAAATTGTTAATAAAACAGAAACAACAGAACAATTAAAAACAAGTGACAGTTTAGTATCAGAGTTAAAACTTTCAGGATTTGTTAATATCTCACAGGTAAATTTTTGTACACAGAACCTCAGTTTTTGTCCCATCCGAACGACTATATGTTGCAAAGAGTTTGTGACATTTATTAAAGTAAGCTGAAGGGATTATTAATTGGTCATATAAGAGGCCTAATTTTGTTAATATAAACATTTTACCCCATGGGGTTATCGTAAAGTCTGTCATTGAGTCGACTGGCGTGGTTTCGAATCCGCGGTTGTACGTGGCAAGGAGTAGGGTCGCCTGTCCAACCTCGTGGGTTTTATCCGGGTCCTCCGGTTTCCTCCCACTGCTAAAGACCCCTACGCGCAAACGAATTATGTAAATAAAATTAAACCATATGTTAGTCCCGAAATGACCTAGTTTGTGTCGAGTGGACGTTAAACCCCATTTCTCTCTCTCTCTCTCTTTACCCCATGGTTGATACAGGGTTGGTCTAGACAGAGTTGAACTTGTTGAACATTCAGAGCAGCATCTTTAGGATTAGTAGAATTTATATCTCCGTATGAAAACATGTGAAATTAGGTTTAACGTCCTACTGGGGTAATGAAGACAAGTATATGTCATACAATGTGCTATGAGGAAAGTTTTGACCAAACAGCTGCGCTACGTTCTACTCTTATATCGAATTTCAATTAAAGGAAACTTTTTTATGTGCACACCAACTTGTACACAGGACCTCATTGTTTTTGTTTTTTGTCCCATTCGAATGACTATACATTCTATAATAATATTTTTTTCAGCCTTCTCCAGTCCAGCTTAGTGATGATGATAAATCTGTGCTCTCAAAATTAGATAACAGTGGTAACATTGATTTAGTTCAAATAGAAGGCAGTAAACCAAATTATGAAATTGGTTCATCAACTCAGTTAAAACTCAACTTTACAAAGAAATCAAATGGTGATTTTGTTAATTTTTATTATAATAAAATATGGGGTTTAACATTCTACCTTTTTGCACCAACCGGGCTAACGAAGACATACTATTCTTATTTCGAATTCCAAATGTCAAGGGTTCTTTCATGCGCACGTTGATGTGTTCATGTGGCTTTGGTTTTTTGTTCTAATCGAACAACTAGACACTGTCTTTGTCATGGCCTCCGTCCTACACCACAGACAAGCGGAAACCACACAGGAACTTTTTTGCCCTGTCGGGGCTCATGAAGCTGGCCTACTCTTATTTTGAATTCCAACTGTCAAGGGTTCTTTTAAGTGCACGCAAATGTGTTCATGTGACTTTGATTTTTGTACCATCCAAACAACTAGACATTGTCCTTAACAGGCCCTCCATCTAGCGCCTTTGACACAAGGAAACTGCATCAGAAAATCTGAGGAACTTTCTAAAGGTCAACACCAGTAGCAAACCCGAATCCTCCTGTGACTCCTTGCATTATACATTATATTAAAGTCCTTGCATATTTAGAGTCTCGTTATATATAATACTGGTGTAGTAATTCTCGGTTTTACCATAAAAAAATATAATCATATTGATACTTATATCGTCCTTTATTTTCAACCCCCCAAAACGGAAAAAAATTGCGATTTCATTTCATTAGAATATAGAATATTTCCCAGTGAACCAAAAATGCTAATTTGATTTCTGTAATTTCATCATATCTTTTATTGTCCAGATAAACCAGCAGTTGATCCAAATGTAGCCAAGGTATGGACACTGTCATCAGATGATATTGATGATGGAGATGTTGAACTTGTTGATTCTGATACTTTACTTGATGAAGATGATTTAAAAAAGCCAGATCCAGCCTCTCTCAAAGGTAACTTACATAAATGTATTCAATGTTTTATGTACTTAGCTTAACGGCTTCTGCCCCATAAGTCGAATTCCAAACATTCAACTATCGCAAGTCAAGATATGTTTACTTTTTTTTAGAACATTTGATACCATTTCTGATGTTAAGTTTTAACCTTTTGTACAAACACAAAGTTCATGTTGTCAGTCACTCATCATTTCTGCCAATTGCAATAAAGATATAAGTTGATTGTTACTTCCTTAGCTCCTCAAGACCACTGCTTTTGGGAACGGGTGTCTAGGTCTTAACTCTTTAGGGGTAAAATGGAAGTCGGTGTCAAAACAATTTTGTTCATATCATATTGAATTTTATTGCATTTTGAAAATGTGTAAAAAGGCAAATTTCAGATTGCATTGTTTGTCTGAAGAAACAATGACTCGTTCACACTGAATATAATTAAAAGAACTAGACATCTTAGAAAATAAAAGTATCAATTTGTCAGATTGTCACCCTCACCCAAAATCCACCCCTTAGCAAAGGGGTACTGCTCCGAAAGTCTTCAATAGTTTGATAAGGTATTTTAGTACTAATTTATTTTTCACCTATTTTAAGCAAACTGTGGTACAAGGAAGAAAGCCTGTAAAGATTGTACTTGTGGTTTAGCAGAACAAATAGAAGCAGACAACCCCAAAAAGTCAGCAGCACCAACATCTGCATGTGGAAGTGTAAGCATGTTATATTTGAGATTTAAAGTACCACTGTTCATGCTTACATAAACTTAATAAAATGGCGATATGAAACTAGCTCATAATCTCTAGTTGACATGGTGCCGCAGTGGCTCAGTGAGTAAGATGCTGGCCTACTTATCAAGCGGTCTCAGGTTCGCTTCCAGTGTTGGCAGAGAAAGTTCCGACATTATTTCTACTTGTCAGTGGTGCAGGCCTGAGGGCCTGAAAAGGACAGTGTCTAGTTATTTTGATGGGATGGAAAAAACAACAGGCCCTGTGTAGACATTGGCGTGCACATAAAAGAACCCTTGATAGTTTAAATTCAAAATAAGAGTAGACTGTAGCACCGCTGTCCGGGCAAAATTTCTCCCAAAGCACACGTATGCTCGTATTCATTAGCCCAGTCAGTATAGGACGTTAAACTCCATGTCATTTCTAGTGTACTCTGCCATGATGTTATCTTAAATTCAATAGTTTTAAAGGGTTTTTTTAAATATTGGTCATAATTCACATGTAAATTGTAATGTGTTTAACTTCTATTTTTTAGTGTTACCTTGGTGATGCATTCCGATGTTCTAGTTGTCCATATCTAGGTATGCCAGCATTTAAACCAGGTGAAAAGGTATCATTAAGTCAGAGACAGCTTAAAGCAGATGCGTAACATATTAAATACTCCATATTTTATTAGGATGAAAGTAAAGTGCTGGATGAAAATCAAAATGTGCATTATTTAAATAAAACATGTTAAAGGCATGACAAATCAGACAGGTATAAGTAAGTGACCTATTATGTTATGAAACAGATACTATAGATGAGAAATTAATGCATCATAAAATTGATACCAAGCAAAAAGAGAATTTTGTAAGTGTATTAAAACATGGGAACCACAGTGTCTCGTTGAGGATGGATCTGGCTCATCAACCATGAAGCCCTGGTTAGTGCCAAAAAGTAAGGTGTTAAAACTCCATTTCATTTCGCATTGCAATAAATGCAACCAGCAGTATCATACATTTTTAGAAAATTGTTGCCATCGATTGGCTTGTAACAAATTTAATATTTTCAGTAAATTAGTTTATATGTAATAATTTCTAGCTTGCGTTGATTTCTTGTTCTCCAGTATTGATCCAGAATTTGTAAATGAATACCGATTACAAATTATTTGTTTGTGTTGATATAACAACTTGTGAAATCTTGTTGAAACGTCACAGTGATATAAACCATAGTAATTATTATCCATGAATAGTGTTTTATTTGATTATGTTCCAATTACTAAATGATTATAATCCCCACCATCTATTTTCTAATTTAAGTCAGTTTAATTATGTCATATTGTATAAAGTAAAGTATTATTAGATAAATTATATAATGTAGAAGATTGAATGTTTTAAAATGGTGAAAGTTTATTGCTATATGTAAATCATGGATTCTAGATATTAAATGTGTCTATAAAAAAAATTAATTTTGTTTGATTTTAACTGATATTTTTATGACTGCCAGTTAAGTTTGAAACAGGGCTTTCACTTAGTAAGTTCTAGATTTTGCTAGGGCTAAAAAAAACCCAACTTATAGCAGGAATTAGAGTTATGTGGAACAGTTGAAACTTAATAGGCTTTTTCGTCTCATGAACGCAAACACATTGCATAAATTTCAATTTCAAAAAGATCAAGGGTAATAACTCTGACAATCGTTATCAGAAATCTTTAAGTCAATTATCACCTTTGTTCCATAACTTTACCCTCTAGAACGTCATCAAGATCAAGGACTGATTGACAGGATAAGCCTAATCTCAGTATGTTCATGGTTGCACACAATTTTCGATAATTGTTTTTATTGGTCTGTCAAGTTTACATACTGACTGTCTTTTTTCTTTGTACTTCTGTAACTGTTAAACATGAAATAGGCATGGATGAAGATTTTTGGAAATCTTTATTTCATTTCACTGCTTAGGACACTTGCAAGAAGTTTATAATAGAAGACCGCCATTATTTCTCTCTTCTGAACTCATTGAATTAAATATAGATTATTACTGCTCTACGACAAATATCAATCCCTGATAAATGCTATTGCTAGTGATCTTAAAATCAATATTGGTAGTGGGATGTTTGTTGAGTACAAGGAGATTTTTATATTCCCACATTTAAGTGTGGGTGTATTATGTCGTCACCTATGCCTGTCTGGCTGACAACAATTAGAGACTACAGTTTCTAACAGATTTTTAAAAATTGGGTGGAAGCATTGGGGTAATTAATTGTTAGTGCTTTGCGACTGATCATTCCTGAGTTATCCCCCCTTTTCCAAAAGCTTTGTGAGCACGATAGATGCCACAGTATTTAACTGATTGTGTTCAAATTTCTGTTACAGACATATATTGTGTGTCCGGAATAACTTGTGAACACGATAGAGATTAAATTTCTGTTGAGACATAAATGCTGCAGGAGTGCATTTCAACACTTGGCTTAGCTATCAATGGGATCCCAAACAATCAACTAGTGAGGCATTCAGCCGAATATGAGGTACTGAAACAACTCACGAATTACAATTTTTTTTTCATGCTGATATAATAACAATAATTTTTAATAATTTAATAATCATTAAAGTTAGATTTAATAAATTCATATACAGGAATTCAATCAATCAATCATATAATAATAATAGTATATAGATTCACTTGTTAAAACTTTCCAATTGTCATTAATTTCTGGATAAACTCTTTTTCAATAAACAATAACATAGAATAATTTATTTTCAAATATGCATGTCTCGAGGAGCAGGGTCACAGAGTAGCTCTTGAACTTTTTGGAAAAGCCATTTGGAACATTATCCTCACCTCGTTCACGTACTCTTCAGTTATTGGTGTTTATTTTATTCAAAATACAAGAAATACCCAGATGCTAATGACAAATGAAAAAAATAGTGATAAAGCTTTGTAGTGGAAATCAAAAACAAAATGAAGTAGATTAGATATAAGAAACAGTTTTTAGAACAGTAACAATGATTATGGGAACAGTTATAAAAAGAATTGTGGCAAATTAATTAAAGCACTTAACTTGTGGATTTCTAGAACAATGAAAAATAAAAAGAAATATAAAAAGAGTTCATACATGTAGGGATATTTTTTGGCTTGGAAGAAAAAAAGTTACATAATATACGATATAAGAAATAGAGAATATACGTCTCATATATGTAAATTCAGTTAAATAATATAAATATATGGATGCCCATTTGATATACTTGATACAAATGAATTTCAAAATTAATTAATTTCCTTTTAAAAATCTTAACCTTCAAAATATTAATTTCAATCGTGGAATTAAAATAACAAACTTCTAAAGTTTACAAAAAAATGACATATATCCATTAACAAAGCAATACAAAATTATGTAAGTTTTTGCATAATACACATTAATAAAAAAAATCTTAAGGATGCATTATTTAAGATAAAGACCAGCCTTTATTATAGTTTAAAAACAGCTAATGAAAAATGAATATTGAAAATTTCAGTCAAATTACTTTATTCTGGGCAAAGTTATGAGTGTTTGAAGTTTTGACAATAAATAGTCTTGATTGTCAAGTATCATTGCTTACGAAGTTTAGATATTCCATTTAAAAGTTAAATAATTATGGGGCATGGGTGTTCTAATTCATTTAATATTTCAATCATCCAATGGTCTAGAGAGTTGATTATGGGTTTGTCATGTGTCTAAATAACAATTTATATACTATTTGAAGTCAAGAGAAAATAACATCTGCAACTGGCAGATTTAGCTCTTGCATAATCTTTGACACCAAATTTACTGAAATCCTTAAAGACAACAGAGTGTTGTATAGGTTAAAAGTTTCAAAAGTACACAAATTAGAAAATAATAATTTATGCAACTAGCATTACGTATCTGTGTAGCACATATTCAAAACTTTTGATTCAATAACAAGTAAAAAAACAGAATTTATTTTAAAAAAAGAAGACGACATTGTTTAAAAGTAAACAGTATATAAGAAATAGCACTAAGATATTAAAGTTAAAAAGAGCTTAACAGTAAATAGGAAGGGATATATTAAATGCACAACCAAGTTGAGGTGAACAAGTATATAAAAACAATGATATACATATTTATAAGTAAAATATAGAAAGTGGAATAATAATGAAGCATGTCTTTAATCCATATAGATTTATCTATATTTGTGACTGTTTGTTTGTCTGTTTCGGGGTAGGTGATCACACTAGCGCTGCCAGGGAATAACATAGGACTGGTGGCATTACACAACCACTTTCGGTTTCCAAGTTATACTAATTCCAGTTAAGGGTTCTACATGTATGCATCGGAACAATTCACCTTACCCCACCATCCTTTGTCAACAAACCAGAATAATGAATGGATTTACCCCTATTCTATCACCTGTAGATGCCCACACCCTAAATTTATATGGACTAAAGATTCACTTTAATTACAATCATGTCTTATAGCACTATAGTTTAATGCATTATTTGCCCTTATTGGCCAGTTCATACGCCATTTCATAATATTTACTAAATTTAGCCGTATGATCCAATGGTAGATATATGTAAGGACTCATATTGAAGGCTTCCTTGATACCATATTTATGAACACTTGATAAATGACATCGACTAAGATGATAGCGATATGAACCTTTAGAAACAAATTGACGACTGCATGCAGCACATTTATAATCACGCTGTTCCCCTTCACTGACAGGACTAGCTCTCTCCTCATTGGATGACATGCCATCTGTACCTACATCCACTTCTAAACCCCCATTCGTATCGTCTTGATCCTCATCATCAGAAAAATTTGGTTTTAGTGAGAGATTCAATGGTAATGTCATTTCTGGGATACCAGGAAGATAAGGTATGTCAAAATGTTGTGAAAGAACTTTAGGAATATCAGTTCTGGTAAGCAGACGCTGTAAGCTGTCTAGAGGATGCTCACTTGTCATTGGTTGACTATAAACAAAGGAACTTAAAGAATCTAAAGCTGAACTATCCTCCTTCTTAGCAGACGTTGCTTCTTCTTCTATGTTAAGATATTTATCAATGATAGAGTTATTCAACTCCGGGGAAGGGTTTCGAGAGTTGTTGCCCCTTTCAGAAGTTTCCGATTCTGGTGTTTGTGGCCGATGATTTTTTTCCAATTTGACTTTTATTTGTTCCTCTTTTTCACTATTATCATTTTTTGATTTATATGAAGTCTGACTGTTCTTCTTCCTGTGGTTAAAATGATGTAGGACAGGCGTGCCATTTTTATGTTGACCATTTTGATCATCTTTCTGATGAAGAGCATGGTGTAAATGTTTATACTTAGAATATTTATTCGGGCTTTCTTCTCTATGAGATGTTGATTCTCGTTTTAAATATTGTGATGAGGTTTTATGGAAATTGCTAGGCACCGGAATACAGTTTTGGTTTCGAAAGTCAAACTTGGAAGTGAAACTGTTTTGAATAAAGGATTCCATAGCTTTAAGAGCTGAATTAGATTCTGGTATTTTAGCATTGGGGTCTAAGATGTCCATCTGGATGGAAGTTTCAATTTGAGGAATTTTTTCCTCAGATTCCGATGAAGCATCAAATGGAGTTGCACCCCTTGAATCACAGTCTTCTACTGGTTCTGTCTTAATTTTGACACCCTGTAACATGGCTTCTTTTCTCTCCTCATTTTCTACACTGAAACAATTAGCTTTTAATTTGTTTTCATTTAAGGTACAGTTCATATCTTTTTTTGCTTCAGAAGAGGATTTTTTGTTTAATTCTCTCTGTAAAGTGGTTTTCTTTTCAGTCTCATGATCCATAGAAAGTTCACCATTGACAATAAATGTTTTTTCTTCTTTTTCATCTCTCCTTTGTTTCCGTGGAGAAAAAGCTTCTAGAATTCTAGACTTTAAATGCTGTGATACATGAACTTTTGTCGGGGCGATTTCTTTTTTGGGACTAGGGATAGGTGAGATTTTATCATGAATATCGGAAAACGTTGAGGGAGGCGGGGGAGACGAAGAATTCTCACAATCAGATTTATTAATTGAAGTCTCCTCCATTAATAACTTGTTCTTTAATGCACCAATAACAGAAGACTTTTGACGTATGCAAGCTCTCACATGATCAACAAAATGTTTCATTTCGATTTTTTTACCACAATTTTCACATGTTATGGAATTGTCCAAATGCACAGATAATTCAGAATCCTCATCATCCAATATTCCATTCGGTAAAGGTAGACATTTTCTTTTCATATCAATAAGTGAAGTCATGGCATTATTACCATCATCACTATGATAACGCTTTCGTCGGTTACGTAAGGTAAATTCAGAATAGTTCTGTGCACGTAGGATTTGTTTTTTATGATGTCCCGATTGTACCATATGATTGGCTAATGCTTCCATATCTACGAATGCTTCTTGACAAACTTTACATTTAAACACACATTCACGTTCTAGTTCCTTTTCACAATATGCTGAACATTTATGCGATCTTCGACCATGATCGGCACTTACTATTTTGGTATAGTGTTGAGTTTTCATCATGTGAACAGTCAACATTGGTAATGATTGAAACGATTCTCCGCACTGCATACATCTCAAAATTCTGCGTGTTTGTTCCGATTCCTGATTCAGCCACATATCTTGGCCACGGACAAGTTTTGGATAATCAAGTAGCGTGGCTGCCTTACAGTTGGCTGGAGTGTGACCCGTATCCTGTATATGCGAACTTAAAGCTTGAAGTGTCGTGTAGGTTTTCTGACACGAACAACGATGAGTTGTGTATTTATTTCCAGATCTTCGTACATCTTCCTCATAGACATGACTCTCTAACTTTTTAGCCGATGGTGCAACTACTGGTGATGGTTTCTCTTTTTTGATAAATTGTGGTTTCAAATTCGATTTGATTTGAGATGAGAGTGGTGGATGTGTTGCAGTCAAGTATGCATGCTTTGACGATTTTCCCTGAAGAATGGTCGGCTGAAGTGGAACTATGTTACTTGGCTTTCGTGGAGGTTCAATATTAAAATCACCACCAAATCGTAACTGTAAACTTTTAAGACTAGATGAAATAGTTCCTGAATGACCATTCTCTATGTGAATTGAAGACTTTATGGGTTTTTCTTTGGAACGAGTTGAAAGATCCAAGGGTTGATCTTCCACTACTGTGTCTTCTCCGTCAAATTTCTTATAGTTATTGTTGACTGGAGAGTTATCTCGAAGATATTTTTCAGGGGATGAATTTTGTTCAGGTCTCCTATCTAGTTTGTTATCCTCAGGAGAATTTAAATTTGGTATTTCAAAAGATTTTGAACTCTTAATGTCATCTCTGTCTATAGTGGATTTCTGTTGATGTGGTATGGTCATAGTATCTGGTTCCAGTTTGGGATTTGAGTTAATGATCTTTGGAATGTCTTCATGGATTTCTGAAGGTGATAAATTCTGATTTCCGTCATCCGAGTTATCTGTATCTATGGCTTCGTCGTCCAAGTCTTCTGAATTGTCTCCGTCTGACTCTGGTAGAGACGTCTGTGGAAGTGTGGAGAGGTCTTCAGTTGAACCTGTAAAGATAAAAAAAAAATAAACAAAAATTACACCTTTTAATATTTTTACGTAATCATATAATCTGTCTGGTAATTTAAGTCTCTGATAATGCCAAATATCAAACAAAGGCTGCCAGACAGTAAAATATATGCCCAGCAAAAAAATCAGATCATAAACCCAATATATATTGTATCAATAGGATTCTACCTTTCAGTAGGATGAATAGACAACAAATATCAATTTCTGAAATTGCAACCTAAAAAATTCTTACAAATTGATCGGGAAGGGGGATAACTCAGGATTATTGTAGCCTCTGTACTAACAAGAAATGTGAACAACAGAACCAGAGGTATAATTGCAAAATCCAGAAGATTTATCATTCCTCAACTGACATTTTTTTATTTGTAATTAATACCTTTATTTATTTATATATACACAAGTTATGAGAGAGTTCCCAGGTATATTTCAGAATAGTTCCCCCGTTATGCCAGTGGTACAGAATGGGGGACCTGGCAAGGAACAGTGTCTAGTCTTTCTGATGGGTTGATAAATCAAGGTCACATGTATACTTTGGTGTACATGTAAAAGAACCCGTCCCATAGAGTAGGCTGTAGCACTGCTGTCCAAGCATAATTTCCCTCATAGTTACACTACATGTTGTAACTTCAGGTGGGTGCAGATGGGATATTAAATCCCATTTCATTTAAAACACTTTCCTTGTCTACGATATCACCTTAGGTGGAAGTGGACGTAAAACCCCAGAAACGAACGAAAAACACTTTATGTATACACTATTTGTCACTATAGCATCAGTATAGTGGTATTTTGTGTTTGTATACACTTCTTTATTCAGCAGCTTTCTGATATGCTTTTCTCATTTTGTGAGTCGTAATTCAGATATTCCACCAGTGTCAACAAGATTCTGTAACAAAGGGGCATAACTCTGGGGGTGATTTTTCATTTCAATGCGATAGATGACAACCCAAATCAATTTCAATAAGATAAATGGATTGTGCCTCTATTGTGCAAACATGAAATGTCAACGTCAAAAATGACAGACAAATGGAGTTATAACAATTTTGTATGATCACATTATAATGTGGGTGTATAAAAATTATGCCTTAGCTATACGCATTATGTAAATCCAGCAAGTCCGAGGTGAAAACATGGTTGACTCGACCCCATTTTTCATGTACTCATTTCCAAACGCATTTTTGCAGGTTACATGAAAACGGTCCCATTTTATTTGTATCGGACTGATTTTTATCGCTGGCTAAAACATGTACATGGAAAACAGGCATTGTTACTACCATTAACACAAAAAAAACTAAACATATTCCAAAATGAAGTTTAAACTACGTATGCAAATGATAATTTTAGGGGGGATTTTGTTTTTATTTATCCATAAAACTCATATTTTATGAACATTTGCAATTCGCCAAACACTGATATTCTATTCTCTGGGATGTTCTAATCATGGGCTAAAAGAATTTCCTACCTGTTCAATGTTTTGTATATTTCCATATATTATACTAGTAGTTAGTCATTTCATTTAAATAATTATAAATGTACTAGTTGTGTAAGACATTTATCTAGCAAGCTTACACAAATCCATAAACTTTGTTTTAAAATAACAGTCTGGCAGACAGAAATTGAATAATTTGACAATTATATCTTAGAGAACATGCATGACAGAATTATCCTGTCATCTTCTATTAACATCATAACCAGATAATAGTCATGTCAAAATGTTGGTAAAGGAAGTGACATGACGCCTCCTGACACATCTAATCTCTTACCCCAACAGAATAATCTAAGGAAACAATAACATCTCATCATTCTAAACAAAAAACCACAAATATTGGCACTGGTTTCCTTTAAGAGTTTTATATTTTGATACCTGACCGTCAAAGATCATCACACTGATGTCTTTATTATCCAGACTCTTGACAGGCCACATTAAATACCATCTTTATTTCACTTTAAATTTCATAAATCATAATTCAATCACAGCTTGCGGCCATTTAGACGCTATTTAGATCATTGCTAGATTTTTGATAACGGCCATAAAAATAATTTCTAATATTTCATTCCAACAAACTGTAGACTCCACATATTTCAATTTTAATCCAATTTTCCCCACAGATGCAGACAAGAGCAACAACCGCATTTCTATTCATGTTTTTGGGAGATGATTAGTAGTAGATGATTAGAGCACCATTCTTACCAATAAAATAAATGAAATGAAATGGGATTTAACATCCTACTGTTCTGCTCCAACTGGGCTAATTAAGACGGACACACATCATGCAGTATACTATGAGGGAAATTTTGCCTGTACAGTGACGCTACGACCTACTCTTATATCGAATTACAACTATCGAGGGTTCTTTTACGTACACGCCAATGTGTACATGGCCCCCGCCCCATAAAAAAAACCCAGGTGCATTTAAAGCCATCTGCATTATTAAGAAAAAAAGAGAAATGGGGTTAAACGTCAACTCAAAACAAACTAGGTCATTTCGGGACTAGCACATGGTTCAATTTTATTTCAATAATTCGCTTGCGCGTAGGGGTCTTTAGCAGTGGGAGGAAACCAGAGGACCCGGAGAAAACCCACGAGGTTGGACAGGCGACCCTACTCCTTGTCACGTACAACCGGAGAATCGAAACCCCGCCAGTTGACTCAATGACAGACTGTATGATACAGCGCGCGTGTGCTAACTATTCGGCCATCCAATCCCCCTGCATTATTCAGACGATATCAAATCTTTGTATGGCTTGCACACTAAAAGGTACCCAAATTGATTATTTTACATTAAGAAAAAAAAACAAAAAAAAAATCAATGGTAGATAATCTTCCGGCTTGGATTCAATCAGATTAAAAAGAGGCCCATCATTCTAATATAAAATTGATCATATCTTTGTGAAATGGGGTTTAACGTCCTATTGTTCAACAGGGCCAAGGAAGACAGGCATACGCCATATGAGGAAAATTTTGCTTGGACAGTGGCATTACGGTCTATTAGATATAAAATTCCAAAGTTATCTTTTTCATGCACGCCAATGTGTACACAGGACCTTAGTTTTTCATAACATTCAAACGACTATACGTTGTCCCTTGCCAGGCCTTGTGTCCTGCACCACTAACAAGAGGGAACCATGCAGAAAATCTTGTTAAACTTCCTCGGCCAACACTGGGATCGAACATAGGACCTCCAGGTTAGCAATCCACTGTCTTACGCACTGAGCCACCGCGATGCACTGAGCCAATGCCATATGCACTGAGCCACTGCAACTCCCTCATATCTTTGTAGACACAAAATTAAAACACTTTTAGACTGATATTCCTTTTACAGATCAACTTTCACAGTATTGTAGTTTGCAATGGATTCAAAATCCCTCAATCAACAGTTTTAACTTGTAGCTGACCCTTTTGTCGACACCTATAACATTAAACTCTGTGTATCAATCTGAAGTCAATCGGATATTAACTAGCGCGTCCACAAGATTTTTCAAAGAAATCTTTGAAAATCAATAGGATTCTTCGCCTTGTGACCTCAAACACTGTGTATAAATTTAAAGTCAATCAGATATTAATTTTAGCCTTTAGAGCATTCACAAGGTTTTTTGAAGTGATTAAGGGCCATAACTCTGGCAGTAATTATCGAAAATCACTGAAAATGAATAGACTTCTTTGTCTCATGACCTTAAACACTGTGTATAAATTTAAAGTCAATCGGATATTAACTTTAGATTCTAAGAGCGTCCACAAGATTTTTCAAAGTGATCAAGGGCCATAACTCTGGCAGTAATTATCGGAAATCGCTGAAAATCAATAGGCTTCTTCGTCTCATGATCTTATACACTGTATATAAATTTAAAGTCAATCGGATATTAACTTTAGCCTCTAGAGCGTCCACAAGCAATTGTGGACGCCGGACGGACGGGGGCGACGACAATATACGACCACATTTCAATGTGGGCGTATAAAAAATATAATAAAACGGTGATATTGTCACATTTATAATCATGACGTGGTTTTTCTGATTTTATGAAGGATGATTTTCTTCAACTAAAAGAACTTAAACGAGAGACAGCGGGAAACAGGGTTAAACATCCACTTGACACAAACCAGGTCATTTCAGGACTAACATATGATACAATTTTAATTCATAATTCGCTTGCGCATAGGGGTCTTTGTCTTTCTTTACCAGTGGGAGAAACCAGAGGACGCAGGAAAAATATGAGGTTGGGCAGGCGACCATACTCCTCGTCACGTCACATGTGGACCTTATAATACATAAAGTCCATGGTCATGTACAACTTTGGGATCGGAACCACACCACTTGGCTCAATGATAAACCCAGCCACACTCGTCTAAAAACACCTCAAAATACATGTAGTTTTAAATTTTTTTTCTAATATTAAAAAATATTTATAATTTTTTAGGGCATTTAGTAACTATATTTATATATAACTAGCAGGATACCAGGCTTCGCTCGGGGGTCATAACTCCGAAACCGGAAGTGGTAGACTAACGCCACCTGGCCTATGTTACTCCCCGGTCCGAGCTACCCCTATACCCCAAATTTCAGATTCGGGGCAGACCTAGTGTAGCCGCCAAACCCGAACAGACCGGCTTCGCTCGGGGGTCATAACTCCGAAACCGGAAGTGGTAGTCTAACGCCACCTGGCCTATGTTACTCCCCGGTCCGAGCTACCCCTATAACCCAAATTTCAGACTCGGTGCAGACCTAGTGTAGCCGCCAACCCCGAACAGACAGACAGACAGACAGACAAACGACAGTCTCAAATATATATATAGATTAACCAAGTATTAACATTTCTACTTATATCTTTATTATGCAGTTACCAGTAGACCTTCAGTTCAAGTCTATATTGCTGCATATTATAAATGAAGAGAAATAACAAACTTTCTATTTTATTATCTCTCTTAAACATGTTTTCTATATTCACTGACAAACACGCTGTCAGAATAAATAACTAGTATAAG